TTGGCTTTGCTTTGATTGGATACCACAGCAGCTTCCTCAGGTCAGTTACACAGACATGAATGAAAGTCTGTGGTTGTCTCAGTGTCTCTCTTAACTCTTAAAAATCCCCACTTTTGAACTCTCCTAGGGTGTTTGTTTAGTAGTGAGCGTCCCATCCAGAGCTGCTCTGCTACAAACTCTGACCAAGAGGGGAAGTTCTGTCCTGTTTTCTCTGGGTCAGCTCACCATGCAGGACCGGAGAGAGATCGTTCAGAAGGGACTGGACACCTTTGGGAAGAAACTCAGCGAGTCTGCTTTCAACAACCAGGTTTCTCTTCCACTTCTGGATCCACGTATCATGCTGTGTTAGACACCTTCATGATATATTTTTTAAGTTCAAGAGAGATTCAGGAGTCATCTTATACAAGTAAAATAAAAGTAAAATAAATCAAGTGTACATTACTACACATAATACGTTCAGAGAAAGGTACACAGAGGCAAAAACATGAATTAAATAGGACGTCATTTTCAAAGCAGCACGTTCAAAGCTATGATACAAACCCTCTTGTAAGAATGGTGGAAATATATGAACCAACATATGACAAAAAGGGTTCCCATGTTTTACGAAACACATCATCTTTGCTGTGTAGTTTACACATCAGGTAGTCCAACGCAACGTACTCAAGAGTCACCCTTTGCCACTGAACCTTGGATGGGACACAATCCCCAATCTAATTTAAGAGAATACACATCCTAGCACAGAACGCAAGTGTTTGATGGAGTTTCCTTCGATATTTATCAGTGGATTAGGATTAATATTTGTATTAGACACCTTCATTTATGTACTCCATTTTTGCTTGTGCAGCTCCAGACTCTGATTATGAAGAAAGGAGCAGTGAGTCCTCTCTACCTGCACCTGGCCTGTGAAGACCTGAGAAACTACGCCTCCTTTGACAAGGTTTGATAATAACACTGTTTTGATGCAATGTTAAAAAAACATGTTTAGCATTGAGAAGCTGGAAAAAGACAGTATTATTACAAAATTAAGTCACGGCTCCTCTGTTCTTGCTCCCTTGCTTGCATGTTAATCTGCTGAATCCCAAACTGATTCTAGGATAGTGGGTATCATCGTCTTTACATGGACTCTTTATTTGGGTCTTAGCTGACGGAGAACCTCGAGAGCTTACCTCAGTTTCTGAGTCAGCTGGTGAAGCACAGCCTGGACAGACTCTGCACACAGCACAGGGGCATGCTGGGACTCCGCTGGGCCCTGGGAGCTCTCACTCTCTGTGTCGACGGTAACTTAAACCAAATTCCATAACCTTAAAAAAATATATTATTTTCAGTGATTGGTCCAGTAAATTAGTGATTGGCACTTAACTGTCAACACTTTATCGCCTTGTTTAACAGGCCTGAGGGAGAGAGACCTGTACTCTGTCCTGAACACATGCAATGACTTATCCTCACGGGACACAGACGCCACATGGGAGGAAGTTCTGCACCTGTCCAGGAAGCCCAAAGGACGAGTTCCCATGGCAACTTTCACTCAGATAGTGCAGAGTTTACGAGGGTGAGGATTTTACTTAAGGTTTGAAGCATGGTCTAATTTTACCAGTTTGCAATTAAGTTGTTAATGTTGACTCTATAGGAGTTTTCTTCTTTCTTCTCCTTTTCATTCACATGTTTGTATTGATTGTTTTATATACTAACAGAATGAAATAAAGTATGAAAATAAAAAATAAAATGAAAATGTATCAAAGGTAAGTCCAGCAGTCCACTCCCTGGGGATGTCAGCAGTCATCCCAGACAAGAACTGCTTCCAGGACCAAAAATAGAAAATTATAACTTTGGAGTTTTAAGGGTTAAAGTGCTCTTTTAAATATTTGGTTGTTCACATTTTGTAACAAACCTTCCAATCTGAGCAGCACCAGTTTAACCAATGAATTAAAATGCCAATCTTGAGGCTTTTGAAGAAATATTTAACTAGGATCCATCTCTGCAGTCTGATTGGTTCATCTTATTGCCACAACACCGACGACCTGCTGATTCTGTCCACTTCGGGGAAGATGGACTTTGGGGACTTTCTGGTCCCAACAGAAAATGACAGGACCAGAGCTCATCTTGTACTTGCAGGTAGATAACACATGTTTATTTAAAAAAAAAACTAAGATAAATCAAAGAGTACAGCAGATTTTAACCTCACCGTCATGTCTGTTTTAATGCAGCTCACCTGTGGGCTCGAGCCGACCCTCAGGGCACAGACACCTTCCTGCACTGTGAGGCCGACTCTGTCATGCATCTCCCCTCGTACCTGGTGAGCCTTCTTCTGTGATCACCTGCTGTCATTACAACCTGACGAACCCAGTCATAAATCTAATTTTAGGACTTAATTTGATTATGATGAGTCAGCATTTTCCTGCTAAATTCATGAAAAAAATGTGAATGAGATAAAATCCTCAAAATTGTTATATTTGCAATGCTTTATCAGGAGAAGTGTCATGAAACGAGGCACAGAAAGGAGGACACGATGGCAAGACACCAAATCAGTTTGTCCGACAGACAGGGTTTATTAAAGCTCAGGCAGAGGTCGGTACACAAAAGGCAGTCAGATCAGATCAGAAAGAGGTATTTAAAAACATGAGACAAAGAGGCAAGATCTGAAAAAGGCGGGCAAAGTAATACACGGGTATCAATAACTGTGAATAATGCTGGAATGAGACTATGAAGTGTAGGGCTGTAAAGTCCTAGTCGACTGGACGACTTATTGGTTGGTACATGCTGAATTGACCCAAATTCTGATTGGTCAACTTGATTTTTTTCTGGTCAATTTACAGTCTGTGGTTAACTTCACTAGAAGGAACATACCAAGTGCTAATGGGGATGTTTTCAGAGCACCCCTGTTTCACAGCCTGTCTCAGAGCACTCCCCTTGTTTTCACCATTTTGGATACGCCCAACCCAATAGAGACCGGCTGGAGACAGGAAGTTTGAAGAGCGTCCCCGTTAAGCAACGTCTGGTGGTTTGCAGAAGATAATATTTGTGTTTAATTGCTTCTTTGTGCTGATATCAGTATATTTTCGTCCCCCCGCTGCAGAAAGGTCCGTCAGAGTTGGAAAAATCCCCCCACTCCTCATTAGTCGATTTTGGTCGAAAACTTTAGGGTTTTAGTCGACCGAGAATTTCTTTGGTTTTCTTTGGTAAACGTTTGATTAATCATCGAAATACTAACATTAAGGCACATTGGTGATACTTAGAGTATAAAGTGTTGAACCAGCTTTTTGGATTAACGAAAGAACATGAAAAAAAAAGAAAAGAGACTGTGAGGGTCTTATTCTAGGATAGTAAATAAGTTGAGTAAAGAAAACTGTTTTAGGGCATTTTTGTTTTTCATGTAGTTGACTGGAACAAATCTAGAAGACAGGAACAAATCTAGGGTTAGTGATCTACAAAATAAAACAGGAAAGACATGACATGAAACATGAATGTGCAAAAATGAAGGGAACTTAACCAATGAATAAACAGAAGTAAAAGGAAGTTTGTTTAGAAACTGAAATTAATCCTGGTCGAAAAATCCAATCCTGGTATGAATTTAAGACCTAAAGGTTTTTGTCTGTCTTAAACCAGATTCAAAGTGATCAAAAGGAGCCTCTTCAGTCTCTGCTCTCCAACTACTACTTCCTGTACGCTCAAGTGCGTCACGGCCTCGTGAACCAGATTCTGCAGACCTATCACTCGTACTGTGAGTCAGATGAAACTGTGGATGATCTGCTTTTTCTGAGGTTCCTGAATAAATGATAAATCCTAATGTTTGTATCCTGTGAATTCTGCCTTTTCTGTAGTGAACAAGCCTAATTCAGCAGTCTCATGTAAGTGATTTAAAATGAATATAAAACATGAAATTATTTCCCCCTCACGCTCACATCCCTCTTCTTTCTCTTAGGCGGTTCCCAAAGTCGCCTTGAAGACTGTCATGGTTTCCTGAAGCGTCACTCTCAGCTGCTCTCCTCCTGGCCGGCTCTTTTTGTCCAACAAGCCCTCAACGAACCTCCTGAGACCTCTGCTCACACCTGGGCACAGGGCCTGATGGGTAAAGGAGGAGTCCGTGTCGTTGAGTGGCTGAACAATGACAGTACACTTCAACAGGAGCCCAAGTATGAGGATGACAATAAACTTTATGTTTATAGTTTTATGTCCATCTGTAGGAAGCTACTGATGGTGTGTGTTTGTGTTAAATCTCAGCGAGGTGGTGTCGACCTTCTCCTCTGAACTGACCTGTGCGGTTGTGAGCTCAGATAAAGACCGGATGGTGGCCAGCACCAAACAGGGGACGCTGCATTGCATCAAAACACAGACTGGACAGGTATGAACATAAACAAGTATGCGATTCAGAAGAAAAAAACACACCTGCTGAGAAAAAGCTGCAAAGTTATCTGACCTCAACTCTCTTCAGGAAGTGAAATCTCTGGTGAGCAGCTGTGACGGCATCTCAAGCTGTATGTTTCTCAAAGATGGCCGCCTCGCTACTACTTCCTATGATGGACGGATGGAAATCTGGGACATCAAGAACAGCTGCAGGTGAGAGAAGGATCTATCTTTACGTGTCTTTTCATCCTGCTGTGTGTGTCTTTATTGAGATATAGTACGAATGAACCATCTCTTTGTTTCGTCTCTTTGCAGGACCGCTCTCATTGATGCCCACACTAACACAATAACAGGAAGTGACATCACTGCAGATGAGAAGAACCTCGCAACCGTGTCTCTGGATTTCACGCTGAAAGTTAGTATTAAACTGCTGTTATTATTATTTTTATGTAAGGTAAAGCTGGGTTTTTAATGATCAAATTTTCCTCCAGGTCTGGTCCTCGGCTAAAGGTAATGAGGTTGCAGCCTTTCACAGCTCGAGTCCTTTGAACTGTGTGACCTTTGACCCCGATGGTCACCTGCTGGCTGCAGGTTGCTGGGATGGGAATGTGATCGTTTGGAACTGGCTCCAGAATAAAACCGTCACAGTGAGTTTTACAAAGAGATAAAATAGTAATAGATAGTTAAATCTTTCTGTAACTGTTAGAGACAAGGGAATATTAATGGTATTGAACCTCTTTGATAGTCCTTATTATGGTCTTTATACAGCTCTCTGGGTTTGCGTATGTATAAAGTGGTGTCAAGTATTTGTGGCTTTGACAAATCTTTGTTTTCCTTCAGAATCTGTCCGGTCACAAACGCTCCGTTCGCTCCCTCTCCTTCGCTCCCTCCTCCTCCTCCATGCTCTGCTCCGGCTCTGTGTCTGGAGAGGTCAGGGTGTGGTCGGTGCCCACCTCCACCTGTGTGGGATGTTTCCAGGCTCACAGTGGAGCCACAGAGACTCTCTTTTTTCTGGGAGAGGGGAACATGCTGCTGACTGCTGGCTCTGATGATCACATGGTGAGGAAACAGAATAAAGTCAGAATCAGAGAAATTTAACTGTCTTCTTGTATCAGATTTTAAAAACTGTGTTTTTCTATCATGCTGGAGTAGAATAAACCCTTTAAACTTTAGAGTATCCCTGTAGATTTAAAGGGATATTCTGGCATAAACTTAAGTTAGGGTCAAACACACTGTAACGCCGAGTTAGACACCCCCTCGAGAGATGAATGTTGCCGATCACTTGCTTCCCTAGATATACCAATTTCAGTAACAACCGCACAATAGCAATACACAGCGGTCCAAGGAGCCACATGCTCAACCAAAAAGCCACTCTATAGCCACAAATAATGCTCAGAACAGCACCTAACTTCATCAACAGTACATATAGGGTCCCTGCCATAGTACTAGCCACCAAACATCTTTTTAACTTTTCCTGATTTCTTTAGCAAAGAGACTAAACACAACTCACCTACTCTCTTCCAGCAGCCGCTTGTTTGTATGGAAACCTCAGACGAGTCCATTACAGACTGCAGCGGGGTGACACAGCTCAAGGAAGAACATTTATGGTCATTTCTTCATTTCTTGGAAATGCAATCAGACCGAGACGCTAAGGCAGAAGAACTACCGCGTCTGCAGCGCAAAATGATTAATATGATGATTATTACTTCGAGGAAATGATAAAGAAATGATCATAAATGTCCTTCCTTGAGCTGCGTCACCCCGCAGCAGTCCATGATGGACTGGTCGAGGTCTCGCTACAAACAAGCGACTGCTGGAAGAGAGTAGGTGAGTTGTGTTTAGTCTCTTTGCTAAAGAAATCAGGCAAAGTTAAAAAGATGTTTAGTGGCTAGTGCTGTGGCTGAGACCCGTGGCTCTGTGTATCGCTATCCTGCGAACGTTTTGCGATTTTGGCACAAACATCCTCCTTTTTCCTTTTTCTGTTTCGTTTTGTCTTCCAGCTCCATCTCTGGTCGGGAGGACTTGGACGTTCAGTCACTAAATTAAAGACAGATGTGGTAAGCTTTTTGTTTTTTTATCTACTGAAGCTCTTGAATAGTTGGAGCTTTAAAAAGCAGCCGTTTGGTTAAAACACTTCACATCATTCTGTATTTATTTCGTGTTTTAGTGCGAGCAGGAGCCTCCCCGTAAGAAACATAAATCTGTCACCTCTGTGTCAGCTGCTCTGTGTGTGGCTGTTAATGGAGACTATGCTGCTGTGGGATATCATGGAGATGGGATCAGAATCTTCAGCCTAGAGTCAGGTAGGCTTCATCTCACAAGAGTATAAAAACAAATCAAATTTAGTGTAAACCTGTCGCACAAAATGTAAAAAATGTTCACACACAATTGATCTGAATTAAAAAGACCCTCACTGTTTATACTCAAATTGTAGGTGAGAAGATTTGGGACTCAGGAGGCCTCGATGTGTCTGTACCATGTCTGCGGTGGGTCTACCTGAATCCAGAGCAGTCTGAACCAGAGCTGCTAGTGTCTGCAGGCAGTGACAAACGTCTGAGGGTCTGGAAGAAGAAAAGCAAAGAAGAGGGGCTTCTTGGAGGTCTGGACCAGTGGGGGATGTTTTCTTCACACTTTCAGCCCGTATTGGCAATGGAACAAAACTCCAAATACCTGGTTACAGCTTCAGGTGAGTGTTTGAAAGAAATGTAGATAAAGTCACGAGAACATGTTAAAGTTTTCGGGCAGCTGTTGTAGAGATGTTTTTTTCTTGACCAGGAGGTTTTTTTGGCGGTTTGATCTTCCACTCATGTATGAAGTAAAAATGTAAAGTGTTGTCTACCCTTCAACCTTTCCTTTATTCCCTCTGATGAAGATGACTGCAATGTTTTTTTGTGGCTGCTGAGCAATCTGGCTGAAGACCCCTTCATGGAGCCTTGTGGGCTGCTGAAAGGTCACACTGGAGGAGTCACCTGTCTGTCTTTCAGCCCTGATGGTGAACAGCTGCTGTCCGGTGGAAAAGATAAGGTGAAGTGTGTTAATGCTAATCTGTCTCAGCCAATAACATTGATGACTTAACTGACTTCACTATTAGGTTTTTAATTTTACTTTGATGCTATGTTTCAGGCTCTGATGGTTTGGGATGTGAGTGTTACTCCTCCTGTTCTCTCCAAGTCGCTCCCTCACTCTCATAGAGACTGGATCACCGGCTGTGTTTGGACTCCAGACTGTGTGGTACATCTCTAACACCATTATACTGCAGTATTAACAGTTCTGATGTATTTCCTTTAAACTTGTCTTAATCAGACTCTCTTCTCTGTTCCAGATCAGCTCGTCAAACGATGGGAGGCTCTGTTTTTGGGATCTGCAGGCGGGCAAACGTCTCAAAGAAATCTCCTGGACCAGCTCTCTGACATCTGTCTGCTGTCTGGTGAGAAAATATGAAACTTGTGTTCATGAGAGAATTGAGAGCGTATCTTCACAGAATTCTTAAAAGTGCAGTAAATGAGATCTCGGTTTATGTTCACTGATTGTAGGGACAATTTGTGGTGGCGGGCTGTGCAGAAGGAGGACTTCATGTCTGGAACTGGGAAACAAACTCAGAAATCAGCCACATCGCTGCTCACAAACGGCGTATTCATGCCTGCTCTGTCCTACCAAACACAGGTAAAGAGCTCTGCGTATGTCTGTCTGACAAAAAGCGTATCATATTCACATCATTGTTTAATTTACATTCTAAGTTCCTGTGTTTTTTAAATATTTTTCAAGACAAAGAAGTAAACCCAGAGGAAATGTCTGTCCTCACTGCGTCTGATGATGGAACCGTGCAGCTCTGGAAACCTCTGCAGGTCTGTGAGTTAAAAGTGAAACGGAGAGATATTCAGAAAATTTATCTGAATAAAGTTGAACTTAAGTAAATTTAAGTACTTTGAAGTGTGCATGTTGTTAGGAATAAAACAGAAATTTTTTACAGTTTTAAGACCAAACAAATAGATTAAATCAAAGATTAAATATGCCTGAATTTCACTGTCAACTTTAGTCTACTTTCTCACCTTTAGTTCAAGTTTGTATTTAGTTTTAAAGTTTTATTATTTATTTATTTAGTTTTATTTTTTCCCTCTTTTTGTCTCCTTTTTCTGATTCTGTATCTTAAAACACAGATGGAGCACTTCAACTCCTTTGCGGGTCCCAGCGGCTCCATACATGGGATTGTTCACAAAGACGGACACCCGGATTTCGCCATTGCGTCTGAAGGCTGCTCACTGCTATGCTGGACACTGACAAAAGGTTCAACTTTATACCCCACCTTCACATGTGGAAAAAGTTTTAAATTTTACATTTATTAAAGGAGTGCTCAAAGTAATCATTTACACTGTGTATAATTTGGTTGATTTGATTAAAATGTGTCTTTTTTTGTTCCTTTTCCCAGCTCATTTATGTGTTGTGTTTTTTCAGAGGGTTCTACCAGCCTGAGGGGTCCGGTCACAGCTCTGTGCTTCTCTCAGACAGGCGATCTGCTGCTTGTTGGTTATGAATCTGGTTATTTGGAAATTTGGCAGAATAACGTTGTGGTCGGACACAAACAGGTGAGGACACGTCTTTAAAAGGGGGGTGAATATTGGACTCAAAGATGTTTCTTTTTCATGGTGTTTGTGCCTGTTTGGATTTCTGCGTGTTTGTCAGGCTTCAGCCAGCGCCGTCACAGCGATCTGCTCCATGCCTGATAACCAGTTTGCTGTCAGCTACTTGGAAGTTGTTGTTGATGAGTGGAAGCTGGTGTGGAATGAACAACACAGCAAAGCAAAGTAAAACAACAACAACCACAATATTTAACCTTCATCTTATTTTTTTAAATGTGAAATAATGTGTTTTTCTGTCTTGTGTCTCCGTCTCTTCCAGCCTGGTGAAGGTAAAAACGTACAAAATAAACAGCCAGGTGATTCACCTCATGTACTGCACGGTCCTGCTGGCTGTATCTCACGACGGGGAGATATTTGACGTCGCAAATACAGAGGGTTTCGCGAGGTGGAACCACAGCGTAAATAGGTATCACGAAATTAAGCGCAAGGTGTCCAAAAGGGTTTGAAGGTCAGATCTGAAATATCAGCTTGAGTGGAGTTAATCATCCGGGTTTTGATCTGAATAAAAGCCAGCTTCACTAGTTAGAGTTATCTATTTTTAAACAATCAAGTCAGATGAAAACATCTAAGTACTGGTTTAGCGACCTCAGAGACCAGGATGTCGCTTAGAGGATGAGATACGGGCCGAGTCTAATTGTCTGACGCGCTTTGTCAATGGATCAGCTGAGACGGGAATCGATTAGGAAAAAACGTGCTTTAATACTAAAGAAACAATCAACAAAACGATACCAACTGAAGAAACAGCGATCACTGGACTTAAAGAGTATGTGTACATGCGGTCAACAAAAAATACGGCGACCCACTCAAAACCTCTTCCCTCGTGAACACAGGTGACCAGGTGCTTAAATCAACTGAGTGACACCGCCCCTATTCCCGTGACCCGGATTCCACAAATCACTGCCACCAATCACAACAAAATACCAAAACAAACCAAGAGCATAACCACAAACCTTTACCTTGCGGCTCCTACAACTGGTATTAAAATGTTACATTTTCATAAACTCACTTTGTAAATACTGTACCTTCTTTTTCAGTTTTAAATTTAACCAATAGTGAAAGAGGGGTGCAGGCTGTGAAAGATTAACTTATGCAGAGTTCTCAAACTTTTTTTGTGCAGCTGGTCGCATAGAGTCCGAGTAAAGCACGTGATCCAAAATGATGAAAAGAGCATGTGGCTGGTGGGCGAAGACAATGGAAAAGTTGAGATTGGCTTCATTGTGAGTTCTAATCTAAATTTAAACCTAAAGTTTTTTTTTCCTCCCTTTTTTTTTCATTCATTGATTTTGACTTGTGCCTCTGTTCGGTCTTTCCTCAGTTTACAATGGGCCCTGAACAAAGTTTGGATACAAATTTTGGTCATATGGATATGAAAACTGGAGACGAGGAGAAGGAGGAGAAGAGACAGATCACAGCTGTAACTATTAACAAAGGTAGGAACATCTAGTAGTCATACTGTCTATCATCTACTTTTAACTCTAGTTATAACACTAACAACTGGACCTGCTGTGTTTTTCATTTGCTTATAGATTTGATTGTGTGCGGGGACGAGAAGGGCAACATGTGGTTCATGACCTCTCAAGAACCTTCCAAGTGGCAGAGCAGAAAACTTGTAAGAGCTCAGAAAAACATGACTAAAAACTCCAATCACAGCTCACACTTGTTTTAGGAACAAGTTTTTTATTTCATTTGCAGTTTATTTTAATTACATATAATAATCGCAACACACAGAAACTTTGATTTTGATGACAATGCAGTTGAATCCAGACCTTTTATTTTCACCAAGTGTACTATTTCTGCACAACTTTTAACTAAAGGTGTAAAATGTAATGGAGCTTTAAGAGCTGAAATGAGCACCTGTCGGACAACATCTGTATTTAACTGATTTTAATATTTAATATTTTTAATCCTCAGGCCCACAGTGACAGGATCAGTGTGCTCAGACTCACAGACAGCACCATCATCTCCGCCTCCTATGACAGGACGGTGAAGCTGTGGGACAGAAACACCAAGAAACAGGTACGTTAGAGTCTTAAACTTATGTTAGTTGTCTTTATTTTCACAAAACAAGATTTCTGTAAGGATTTAGCAAACCAGATTAAAAAAAGGGTGAATTGTATCTGTGAAAAACATAGCTGGTTGTTAGTTGAGCCAACCCACTGCTGACTTTAGCTCCTTGTTTAACTTACCCTCGACTTCTCTTCTCCTCCTCCAGGTGGGGATGTTTGTGTGTAGAGCTGCTGTTCTGCTTTTGGAGGTAAACCCTGTAAAACCCACTGTGCTGGTCTGCGGTGACAGATGGGGGAAACTCTACTTTCTCTCCTGGAAGGAATAATCCAGAACATATTATGCACTATCAAAGAAAGCCTGAAATGTTTTGCTTTTTTTGCTAGGGATACAAGCTATGTAATAGCTGTTAATTCAAGTTAACATGTGCCTTTACTGCAGATATTAAGTAACTTGCAGATGTAATATGCAAGTATAAAATACCTTGAAAAGCATCTATTTTGATTTCATGGGCTTTATTATTTTATGTTATTTTATGTTTTATTGTAACCGGAAGAAAAATATGGATGTGGGATATTGAAACACTTAAAGTGGAAACATATCTTGCACATTAAAATTATGTTTATCATCACTTGGTTGTGTAGTTTAATGTTTGTTTCTTCTGTGTGTGTCATGGAAAGATTACTTAAAGCTCCTGTGAGGAGTTTTTTGATCAGTCATGAAATAGACTGAGATGAACAGTGATGCGTCTCTGTAAAGTACAAAACCATATAACACCATTGACAGCAAGACAGACAATCATTTGACTGTAGTTCTTGATAACTGCTGTGAGGGGGTAGCAACACAGAGTAAACAGCCTTGGTAATTTTTCCCATTGATAATATTCACTTGAGGAACCAGTGGCAGACATTCAAACAAAGCTTATCAGTTAATGCTTTTACAACTCTGTTATCTGTACAGGATTGCTTCTGTATTGTTGACAGTGAGCCACAAATAGAGCAATAGTGTATGTTATGAAAATAAACTAGACTCTCCTCTCCACACATTGGAAAGAAATTGCTTTACTTTCTTACTAGATAAGAACCACCAGTTGAGAACCACTGGTTTACAGCACTGTCAACCTAGTTTAGATGAAGCAACACGGCACTTTTCAGTATTTGTATTTTGGTATTTTTATCATTCAGTTAAAACCAAATATAATAATTTTATTCGGAATAGTTGGTGTATTCATTAAGCGCAGGAAAATCAGAACTTAAAGTCACTTTACACGCCAGCGGTGGGAAGTTGGAGTTTCCGAGGCGTATTTGAAAGCAGCATCAGTTTGATCTTAAGCTCTCAGGTGAGCCCGCTAGACAGACACGCCCACTGCAAGACGACAACTCCCAGGTAAAGGAAGAAAAAAAAAACTGGATTTGCTGGTTTCATTTATAGAGTATCGTGTTTATGAAAGCCCACATTAGTCACCAGGACCGGTGGGAAGTGTGTGTCTATTTTTTTCTTTTTTTTCCACCGAGAGGGGAGGATCTTAAACTCCGCTGCTCAGTGAGTGACAACAACCGACAGTATCAACAGAGGAGAGGACAGAAACTCTCTGAGGACGGTAACGTCTCATAAAAACAACACTAACGTCTGTGAAACCGGGACACTACACGGTAGCAGAACATGGTATGTGAAGTGCCTTTGATAAAAGTAGTTAAACTTCGTGTTGAAACGCCTTTTTGTGTATTTTCCACGCTTTAATCCTCGACACCAACCGTATATTCAGAGTCTACTTTGTTATACTGTTTTAAAAATGTCGGTTAACGTTAGTAAAATGAACCGTTAATGACGTCAGAAACGTTGTGATTGACAGGACGATCGATACGATAACCTGGATTTGGATCTGGAGTGTGAAGGAGGAGGCGTAGCTGTGAGTATAACGTTTATATCAACGAGTTTACACTCACTTTCCGGTGTATATCTTTAGGTTTTGAGTTAACTAGTTTACTTTAATTCAAGATAAAGTCAGGTAACAACTATTAGTCAGCTCTCTTTATTTAAATCTGTTTGAAACTGTCAACTCATTCCAGAGGTGTGTCAGCAGAGTCATGGACTGTGTTTACACCAACAGAAAGAAATTGATATTAAACACTGACCATGTGGGATTAGGAAAAAAATCATCATTACACCCTCACTGTACAGTTGACAGAGCTCAAACACACATGGTAACTTCAGGACAAATCAACCCCCCTTCAGACCAGATTGAAAAGACAGTGAAAAGACAGGAGAGGGATAAACAGCATCAAATAAATGTTGTGTTCAAACTTTCAATATCTCTTCAGAAAGAAGCACTTCGTTTGCTTTTTGTCTCTTAATATGTCTGCCATCTTGTTCCTGGTGTTTCTATGAGGACAGTTAATTAAAAGCATCCTTGCAGTCTGATGTAAAAATCAGTCCTTAGGCACAACACAATGAAGGCTAAATTTATTTCAGGCATACATGGGATAGCTTATAGAGATTGACAAATATTGATTGATCCTTTCACTGCGCATCAATCATGCTTAACTGACCATTCAATCGATAGCTTATTATAGCTGTAAACACCATTAAAAGCCCTTTACAAATTCAGTTTTCTGCAATATGTCTTCATGTTCCTGTCCAAAGCCATAACACTGAAAAGTGTGTCAATGTTAAAACACCAAAAACTTCCCTGTCTTATGTGTTTACATAGTGAGGGGAAAGACAACACACACGGCTACTCCGTTTGTTGACTTCTTCAATGACAGAGTCGTATATACTTAACTCTTATTTTGTTGGACCTTTCCTGGAAAACTGCAAAAAATGGCTCTGGAAAGGGGAGTTATCAGGCTGCTATTTGATTGAATTCCATTTAACAAGTTCATATCAGGTTTTTTGAGTGTTTACATGTCTAGTACCTGTTGAGTAATAATCGGGTTTTAACAGGATGCTTTCTATGAATTTATCTTTCCTCATGCTGTCATTATAACATCACATGTTATGCTGAAACACTTCACGTCAATTATCCCAGCTTATTTCTTCACAGTTAGCCGTTTTTTTACTGAACAAAATTTGTGGTTAACTCATTCCTTATAGATTATTGGTAATTTAATGCCATCATGTCTCTGATTGTGTGGCTCCATAAAAAGCAAATGAGTGAAACGTTCAGATCCCTGAGCGAGAGACACAACTATCACTTTAATTTTGCCATCAATAACTTTTCAAGTCCAGACATGAAGGCAGCATCAGGTCCAGACATGAATTCTGATCACAGAGATGGACTGTGAAATCCATAAACTCGTTAATAAATGTTGCATAATTTTCAGATATTTTCCTGGTTCAGTCTCTATATGGAGGCAGATTAATGCTGCCTACTCACAGGCCCTGACAGTGAATGTAACTCAACTGATGCCAGTCCAGTATATCAGAACTGAAACAACAGTAGAGATTAGATTTTTGCTGTAATCAGATGCTCATTTTCTCTTTATATCTTGTTTCTTGTGCAGCAAAAAGCAGCTTTATTTGGCGGGATGTTCAAGAGATCATCAAAAATCATAGAGCCATCAGCTCCAGCACAGGTGAAGATGTCGTATAAAAACCTCCTTTAAGTCAAATTTAGAGCTTAACTCAACTTGGTTTTGCTTTTTCTCACGTACTGTTGGCTCTTTGTTGACTTTCCAGGACAGTTTATCAGCCAGCGGTGAACTCTCAAAGAGCAGAGACAGTCTGACTGATGGCAGCACCAAGGTGATGATCAGGAGTTATTTCTGCTAGCTTGTTTATGTGTGTGTTGTGTTTTGTCAAATCTATTCCACTATAACTTATACATTTTTTTGTTGACATTTTTAGGAGAAAGGCAATGTGTTCAAAGACATGTTCAAGAAGACAACCAAAGCTAACAAAGAGGTGTGTGGAGTCCTTCAGTAAATGGAGTGTATCCCTTTGGCTATTTATAAACTGATATTTGTCATGCATTTATTAGTTTGTAATCAAGGAGTTTATCAAAATACACATTTCACAAACTTCTAAAAGAAATCTCTATTTAGGACTCTGTCTCACTACAAAATGTGGAGCTGTCTGCCAGCAGTGAAAACTTGACAGAAAACAACAAAACCTCAAAGGTGAGCTGACTTTCTGCTCCGTCATTATTCTGCGTTATTTTAAACCTGAAGCTGAACTTCCTCTCGGCTCTTTTCTCCTCAGGAAAAACTTAATGTGTTTGGGGGACTTTTAAAGCGACCTCATAAACCAGGACATGCCCGGAGGGCTTCACAGGTGAAACATGAGGATCTGTTACACACCCAGCACACAGGGATACTCTCTCTAAGCTGGATGATAAAATGTTAGGTGTGATGAGTCATGTCATTCAAATGCTGATGGATAATCTGTGTGTTTCAGGATCTTTTGGACGTCGAGCTCACAGCCAGCAATGAAAGCCTGTCTGACAAAGCAGCAACTAAAGTGAGTCTCATCTGCCAATTCATGTTTCATTATTTCACTTACAAACAAAAGTACTGAAGCCGTGACCCTTACTTTGTGAAACTGATGCGTTGTCGTATGGTTTCCAGGAGAAAACAAACTTTTATTTCTTCAGGATTAAGAAGGAAAGGGATAAAAAATTTTAAGAGTAATAATGTTGAAGTTGTAAATGTAAAATTGTGGTATTATTTAATCCACTGCATGTGTGTGTGTAGATAGTGACTCATTGGATGGTGTGTTTGTGAAGGGTGTGTTTTGTTTTCGTGGCTTGTTTGAAGCACAAGCTAAACCTGCATGGGTCAGCAATTTGAAAGCAGCACAGGCCGATGTCTAAAGCACTAAATCCCAGTCTGCCCATCGAACCGCTGCATCCGTTTATAAATCAGTGATCTTCAAATTGAACTTATCTTCATGTGCTTTTTAGGAAACAGGAGGCAAGTTCAGTGGGATATTTAAAAAAACACATTTTGGAGCGAGAGCACAATCTCAGGTGAGAGATGAACCGCGCTGTGTTACATGTCTCCTTTTGTGGCTGTATTTTCAGAAAGGATAGACTAATAGATGTATTTTTTTTCTCACCTGCAGGAGGATTTGTCAGCTACAAGTGAGCGCTCAGGCAGTACCGACAATCTGTCTGTCAACAGCAACACTAAGGTGAGGTTTGTGCAAGCTAAGGGAGATTTAGATCCCAATCCAAAAGACAGCATTAATGAAAAATTTGAAAACAGACCAAACTTTCAAGAAGCATCATGTAATATTTCTCTTCCTTCCAGGAGTCAGGAGGGGTTTTCAGTGGCATGTTCAAAAAGTCCCCAAAGCCGCCTGGCGCAAAGACACAATCACAGGTAAGAGATGCAAAAGTAACATGTTTCTTTGTTACATAATTCGGAGATGATGAAAATGATAACTGGACAGAATCATGTGTTGCTTTGCCTTCAGGAGGATCTGACTGCACCCAGTGAGCTCTCAGGCAGCACTGACAATCTCTCTGTGAGCAGCAACACTAAGGTAAAGACTTTCACTGAGGGTTACTTCACTTTATTCTTCACTACGAGTCGAGTTTTAAAATACATTTTCATCTAACTCTCTTTCCCAGGAGACCGGCGGGGTCTTCAGCGGGATGTTCAAGAAATCCCCAAAGCCTTCTGCAAGAGCGCAATCACAGGTAGGAGTTATGGTGCCGCAGCTTCTACCACCTCCGCTCAAACCAAACTATAGATCATTGTGACAGGATTAACATGAACCTGTTGACACTTGTTTCTCACCTTTAGGAAGATTTGACAGCTCCCGGCGAGCGCTCCAGCAGCAGCAGTGACAATCTCTCCGTCAACAGCAACACTAAGGTGAGGTTTGTGAAGCCAGGAAATACTTTGCTTTATTCCTCTGATGGGAAACGTTAACAGCTGTTTTCTGTGACTTTCCTGTCAGGAGTCAGGAGGAGTGTTCAGCGGGATGTTTAGAAAATCACCAAAGCCTTTTGCCAGAGCTCAATCTCAGGTGAATACAGTGGAGTAAAAGAGCTCTTAATTCATCTTATTATGTTTAATTAAGCCGTTATGACCTTTTGTCGTTTGTTTTATGCCCGCAGGAGGATTTGTTGGCAGCCAAAGAGCTCTCAGGCAGTAATGACAATCTTACAGAGAACAAGGTGAGGTTTGCTAAAGTCTGCCAGCTCGGTCACAGAGCACCATCAACCATCACAGAGCTGTAATTAAATTTATTTAAACATTTCTCACTTTATTTTCAGGAGAAAGGAGGAATATTTAGCGGTGTGTTCAAGAAAAAAGTTGCCAAATCTCAGTCTCAGGTGAGATGGTTAAGTTCTGTACCCAGCGAGTTGTGCGTCATGTTTTGATATCTTTTTCTTTTTTTTAAAGTGTCTGAAAATTTGAAAGTGACATGTAGATAATTTCTTTAATTTTTAAAGGACTGTGTGTAAAGATGATTTAGGGTGTCAGTTGGTTGAGAGTGCAGAGCATATTCAAAGATACAGGAGCCGTGGTCCTTGATGCATTGGCTTCTGGTTCAGCTCCTGAGCTCTCCTTAGATACATATTAACCCCTCACTCTTTTATCCAATAAAAACAAAAAGCTAAAAAAAATCTCTTAACTGTAGCTAGTAGCAAGTGATTCTTGAAGCCCCCAAATTATGACATTTCAGACTCTTCCCCTTTATTGAAAAAAGGAAACCACTATGCACAACAACACCTGAAACATATTTGGAGAATCTCTGACACTTTCAGATGCATCCTCTTTCAAATAATTCGCTTGTTTTTAGTCACCTGAGGTCAGAGGTTTACTCTGCACCTGTGCCTGCAGGAGTTAAAATGTCCTCCCTGCTTGAGTCTTAAATTGTGATGGTTTGCTCTTTTTTAGGATGATTTATCTGAAGATATTGAACTCACTGCCAGCAATCCCGACAGTTTCTCAGAAAAGTCTTCAAAGGTGAGAGATGGTCTTAAAATCAACAGGTTCATAAATCCTTTCACTGCCTTATCTCAGGTCATTTTGATTTTGCGTCAAATACACGTCTTCTTCCGGCCAGCTTGTTGTGCTTGTGGTCATATTTTGAGTTGACAACATCCTGATGTTTGGATAATGTGTATGAACAGAATAGGCAAAAGGCCGACCAATCAGGAGACTTGAGTGAGAACAGCTCCACTACAGAGAAGCCCAAAGCTAAGCAGGTGGGCCCTGTTGCTTTAAGATAGTGGTTTTCTTATAGTAGTATGAGGATCAGATATCATCTCTGACTCTAAGTGCACAATAACAGTGTTTTTGTATCATTTCAGAACGGATTTAGTGCAATGATGAAGAGCACGTTCCACACTGACAGAAAGGTGAGGTGGTGTTTTGAACCGCAAAAGTCTGACCATATTAGAGGCCCATTAATTCATATACAGATGATTTTCTGTTGTTTCTCATTTCATGTACTTATTTCATGCCAAATCTTGTCACCTGCAGGAGAAGGACTCTGACTCTGACAAGGAGGAGACGTCAGAAAACGGAGAGGGTCAACACAAGCAGGTTCGGGAGGGTTTTAAATGTTTTATTTTTTCAAGTTTGGTCAACCAGCAAAACGTAAAACCGGCAAATTCATTATCCATGTGTTTTTATCTTTTTGCTTTCTTTTCAGAATAAGTTTGCTGAGGCGATGACAAAGCTGAATCCATTCCGATATGCAAACAAAGTAAGGACGGTTTAGACTCTGACTCTTCATTATTAAACAAAAAGACACAAAGTAGAGCTGTGAAGTTTTTTTTACTGAGGAGAGATTCTTCTTTTTTCCTTCCAGCATGAGAAAACGGTGGACTCTGATGACGAGGATGCACCTGAGAGTGGGGAGAAATCATCAGGCAACAAACAGGTGCTTTGGTTTCTCGTTCCTGTTTCACTGGCTTTATTTTCAGCTATCATCATTTTACTGGTTATTATAGTCCAGCAGATGCCTCTACCTTTCATTCAGCTGTTGTTCGGTCAGGTTTGTGCTCGGAGTCAGAGGTATTTTTACCCAGAGGCTCAGTCTGCAGTCCAGCTTATCGTGCTCAGACTTGTTTTGTTGACATTTTCAGTCTTTCCAACCACAGGGAAACGTTTTCTTTGATTTGCCAGCCTTGCAAATATACATTTTTAGTTTATTTTTTTTCGCGGATGCACCTAACTATCTTGTTTTAAGTCACACGATCACTATTAATCACAACTGAAAACAAGAGGCTTGGTAAGTATCAGCGTTGTAGTTTTGCTGCAGTGTTGTTGTGCGTCGGTTGGTCTGTGCAGCTCTCTAAGACTCTGCCCCGACTCTGAAGTTGGCCGCGTGATTTCTATGCTCGTCATGTTGCCAGTTTCTGGTCCTGCTACATTCTTGCTTGTTTGTGGGTGGGAAACCATGACGACTCTGAGTTTGCTTTATCCAAGCGTATTATGTTGGAGTTGGAGACGATAATCGTTGAGCAGCAAGTTGATAAAACAGCATTAATTTTAAAGAAGCAAAAATAGGAGACGTCAGAGGAGATGTTATGTAAGGCGCCCCGTGGACTGATCACAGGGCTTATGGTCTGCTTTGTTTTGACATGTTACATGTTGAGGAGGTGCATCTAGTGCTATGTGCATTGCCTTCTATGTAGGACTACTACAAATTACAATGTACGCTATGTAGATTTAACGCTTAAGTACCTCAATAGTTGAGTTCAGCTAATTGGACGAAGAGCGAAATCTAGTGATAGCAGGACCTTAAAAACAAGCTAAATAAAATGGTGTTACTCAAGCATATACGGATACTAACTGGAGTTTGAAGATTTGGAAATGAATATATTGTCATTTTGAACTTAGGAGTACAAAGACAGAATAACAGACTTGGCAGTGTGTTTTAAAAATGAACTTGTTAGTGTTCAGTAGCAGAGACAGTTTAAAATACCCTTAAACTTCATTGAGTATTTCTGAGTTGCGTCTTCTTGTTAAGTATTAGAACTTTTTACTGCTCTTGTTTAGAAATCAGCAAAACTGTTACCTGCAGACAAGGCAGATAATCAGAAAATACTTCCGTAAAACTTAAAGAAAAATGTCTTTTCCTTCAGAGCGCTGCAGCTGGAGGCATGTCCAAACTGAATCTATTCCGCTCTGGGATTAAAGTAACTACATTAATGATTGTTTTTGGTGATGGTCGTGGGGTCATCCTGGTGGTGGGACTGTGGTAATGGTGACAGTGGTGGTCTTTGGTTCATTTTAATGAGTAGTAGAGATATGTTGCACCTATAAAGGACCAAGCCAGCGAACAAACACTTCAGGAATATGCTAAACAACATTTGTAGGATTTACCTCTCTGAGTAAGCACTGTCTGCCAGTAGATTTGATTTTGTTTGATGAAGCTCAATGATCGATGTCCTTGTTCAGAAAGACGCTGAAGACTCCGAAGAAATGCTCAAGGAGAAGGAAAATCAAGCGGGAGAGAAGCCGAAAACGGTCAGTCTATTTTTTGCATCTCTCATGAGTCATCAGTGACCACACACAGCTGATCAACTTCTGTCTGAAATACCCCCTCTGCTCACACTCCTCCTCTTACCCCACATCCTCCTCATCCCTTTACCTCCCTTTGAATCCAGACTCCTTTCTCAAACCTCCCTGTCCCCCTGTTCTGGTGTACTTTTAAACTCTGTGTGTGTGTGTGTGTGTATGTGTGTGTATGTCCTTGACAGGTCAAAGGCAACATGATCCAGCGAGAGAGGAAGGAAAGAAGTGAAACTCCTCTAGTCCCTCCCAGACCAACTGAAGAGGTTTGCAAGCAGCTCAGCGCTCACATTCAGTGACATTCAGTGTTAGTGAGGCTGTTTTTCTTCATTGTTTTGTTGTTTTTAAAGGTTATAACAATCTCTTCACAGGAGATGAAGAGGACATCCACCTATGACAAGATGAAATCAAGAGGAACTGATGACAATCAGGTACAGTTTGTACTTCTTCTAACTGTAATGAGAGGCGTGTGTTTCCCAGATTTCTTCTTCCTCTGCGCTTTTAGACATTTGAAGGTATTTGTCACATGCTAATGGTTTCGTCAGCTGTCTTTGTGTATTGATAAGTAAGCAGGAAATGTCACAGTATCATACTATACTTGTAAATTTCATTCTTACCCAAAGAAAGAGACAGAGAGGTATTGTTTCGTGTTACATATCCGTGTCAAACAATGTCCTTTTTTGTCTCCGGCAGGGAAACAAGGACACGACTCCTGCAGTTGCTGCCAAACCATCAGAGGAGGTACATTTAGTCTTTCAGTGTTTAAGGAATAAACATTTGTGTTTGTGACATGTAGGAGCTGATGTGTTTTAGTGTGTATCAGAGTCGTTTTAACAACTTTAGTGTTTAACGTGCAGCTCTGCTTTTACTGTAGGTGGTGAACAGAACAGTGAGACAGAAGCAGAAGAAAGATATTGAGGTACAAACACGAACACTGGATCTTTGATATATATGTAGAGTTTTTTTTCGTACTTATTGACTGTTTATGTTGAATGGAGAGGAAGTGATGGGTGTTTGTGACAGTTTTTTTTAAAGAGGAACCCTGCCTTTTGCAACTACATAGACCTCATTCGATGTGTTTTTCTAATACGGCAGATCTAAAAAAAAATGTCACTTTAAAACAGTTTCAAGTTATTTCTGCCACAAAAGAAATGGTCTGTTACCAGGAATATTTGCTAAGAATGAAAACTGTCAATCACTCAAATATAACAGCCAATCCTTTACGGCACAGGCACATTTTTAAAGACGACATCGAGACTATATTACTTTGCTATTAAATATCAAATTTGTATTTGATCTGTGACATTTTTTGCAGAGTCAGTCGGATGATGATATCCTTAATGAGGAGGGGAACTCTCAAGACAAGAAAGTAAGTTCACACTATGAGTCAAATTGTATTAAGTACAACTGTATAGTATATATCTAGGAGTGATTGGTAAGGAGGCTGAAGTTGCTGTAAGGAGACTTTCTGATGAGTGTTTTCAGCTACATTCAGGTGAAAAGAAACAGTGAGCATTGTTGTAGGTGACCTTACCAACATCTAACTGCCCTAGTTTCTGCTTCCTACTGATCAGATGTTTCACGCTACAGCTATGCAAATGACGTGCGCTACCACGAGACTAGTATCAGTATGAGAAGTATGAGAGCTTGAGTTTATTGTTGCGTTACTCAAGGTAACGAGCTTTTCCCCCTTAAGTAGCTTTTCTAAACCATCTATATAATGTTGTCAGGGCTTAACCTAAAACATAAATGATTTCCAAACCGAACATACTTTATTTTTCATATCTTGTTTATGGAAACCGTGCATCACTGCTGGCATGTTCCTTCAAAATTCAGATACCAGTTTATAATTTTACATTTTCTTTAGGATTTCTTCTGCAATAGAAAATGAAGACATGCTGGTTTTAGCTGCATCTCCCTCCTATAGCTCATTAAGGGCGCAATAAGTGGAATATTAAAGACAGTAAAAACATACTGACATGTATAGATGGGCACGGTGCATGGATTTTTCTTTGCAGAGTTTGGTTTGTGGTTTACATTTGTGCTGATGCAAATTGATGTAAAGAAGTTCTCATGAAGTTCCTCCAGTTAGTTTCTCATGTCACGTAGCTCTTTGTCACTGTGCCATCCTCTGTTGTTTTGTTTTACAGACCAAGGTGAAAAAACACAAGCGCCATAACCCGTTTTTGGCGCGCGGTGCAGCCAAGGTAAACATAGCAGAGATGGTTTTTCTTTAGTTTGAAATTCAATATATAGAGACATTGTTTTACACCCACTTCACCTGGTCAGATGTGCTTTTCCTAAATCATTTCTTCCTACTTTTAACTCATCTAATTATTTCACTGTTGGACTAACTCTTAAATTATGATCTTCAGGCTCAGTCTGATGATGAAGGGCTGAAAGAAGAAGACAATTCTTCATCCAAGGAGGAGAAGAAAGATGAGGAGGACAAGGAGAAAACAGAGGAGGTCTTTAAACTCGTTTCCGCTTTCTAAAGGAACATTCCTGAATTTGACCCACTTTTATAATCTTCTTTAATCCTGATTTAACTTTTTAGGCCAAGGTCAAGAAACCCAAGAGACATAATCCCTTCTTGACTCGGATCAAGGTAAAAAACCATGCTACATGTACACACTGATCATAACTTTGAAAACGTCACTGCCCAAATGTCTTCAAACACGTCAGCCGGAAACATTTCTTCTTCAGATAATGTTGATGTTCAGGTTGAATCATCTGGAACTTTTCCTCCTATCATCAGTCAAATCCTTTTTTAAGATTCAGTCAGTGAACTCTCACTCTGTTTCACTGACAGGCCTGATTGTTGTTAAACTGGAGAAACAGGAATTTGAATAGACTAATCTGGGCCCACATCACATTACACCTTCATGGTGCTTAAGTACTCAACACCACAGTCACCCTTTCCAGGCATCCAGTACCCATGATGTTGTTCTCATGATACTCGTTTATCATTAAATATTAAAGTCAAAGTTTCGCACAAGTCTGAGCTGTCAGATCAGTGTATTTGCTATAATTGGATAAAGTTAAAGATACAGAAAGAGACACGGATCTGTATCTTAGTCAGCGTCAAATATAAGAGTTCCCACACATCTTGGAAAACAGTGTGAATATTTTTAGGTTTGGTCAAAAAATCTTTGATACAAAATTGGTTATACACCTCATAATTTATCAACTCTTCAGATTTTTAACAACAGCTATTGTGTTTCTGAAGTTTCACTGAGTCACGACGAAGGTAATCTGAAACGATTGTAATCTCACCTTCTTTGTTATCGTCACCAGGCTGCGTCTGATGATGAAGGGCTGAAAAGTGAGGAAGACAATGCTTCATCCAAAGAGGATAACAAAGATAAGGAGGGCAAAGAAATAACAGAGGTAGTCTTTATTCAGTTTTTCATAATTATGTGTTTGTTTCACTGTCATTACTACCAAAAGATCCAATATTTGACCTCTTTTTTTGCGCCAGTAACACTATTTTTTTTTTCTACAGCCCAAAGCGAGGAGACCAAAGAAGCACAATCCGTTCTTGCCTCAGGTTAAGGTAAAAATAAACGTGTATTTCCACGTTTGAAAATGACAACAGACTGTTATGATACACAGTGGCTTCTGATAGTGCAGCAGCAGTAGACTTAATAGTCTCAAAACATCTCTGAAAAAAAACGTTTTCTTCTCTGAGCTTTAAAGAATCCCACAAAAACACGAGAAAGGCTGAAAGCTGAATTTATTAGTAACAGGTGTACAAAGGGATAAGGTGAGATGAGACTTTGGTTGACTTTATAAACCTCCACAGATCCTTATTAAGAAGCCTCCGATCCAAAGTCTCCCATGGGTGTTAATTTAGGTTGAGATTTTGTTACCTTAAGGTTCAGGTCAGCTGGCTTCTGTTACCTGCTTCTGTCGTGTTTCTCTGCTGCATTGTTTGGATGTTTTAGTCATCACCTTTCTTCATCTCTTAAAAATATGTAGTCTAACTGTGTTATCTTGGCATAGATGGAAAGTTAGCATAACTTGAGTTCCAAACACGTTCAAGAGTAAAGGACAGGCTGATAACTAAAAAGAAATATTTGTTCTACATTTATACTCACCAGATTTCCTTTGTTTTGATCTGTAACTAGTTTCTTCTCTGATGGCAAAAGTTCATGAATAAAGCTGTTTGAACTGAGTTTGTGTTTTCTGGTTTCAGGGCAAAGCTGTACAGAGGCAAGCTCAGGATGGAGCTGGAAACTCAGCAGAGGTAAAGAAATAAAACACCCATTATTTCTTTTCCATAAAGGAGATTAAAAACTAGACAAACTAAAGAAATATAGACCCTCCTCCCTTTTGTTGGTCAGTGTCTGTGTGTTTGACCACCAAACAAACCTGTGACATTCTTGCTCATTGTGGTCCAGTGTTGCAAAACATCTATTGCAGCCACACAACCTGCCCCTGAAAACAGCCTCTTGCTTTTGTTTGTCTCCTGGGCGTCCTCTCAGCTCCCAACAGAGGTTATTATAGTCAGCATGTGTTTTTTTCCCCCTGCACTCTGGACATGAAACCCACCCCCTCACCCCTCCACTCCACACCATCGTGTTGGAACATGCCCTTAACATGGAAGATGAGATCAGTCTGGGTTGCAATGTGCCCAGACGAGTTTCTCTGCTTCCTTTTGAAACATGATTAGGGAAGGTTTGGGCTTTTGTACTTCTGCAAAAACAGCAGAAATACGGCAGTACGTTCAGAATCTTTTTGACCATGACTTCCTCCTCTTTGTCTGAATGTATCCAGTGTAAAAAAAAAAAGTGAAACTAAAGATACCTGACGCTTGCTTTGACTCAGTTTCTCAGCCTCTTCATCCTATAACATGTGCACTGTACTGTAGTAGTCATCCATACTCATTGTCTGTAAATCTTCGCCTTGTCCTTTTATGAATTTTAAGTGATGTTATTTGTCTTATTTCAGAATGAAGGAGGAAACAGATCCTTGTTTGACCAGCTGGAGGACTACCGCATTGATGGAAGGCAACCTGAAGACAGACAGGTCGGTTTCTTCTGTAAAAACATTAAAGTTTTCAGAGTCTAACTGTTTCCATTATCATGCAAACTCATATAAATGTGTGTTTTCCAGGATGTGGAGGATCTCATGGAGTGGTGGAACACAGTGGAGGGTAAATGTTGATCCTTTTTGTCTCTCTTTATACTGAGACCAGTTCCTCCCTGAACCAGAAATAAGCAGACACCTCAGTTTGTATCACTTCTTGTTTTATCTTCAATCTTTGGGCCCATGAGCTCAAGCTACAAGGATCTTAAAGCTGCAGTATGTGATGACATTAATGTGTAACATAACTGCAAGAGCTGAAGGGAGGGCCTGTCAGGGTCTGACACACGAAGGCAGATACTATAAGATCAGTAATATCATCACTACATGGTTAATCTTCTTTAAATACATGGTTATGACCTAGTGGGAGAGAAATCTATTAAAAAGGAGCCCCTTTGGACTAGTCCTTGGTCTCTAGCTCCTTCAAGCTCCATACTGGATAAAATAAAGTAACACAATAACAATCTCGTCTCTGCATCTCATCCTGGTGTAATGCTCATACCACTTTATAAAGCACAGCTCACTTTTTAGAGGAAAAACACAGTGTTAAAGTGTTTTTTGTTTCCTGAATTGTATCTTAACTGTGCACTAGCGTTCTTGAATCTGGTTAAAACTGTGATGACAGAGGAATTAAGACTATTTAACTATTACCACTTTCCCACAAATGTTTGTTTGTGTGAAGCGATCTACATCATCTCATCTTTTACCTTTCAGCTTGGGAGGAGACACCTCAAGATGATGACATGACTGAAAAGGAAGAGGCCAAGTGAGTAAAGTCTCAAATAGACATGATGAAGTTTTTGTACAGATACCTCTAAAATGACTTCCTTGAAGAAAAGAGTTTCATTTTTCCTGCTTGAAACATTGAAGAATGTAGACATGAAATATTTCCTAGAGTTGTGAGACAGTTCACAGATTGTAAAAGTTTTTTCGGTGTTTTATTAGAAGGAAAAAAACTAAATTTATGTTGTATGATGTTCACTCTCCTTCCAGGGCGTTTGCTGTGACGGCTGACAAAGTGCAGAAAGGCATCCGTGTCTTCAACAAACTCTTCTCAGAACGCGCTGAGACCCTTTGGCAGCACGTCATCGACCTCAACGGCATCGCAGATGGCCTGGACAAGTTCAGCAAGAACACAAAGATCGCTCAGATCACCGGCGGTTCCACCAGCGCCATCGGAGGCGTAGCCACCATCGCTGGCCTTGCTCTGGCTCCCGTCACCATGGGAACCTCTTTGATTGTCACTGCAGTGGGATTGGGTGTGGCAACGGCGGGGGGTCTGACATCTGCAGGTGCGGGCATCTCCAACCAGGTCAACAACTCTATGGACCGAAAGAAGGTGGAGAAGATTGTGCAGGACTATCAGGAGAAGATCACCGACCTCAACAAGTGCCTGAAGTTCATCAAGCAGGGTATCGAGAACCTGAAGAGGTTTGACCTGATGAAGATGAAGAAACACGCCTATAACCGTGACTTCCCCGTGCTCAGTGCTAGCTTCTATGAGGACGGCGCCATGGCGGGGAAAGCCATCCTCATCAATGCTAATGAGATCATGCGTGTGGTGCAGATCGCCAATGTGGCAGGCAGTACAGCGGCCAGAGCGGTCCAGATTGCCAGCATGGCCACTGGTGTCCTCACTGGACTCTTTGTAGGCATGGATATCTATTTCGTGGCCAAAGACTCCAAAGAACTCAAGAAAGGGGCCAAGTCAGAGTTCGCTGCCAAAATCAGGGAGGTGGCTACACAGCTGCATGACGGTCTGGTGGAGCTGAACTCTATCAGAGATGAGCTGCAAGCCACCCAACCAGAAGACAACCCTGAGAACAACGCAGCTCCTGAGGACACTGAAAACAAAGACAAGGGATTCAAATATGAGGATGAAGAGGAGGAAGACGAGATTGACCGCATTAAAAAAGCCATAAAAGCAGATTATGAGAAGCGAGAATATGTCTGACAGAAGCCTAAACTGTGCTTTTTATTGACTTCCAAAGGGAACTTTAAAGCAATGAACTTTTTCCCGGTTCCTCCTCTGAAACTCCAGCCGTCTTCTGAATCTTCAGCTCCAGATAACTGGTACCACCTTTCGTGAAATGGAAAAATACAAACGGAGCGACTTCGATTATCCAAAGAAGAGAGATTCGCTTGTTTCTCCAACTTCTGGACTTTCTTGTAGACACCTGATTTCTAATTTTGAACACTACGTGGAGGAACTGAGGCGTTGTGGTACAAAAATGTGTCACATCTGCTTCTGTGGTGGCTGTGCCAACGTGTGAAACTGACATGTTTTTTGAGAAAGGGAAACAGGTGAGGTGCAGACACTCAACAAGATCCCACACAGGCTATGGTATAGTTTTAAATGATGTGGCAAATAGGTGCAAACTACTTTGTGATTTTATAATTGAACCATGCTTAGAGTTTGATTTCATATTGAAACGAGAACTTATACTCAGTGTAGCAATAATGTGTATTTGGGATTAGTGCCTTTATTATTTATAGTGCCTCAGAAATAAAATATATAATGCAGTTTAGCATTTGTCTTTTACCTCATTGTGTTTCTTTCCTTTTTTTGTTGGTGTGAGGGTGCAACAAAGCTGCTTCAGTACATCTCCTGCTTGTTATTTTGGATTCTGTTTCAGACTTTGCGAGTCTTCTAAAGCTACTATCATCTCATTTTGAAGACTGGTATCAGTTAACTTTGTTTTAAGTTGTTTCAAACAAAAGGTGAAAAAACTGAGTTGAGCTCAAAAGGCAATCTCAAATGTAGTCAATGCAGAAGCGTTTAAAACTGCAGTTCCAAGACTGTCCACTTGGGGCTGGGGCTGAAAGCTGAGGAATCCCCATTGACACCCATGTTACAGATCCCATCTTTAGAGACGAGATAAAAATGTTCACAGGCTGGGACAAAAACGGTCTCATTAGGTCATTTCTACAGTTTTACACAATCCATGTTAGATTTGCACCCATCTACAAATCTAAATATATTTTTTACTTTTTAAATGTACTTATAACTCAAAAAAGTCTAAGCTAGTCAAGATTTAAATGATGCGTACATTGTTGATTAGGAAACACTTTCATGAACCAAAAGCAGTAAACTGTCTAAAGAGGAAATCAAATCTCTTAACATTAGCAGGCCCATGTTTGTCTTATCTGTTCGTCAAGCTAGTTAGCAAATATTTCAGTTGTAAATGACTCATGATCAGTGCAGTTTTTTTACCCAGTAAATGCGTTTTTATGAAGCGGCGTGGTAAAATTTTAACCATGCTTGCTTTGAACTTGTGAGGAGCTGGTGCAAACGAAAGCAGAGCATGAAAACAAACACGAATACTGCTTGAGGTGAACTTGTGAGAAAGAAAAAAAACTTTCAGGAATCCGAGAATTTAAGCTTTAGTTTTCAGTGCTTTGCGACATTAGCTGCGATAACAGTTTCCAGGTGTATGGGATTCCCTCAGATGACTGGAATGGGGTTTGAAAAGTCAAGCAAAACTGAGTCAACACTCCTCCAAATAGCCATGAGTCATTTTTCTTTCATGACAGCATAAAGACTGTTACTCCACATTGACTCTTTGATAAGCAGCCTGCACTGTTAGCATCAATGCTGTCAGCCCTGTGGTCTGTTTCATGATCTTTATATTTATTTTCTGGTCCTGGGTGGAGTTGTTTACTGAACGACAGCTTTTTTATGTGCAATATATTGTAGGATCCTATGTGTAATAAATGTAAATGTAAAATTGGTTATTAAAAGTCTAAAAAAATCATCGTCTCTCAATCTGTGCGTTTTGCAGAGTTTACATGAAAGCGAGCAAACACTTCATTTCCTTCAGCCGACTGGGCTCATACTGAGCTGGTGTTTGCTTAGTTAAAAATCGTGATAAACTTGTTCGTCAAAGCTTTCCCATGAAGTGTTTACTTTTCTCAAGAGATTTTATGATTAATGTAGATAGATGTCTGCTTCCTGTATCAGATATCCATTACTCCAGAGGTACGACAAAGGACTGTCCTTCTGGGGAAGGAGCTCTTTCTCTTATTAAAGCAGATTCCATCACAGAGTCTAACAGAGCTTTTTGTTTGATGGTATCAAGGTCTATTGGATGTCAGAGATGGGTGTGGTGAACTCCATCCTTTTCATGCTGTTTTGAGTCAGCAGCTCCTCCTCCTGCTGGATTCAGACTCCATGGGAAACTCTGTCTCTACTGATGACCATGCTGTTACTACACCAGGTTTTTGTTTACATGTCAAACATAGCAGTCAATTAAAGTCAGCATCAGCACAATATTCAACCATCCAACACGAACCACACCCGCAGCAAACCCTCAGTGAGCTGGTTTGGATTTGAAGTGCACCGAGTTACACCTGTAACCACACCTGATGGCGGTGACAGCTGTACTGACCACACCCAACTGTGATGTCAGAGTGTGCTGACCACACTCTGAGGTATTCCTCATCATCGTCAAAGCCTGATGGATGTTAATTTTTGTACTAAGTAGAATCATTGCCAGTACGGTGGCTGTGGAGGTCTAATACTCAAACATTTTAGGACCACAAAAATTCTTCACTGAATGCCAAAAATATTTAATTAATTGCACAATCAATTCACACAACGCAAGAACTCAAAAATTTAAAATATTTTGGGAGCTATAAAAATTGTAAAAATTAAATAGATAAATAAAATTAATAAAATACAGAAAAAGTTCACGCACTTGACCACATACATAAAATGCAAATTTTTTTTACAAAATACAGAAAAAGTTCACAAACTTGACCACATACATGAAATGCAAAAAAAAAAAAAAAAAAATACAGAAAAATTTCACAAACTTGACCACATACATAAAATGCAAAAAATAAAATTAAAAAAATTGAATGCAAAAAGATTTACTAGTCATAAAAAATGAACACAATAAACACTTTACTAAACAAAACAAAAAAAATCTTGGCACAAAAAAAAATTGCAAACATTAAACAATTATTGAAATAATTCATAAAATGAATGGTTGTTTAGTGTTTTTGCCCAGACATTAGATAAAGGAAAAATTCCAATAAAGCAAATAATCATGCGTATATTATGACATATTATGAATTTAGAGAAGGATGGTAGAAATATGAATTAAACATGAAAAGCTCAAAATAGAGGAATCAATGGTAAAACAACTGGAAACTAAAGGTAGAGATTGAAAGACTGGGATTGACTTGTCAGTGTATTTTCATGCTGTCATTGTTTCTATTATGTTTCCAGTGTGATCCCTCAGTGTGTCAGTGTTCAGACTCCTGCTGACATAATAACTGCAGTTTTTATTTCTATTTCGAGAACAGATCCCAGCTCGTTGCTATGTTTTTGACACTTGTGAAACTGATGACTCAGAGTCACACCGACTGGAAAACGCGTTTGTTTCACTCCCACAGACACAGGTAAACCTCACACTAGCCACGCCCCACTCCCAGGTGAGACCACAGCAATCACGAAGGCGGACAAGCGTTTGAGAGAAATCATCATCCTCGACTGCAAAACACAGGTGAGGTACCAGATACCTTTACTTTATCTGTCTTTGGCGCGACTATCCGGTTAAACTCTGTCCATGACTGTTATTTTAGAGAGGTGAGACGCTGTGCAGGAAGAAGAAGCTTTCAGGGCGTGTTGGGGTTTGTTTAAGATGCTTTGTTCGACCTGTAGCCAGTGTTGCCTTTGGGTGGTGTCGGAAATACTTAGACTGCATGAGCTATAGGTAAATACACCTGAGTGAGAACCATAGCAACATAAAACAGGCTTAGGGTGTAGGCTAGCGGGGTCGGTGTTAAAGCAAAGTTGGCTGGTAGGCTTATTAAATAATACATGAGTAATGTGCATGTAGATTTCTTTCTTTCTTTTTTTTTTACATTTTGGGCAAATAAGTAAAATAACCAACTGTTTTGCACTTTTTTTTTGTTTTTAAAAGTCACGTGGCAAATGTGTATCTGTTATCTATGCATGGGTAGTTTTGACATTTATCCACATTGAACATGATGTTGACACTGAGGCTTTTTTAAAAAATATTAATATTAATATTAATAGTATAGTTTTATCATAACTAATGTGGTACCTGTGGTTTAAGCATGAAACTAAAATAGCACCATTTGAAACCTTAGTATATTCAATCTTTTAGGATTTACAGATTCAATAAACCTCTAAATACTAAAAATAAAAATAAAAATCAACAGGTTCAAGAATCCATCATACGTTTGTGAAATACGTCTATGGCTGTTTGGTTTATAAATCCAAGCCAGGATCGTAAACAACAACAACAAACCAAAACGCTTCAGTCAGATGCGACAGAAAAACTGCGATGTCGGAGCCGTGGTTCTGCTCCTGAATGCCTCATGCGTGCAGATGTTGTTGTGCGGGTGTGGTAGTGAAGTTTTAAAAACTCCTGGGAATGTGGTGACAGTGAAGGAGCCGCGGCTGCTCTCTGCTGCTTTGATATGTTTGGTTGAACTGGATACGAAGTTTGTCGGCTGTGCCCTCAAAATTTCGGTAGGTAAGAGCCTGACACCCTCATGTCTCAGTTTAAGAGCGTTAAACGTTTGTAATTTAAAATTTAACCGTCCGCTTATATGACGCTTTTATCTTCAGATTTAACGGCCGGCTCGCGCGATCTCAAAGATGACAGTTTGTTAGCTTAAAGTTTGGTGTAGCTCTGCAGCCTGATGTCTCTGTTTTTTTGGGAAATGTGAATTGTGATACTTCTCTAAATGCTTCATTCAGTGACTGACCGATGTAACTGTGGCTTATACCTCTTCCTGAACCGAAACTGATGTCAGAAAATAGAGCAAAAGTACTTAAAACCCTCACAGTTGCTGTAATTCTACGTCTGTTAGGAAGTTTAACCTTTAATTCACCTTTAAATACCCAGTTTGACTTTTTTCTCATTTTATTTGCTGCTTACAATTGACAAAACGATAATACACTGATAATTTGTTGCATGTAGGTTAATTATTTGGTAAACCATGGTCCTGAGATATGACCTTTTTTACATAGAGTATTGCAATCTTGTTTTGTTCTTTTGTAGTATTCTGGGCTTCAGCTTCATGTACTTCCTAAAATGTAGGTGTACTCCTCAGATTTCTGATTTAACTGTTACGAAAAACAGGAAAATCCTACACTTCTGTGAGTTTTTGAACTTGCCTAATAATTAAAGCTCCTGTCAGGAAGTTTGGGCCTCCGGTGACTTTGGCGCCCCCTGTGGACAAAGTGATACTCATTATCTCTTTGCAGATTTGGTCTTGTTTATTTTTGTAAGTCATCCAGAGGCAAATATATATCGATTTGAGTCTGTTTTATAACCAGCTAGAAACTTCTCACAGGAGCTTTAACATCATTATTGATTACTCAGGATGCACTCGTTGGCATTAGAGGTGTGAATTGAAAAAATGCAATGCCTGGTACACAGCCCATCATGACAATAGTACTAAGATACAGCAATTCTGAATAATTGACCAATTGCAAGTCAGTCTTAATAAGATACATCGCACTATATGATTGATTATGGAAAACAAAATTCCTCTGACAGGTAAAATGCAAGATTATGATATTTGAACTATCGCAAAAAGGAAACAAAAGAATAGAGCGACTTAACTTGGAAGAGTGCTGTATAGTGCTTGATTATCCATGAACCGAATGATTGTGTTTCTCAAGTCAAGATGAAAATATGTCACAGGGTCAGTATTTATTTCTATTCCTATTCGGCAAATAATTTGACCTTTGCTGATCTAAGTGGTTTACGTATTGGTTTTGTAGCATTTATTCAATGATGGCAAGTTAAAGCAAACCCTATTATCAGCCTGCTGGAAAACAAACTCAGGAGCTGAAATTTGCTGAATTAAGGGATTCAAAACTTGTCTGAGCACTGATGGAAAGAGAGATTAAAATTACAACACCTGAGTTTCGAGAAAGGAAATGTAGTTCAGTCCCTAAATGGATCAATAAAAGGTTTACAAGAGATTGAGAAAAGTCAGTGAGTCAGATTTACTAAAGAGGGATTGTGGTGAACTCTTCACCTGTGAAATGACACGGAGCATTGAGAACAAGTTCAACCTGGTCCTTTAGGGAACCTGATCTGTACATTAACCTGTCTTGTCCTCCTTGAATAATGCAGAAAAGGCGCTCAGTGCTAAACTGGGTCAAAAGATAACCCAGATTGTCATAGCTTTTTTTTTCCGTATTGTAACTGTCACTAACAAACCACCTTCGAGCAAACCTACTGCTTTACACATTTATCTGGAATGTGTCGCTGATGTATGCCTCTCTTCTTTTACTGCTTCGTGCTGCATGTGCTGCTTTTTGTCGGATCTTTTTGAACATCTAGAAACTATTTGAAAATGTAAAACTGCATGTTCAACTGTCTTGATAAGGGTGTATCTGAAGACCTTTTGTAAAAAAAAAACACAATGGAGTGAAATACTAGAGATTTAGTTTCGACACTTCACCTCCATAGGCGATTCAAGAGTTTAAATACTTGGTGCTGACTATGATTCTGATTTTTGCTTCTGCTACACATTAAATATTTTGACTTGCCAAAGCAGGGGATGCACATATGGAGTTAATCACACTGGTTTGGACACATTTGGATTGGATTTTAAGAGAGACAGCTTGGATCTGAAACAGGACTGGCCACTACTGTTCTACTTCTTACAACACCTTTCCTCCATTAGCGTTGAAGGGTTCTGTAATTAAAGCATTTAAGGAGCAAACAGCCCTCTTTAACAGTTATATAATGACTTTTAAGAACATGAGGATAACATGTTACTATTAACATTTAATGATTGTTGGCTGTGTTCAGTCTGGTGTTCTACTCTTTGTGACCATAAACTGTGGAAAATGTGAACAGTTGCTCATAGCTCTGCTGTGTGCTGCTGTAAATCCTGCAGGTTTGCTGTGATTCAACACAGAGACAACATTCAAAGCATCCGCGCAGAGATGGTCAGTCTAGTAGCTGATAGTCTGTTTTGCATTCGTACATCTAAAGGAATCAAGTATTAAATTTGAGTTTGTTTTATAACTAGAGAAAAGCTTGAGCAGGAATGCACAACAACAGGGCGCTGGATTAAACTGCTCTCAGCTGCAGGAAATTGCAAATTGCAGTGAAAGAAAAAGCTCGAGGGCAGAATCTTTTTAACCACAAACAAGCTTCAAATCTTTGTAAGAATGGGCCATAGACTGTATATACTATGGACAACTTGGTTCTGCCTTCCGTCTGTATACGGATTTTAAGCCAGTGTAGTGATGCGCAGTAGTGATGTGCGCATTTGGGCGCGCAGTCGCTAAGAGTCGCTGTGATGACGCTCGGCTCAAACAGCGTATCCCCACGGGTGAGCTACGCAATCCCTGAACGCCCATAGGCTGTATCAGGTGTCAATCATAGAAAACATGAACCCCCTAATAACTTTTAAAAACAGAGCTTCACAGAAAAAAAGAGGACTTGAGCACAAACCAGTCTTACTGTAACTACGTGTCAACATCACAAGCAGGGGGGGAGAAACATTTATTTTCTGTGTGATAAATGTCTAAAGTTTGTCCACAGCTCCATAAGCTTTGCTGGCGGAGGAGGGATTTATGACCTATACTGCAGCCTGTCACCAGAGGGTGCTGTTCTCAGAGTGGCTTTACCCAGCAAGGAGGCAGACTCTGTCCATTCTTTATACAGTCTATGGAATGGGCTCACATCGAAAACAGACAAGAATCTCATGTTATGAAGACAAGTATAGATGGTTGTGTGAATACAGAGTTTGTATTTTAGTTTCACTGCTGTGTAATAACCTGGTAGTTGATGGGAAACTCAAAATTGATTAAAAAGATTAAACCAGTACAATTTTTACTCTTCACTCATTATTTGGGTGTAGTACAGAAATGGTATACACCCCAAGGCGAAGCAGGGATGCAAGTTAATAAAAAAACAAATGTGCTTTTCCTGTTAAAAGGTTTGCTGGGAAGTCAGTGTGTTTCTTGAGTAAGGTGTTGAAACCTAGATTTTCTGATCGTCTCAGCTGGAAATCAGTATGTTCACATTTTCTTTTTATTTTGCATTGTTACAGGCAGGATGGAGATGATGAAGCCAGAAGTTAAAAAAAAACCCAAACCAGTAAGAAAACATCAACATAGTAATCAAAAGCTTAAAATATTCTGTGTTATAAAACATACAATCAGGACTCATAGCAACTCATGATTTCCTCTTTTTCTACAGCCGAGACCTCTTCCAAGATCCTCTGAGGTATAGTAACTCTAATTTTCCAAAAGCTTTGTATAAAGTTTTCAATGTTTGCCAATGTGTTCATGTGGTGGCACAGTAGAGAAGATGTTAAGTGGTTGAAAACAGCTGAATTCCTTCTGTTTAGGAACATTAATGTGTGTAAATATGAAAGTAAAAATATGAAAACTTTTCCAGGTGAAAATAAGTGACCAAGAGAAAGAGGAGAAACCGGCTCCTTCGGTGCCTCTAAGACCTGCAGATGCTGTAAGTTCAACCTGTTTGAGCATTTAGTCTGTACATACAGACCGTGTTTTATACTCTAAGATTTCTAAACAAATAAAAGACCTGATAAGGCGAGAAAATAAGCGCCTTCTAATTTGCAAAAAGAGTCAACTTTATATTTATTTCTGTGCAGGAGCTGAGTCACACACAGTATAGGATGAAAAGGGCAGTATGGGAAAACATTGAGGTATGCATCAAATATATGTTTTATTGGAATTATTATTGATTTGGCTTCTGCAGCTGCTAAACTTGTACAGATGAGCCCAAGAGTTATACGCTCACAAAACTGCACTGCTAATCTAATGGCGCCACCATTCAACATTCATCGTATTAATAAGGGTTTAAAACATTTTTCTTTTCTTTTTTCCACATTTATCAGGCAAACGGATACTCGATGCAAAAAGAGACAAAAGACAAACATCCTGAAACACCTGTGGTTCCACCCAGACCCACAGAAAAGGTGCAGTTCACTCAAAAACCTCAACTTCTTAACATTGTAGTAAGAATCGAACATGAATTTTTACAGTAATTTCAGTTTGCGAGAACATTTGGTGCCACAAAGAATTGTAACTGAAGCTCAGGTGAATCTTTAACCTTTTGTCGTCTGTGTTTAGTGTGAGAAGGGTTTACAGTAAAGAATCACCAGGAGCTACACAGGGTTTCATGTTTCTTTCCTGCTCAGAACATCTTTGTTATTGTTCCCCCGGGGCTTTTTCTCTTTATGTGTGCAGGAACTTAACGCCACAACCAGATACAACCATCGCAGGAGGGGGCGAGCTGAGGACGCACAGGTAACACACAAACACACACACATACAGTACACACACAGTGGAATGTCATCTTCCTCCTTGCTTTGTTTTTTATGAGTTTCTTCCTCTTCCTGATCAGAGTGCTAAAGAAAATGACCAATCAGAAGATCCCAGGGATGAAACAGACTTCAAACAGGTATTTCTGCTTTTAAAAGATAATAACTGCCACCTTTGACCGAATTTATAAACACTATATGAAACCTCCTCCTCCTCTTTATTAACTCTGCTTTTTATGGTGTAGAAAAATCAGTCCAGCCTGTCTGGGATGTTTAAACGGAGCCAGAAAGAGAAACCGCCGACGTTCACTGTAAGCATCAAACCTGCAGCTTTATTTTTGTGCAGTAAATTACAGGAAATTCGAGTTTCTTTTCTGAGGGATTATGGTTTCCAACAAGATTAGTTTAAAATTATTCATTTGAATGATGATGAATTTGTCAGTATGTGTGCAATAGTTCCCAGTGGAGTGTCAAAACCAAAATGAAAATACAAAACAAGGTGGAGAAGAAAACAAATTTAAAGTTTTATCCCATTAATATTTAGTCACACACCACTATCACATTTTTTAACACGTAGATCATCTGAAAAGTGTTGATAGAGGAATAATTTCCCCCAAAATGAGTATTTTTAATCAATCAATCAATCAATCAATCAATCAATCAATCAATCAATCAATCAACTTTATTTCTATAGCACATTTAAAAGAACCATGGGGGTAGCCAAAGTGCTGTACTTTGAGACATAAAAAAAAATAAAACAATCAAAGAACAAGATAAAGCGAGCAAAAGTACATTAATGCAAAAAATAGATAAATATATAAATAAGCAGGCTCACGGCAAGCGCTGCGATGATAACAAACAAAATAACACTTCAATGTATTAAAAGGCAAGGAGCAAAAGTGCATTTTTGCAAGGGATTTAAAAACAGGAAATGAGGAGGCCTGTCTAATTTTCAAGGGCAACTCATTCCAGAGCTTGGGAGCAGCTACACACCAGACTTGATTCATTTCATCAGCTGATCTCAGTCTTCAGACAGCTGATTGGTCAGACTGCGTGCTCTTGATTGGTTGGAAGGAAAACCTGCAGCCACACCGGCCCTTTGTGGAATAGTTTGGACATGCCTGCCTTAAGGAAATTCTCTTTAAAGTTAGTGTTCATTTTGATCATACTAACACAGAAGTATATCAGATATCAACAACATATCATTAATAATTATAACTTTATTTTTATAGCACTTTTAAAAACAGAAGTTTACAAAGTGCTTTGATAAACAGTTGCTAAGCATCAGCACATGGAAATAAAAACAAATAAAAAACAGAAGCTCAGTTAAAAACAAGGCCTCCGAATTGAAGGCTAATTTCATTTGTCGTAAGAAACCCAGACAATACAAGAACCCTAACGACATAAAATAAGACCACGAGGACCAAAATGAAAACATAAAATAGGTAAGAAGAAGAAATTTAATAAAAATGGGGGTAGAAAACAGGAAACAGGATGGTAAATATAAAAAGACGATATTAATAATGATAATAAAATCTTCATAAAATAATAATGATGGTAATATTAATGATAAAATGGAATAACCAAAATGAGCAGGAAAAAACATTAAAATCAATAAAAGGTCTAAAAGGTTAAATAAGAAAAGATTCTAAGTAAAACAAAGGCTAAAAGGACAGTAAGTCGAAAATATTGTTGAAAATGTATTAAAGCCTGACAGATCAATCGCTGAAAAGGCTCCCGGTGGCAAACAGGTGTGTGTAGGTGTGTACAGGTATTACACATCAGTGTTTATTCAGACACACAGCAGGTGTGTCAGCATGTGAGAGCTGTTTTTGATTATGTAAGTTATTTGATTAATAAACATTAAGGCCAGATAAAGAAGCCTCATATTTAATATAATGTAAAAAATATAAGGCATCAAGCATAAATGTTAGAAATCAATATAACAAGCACAGATGGAGCTTTGTGTCCAGTGGAGTGGATGTTGTATTTAGAGCAGAAATCTATCTCGACTGCGGGTCTTGATCACCTCTTACTCGCTGAGCATTTACCTGATTTTTCTTTCCTCTCCAGAGCTATGTGACCCACAACTTGGACAAAGATGAAAAACCTGAGGAAGCTCCGGTCAAACAGGCTCCTGCAGGCAAACAGGTGTGTGTGTGTGTGTGTGTCCTCACTGGTTTATGTTTATGTGTAAGTTCAACGCCAGTGTAACAAAGAGGAGTGTCTAAAAATGTGCTCACACTCAGTCTGCCTCCCTGAGCAAAGGAGTCTGGGATACCTCGCAGATGTTTCCACTGTGAATTAGCATTCACAGGTCTTGAGGACATGAAACTTATCTTCAAAAGTCGAGCACAAGTAGCTTGTAGTTGTCATTTCCTTCATGTTTATCAGCTGATTCATGACTTGACTGTGATTGACAGGGCGGTCTGAAGGACATAATGAAAGGTTTGCAGTTCAAGTCGTCTCCAAAGGTATGGAGCGGAGTTTGGTTTGGAGCTTGTTGCTGGTGGTGGTTACACTATTCTGAGTAAAGCATCTACTGGTGACTTTTTTATCAGGTGCACTGGTACATGTGTGCTGGTTTTGTTGTATATTCAAATGTGTTTTCTGTGGGCGAAGAGATGCTGTGTGATAGCAATGTGAGGATTTCAGACACGTGATCTGCTCTGTAATGTCATCAGCATCATAACTTTTGATTTGTTTATTATTTTAATAGTTAAATAAACTTATTTTTACAACAACAAAGGACCAAAACACAGAAGAGTCAGCTGCGAATAAGTGGCTGGTTAAAAGAGATCGTAAAAGTTTAAGATGTATATTGTGTGTTTGAATATGTGTGATTTCTCTGCTCTGCTTGTGTAAATGAAAAATCCAGGATAATAATATTTATGATGCTGAAGGTTGTCGACTCTTCTCTCAGACCAGCAGAGAGCCAAGTCCAGAGCAGCGCTCAGAGGAAGCAGCCGCAGAAAAGGAAGAACAAACCGAGAAGAACAAGCAGGAGAGGAACGCAGAGCCAAAACAGGTGAGAGGAAAACAGTAACTGTACAGAAACATTATAATATTCCGTTTGTCTGTTCACATGAACAGTCTGGTTCTGCATTTAAAAGCTCTCTATAAAAAGAGTTGATCCACATCAAATCAGTTTTTTCAATAACACAGAAAGTTCCCCGTTAGATGATTCACTTTGAAATCTTTTTTTTCTCAGGATATCGGTGCTCTGTTCACTGGGATGTTTCGTAAAAATCAGAAAGAGAGACCTGCGGTAAAATCACCTTTTTTTTCTCTTTAAAGTCTCACCTCTTTGATTCCTCCAACGCATCGTCCTCATGACTCTCCTCATTTCCAGGTCAGCAAAGCAGACAGTGATGCAGAAGAAACAGAGGACGCAGAAGACAAAGGTGCCGATCAGTCAAACGTAAGTCCTGCCTTTAGTCGATCTGATAGTTGTTTTTTTACGATTGTTGACTTTGTGTTTGTATTTTAATCCTTATGAAGGAAACTATTCAAAGAGAAAACCTTTTTTTTTTTCAGGAAAAGGGGAGCTTCTTTGGCAAGCTTAAAAAACCTGCTAAAACAGCAGATGATAAGGTAAGGGGAAAACAGACCAAACCTCCAATAAAGAAGTAAATTCATGTTTATATGGTTCAAAACTTTTGAAGTTCATCCTTCTCCCCTTTTTTTGATCATATCACGATGGTGTTTCAGGAGAATCTGAGTGCGCAGAAAGAGCTGTCTGCTAGTAATGACAGTCTGTCTGAAAACAAGGTGAGCAAATACTTAAGGTTATCTTTAATTGTCGTATTCGCAGACTTGGACCTAACCGTGTACAGAGGTCTCTTCATATCATGATGTCTATCAAAAAAGTAAAAAAATAATAAAAAATTTAAGTTTATTAATACTTTTGTTTCAGGAAAAAGGAGGAATATTTAGCGGGATGTTCAGAAAGTCTCCAAAACCATCAGAAGCTGCTCAAACTGAGGAGGTGATGAAGCTGAAAAAGAAACTGGAAACTTCATGTTTTAGTTGAAGTTAACATTTATCATACATCCATTAAAAAAGGCCTAAAAATGTCATATTAGGTTGATCCAGTGGTTTATGACAACACTGATCCAGGTGGTTTTATGTTTCAGGACCAGAAGTCTCTCAATGACGACCTGTCGGGCAGTAACGATAATCTGTCTGAGAACTCGAAGGTGAGCTCAGAGGTATTCATCTGTGAAGAGACAGAATTATAGCTGCAGCGCTGTCATTATGATCATGATGTAACAGTCGCTGATCGTTTGAATAAACCTGTCTGACTTCACCAGGAAAAAGGAGGATTTTTCAGCGGGATCCTTCGAAAGTCCCCAAAGCCTCCTGCAGAGGAAACACCTGAGCAGGTAAACGTGTTTCTGTAAACAACTCAGATCCTCCGATTATCAGGAAATGTCTTTTTGCAGTTGTGGCAGCACTCAGATCAGTTCAGACTTGATGGAGAAAGCGGAAGGATGACTGTGTGGATGACTTTAGGTGTTAATTAATCATGATAAGTGTCTTTGATCCTAATTTTAAAAGATAGCTTTTATTTGCTGGAAAAGTTTACCTGAGTCTGATGGTAATAAATGTTGAAATAATTGCAGCTGATATCTCTGTGCCTGCTTTCTGGAAAGTGTGATCCTCGGTAGACTAAAGAAAGCACATGTGAATAGCTGTGCCACATTAAAACTGTGTATTTGTCTTTGTTACAGGACAAATTGTCTGTGCTTACTGACCCATTGGACAGTAATAAAGCTCCTCCTGAAAACAGCACCACTAAAGTAAGACACTTCTGAACGTTTGAATCTGATATTTGCTTTGAGTTCAGCCCTCAACATGAAAAATTAGACCAGTTTCAGCTTTACGTATTTCTCTCTGCCTCCACTTCACATCTATTTATTTAGCACCTTCAAAACCCAGGTAACTCTGGGCTTTAAAAACAGAAAAACATGAAAGCAAAAGACAAAATGTAATGAATTCAAACACAGTAAGAGCCGTAAAAGTTTACACAGCTCAGTCACAAAAATGCATGAGCAAAGATTTTTAATCGCTTTTTTTTAATAGAACTTATTTGAACATGAACAACAATAAACATAGTACAAATTAAAGACATAAACACAAAAAACAGAAAGAAAACAAAACCAGAGAGTCAAATAGTTTTGTCATTTGCATGTTCAAAACGGAGTGGGAGGAAGTCAAAACTTGTCTAATCCCACCCCTTTAGAATGAAAGAAAATTAAAGAGTGAAACAGAGTTTGTTGATCGGTAAACTGACAATATGTGTTTTCTTTCTGTTGCAGGAAAAAGGAAACGTTTTCAGCGGCATGTTCAAGAGATCTCCTAAACCATCGGAGGGGCCTCGCCTGGAGGAGGTAGAGCATTTATGAGCTGACATCATTCTGGAAACATTCATCTTAGATCTGCTTTGTAAACGGATTAATGCAGGAGAATTCAACTCCGTCCTCATACCTGTATTATTTCAGTCACTGTTTGAATATGAGTCTGAGGTGTTTGGTGTCTGTGTTCACACTGGTTGAGTGACATTTTTGTTGTGTTAAGGGTGCAGAGTCTTTACACGGTGAGCTCTCTGCCAGCTCTGACAGCCTGTCAGAGAACAAGGTGAGTCCTCATAATAGATGTTACGCGCCCACTGAAACTACATGACTCACCACGTAAAATTTGAAAAAAAACTGTTTGAACAAAACTATCTGTGAGGAAGATGAGACTCCTTTTTTTTTTAGAAGATGATGGAAATTTCTCATGGGTTAACTTTGACATGTTTTTGTTTTCTGTAGGAGAAGGGTGGTTTGTTCAGCGGGCTTCTGAAAAAGACTCCAAAAACAACTGGAGAGGTAAAGTTTCATTAAAGTACAGTTAAGTTTTTACAAGGAACTTCATGACAGACTGTAAACAGCTGCATGCTTGTGTTTAGGCACCAAGACCCGGTCTGAATGCTGGTTTTCTGGGTGTGGTTTTTACTGTATTTGAATTTGACTCACAAAGCAACGCATAGTGAGAACCAGCAGCGAAGAGTGAAATGTAAATAAGATCGCTTTATTTATCTGATGTGCAGTAAACTCAATACAAAAGAGTGCACATTTGAAGCACCATACAAAAACTAATGTTCACACGGTTTAAGGTCCTGTCTTTCTCTTAAGATGTAGAAACACTGAATTTTATATTTGAGCATAATCCCATGACATTCTCTGAACCATTTCCTGCAGATTTACTCTGTTTCTGACGGTTTCATTTATTTTTTTCAGGGAAATCTAACGGCACAGAAAGATCTTTCAGCCAGCAATGACAGCCTGTCTGAGCCTGCCAGCACAAAGGTCAGAATTTGTTTTATCATGTTGATAGATTTGTGAGCAGGTTAGCAGATATATACTGAAAAGTGACCCCAGGCAGAGAGGATAAATAACTGCCCAGATCACAGGTTAAGAATAAGAAGCTGACTCAGAAGTCACTAGGAATCCTTGAGCACCATGTAAAAAATGTTCATTTTTACACCAGAGATAAACATCTTTACAGCCTACAGATAGTTTTCTTTTTTTCCTTTATCTCAGACATGTAATCCTTTTCACGGACCTTCAATCAGTCTTTTAATCAGCCTTTATTTATATAGCACTTTTCATACACGACCATGTAGCACAAAGTGCTTTACACAGAAAAAGGAATAAAACAAACAAAGAAAACCCAAATCTACCCTTGCCCAAACCCTCATTCCCACCCCATGATCTAAACACAACAAAAACAGTATTAAAATGCGTAAACTTAAAAAGGGCTTGATTCCGTGGAAACAGGAATGTGTCCACTGAGGAAATGTCAGGGAAACACTGGAGGTTAAGGTTAAAATCTAAAAACAAAGTAACATAGAATGAAAATTTAAGAAATAATAAGTAAAATGAAATAAAAACAACAGTAAAAGATACTAAAATAAGAGCACCAAAATAGCTCAATAAAAGACGATCCTGTCTTTAAAACTAGAAAGGGATAAATGCTAAAACACTTAAACAAAGTTAATGATATAAAATTTGGTTAAAAGCAAGACTAAAGAGGTACATTTTGAGTTTGGTTTTAAAGTCATTAAGATTAGGTGCAGTCCTCAGGTCTTTAGGTCTTCATGTTTGACATGTTTTCGGCAGAAACTTCTGCCTTCCTCAGAAGTGTCTTTTACAACCTGGTACAACAGCAGCTTCTGTCTCTGTAGCTCATTTCTTTATTAACACAAACTGTACAGGGGAGGATTTATTTTATTTAAGCTGTTTTCATTTTATTCAGTTTAAGAGTAATCTATGAATTTACACTATAAAGGATGAGTCTGATTCAACTCACAATGGGCTGTCAGGAGGCTGAAGGTTTACTCTACCTCAGGTCTACCTGACCAAAATGAGGTTGTGTCAGTATCTCCAATATGGCGACTGCCATTGTTTGGCTTCGAAGCGCCTCTATGTGAAAAAACGTGTGAAGTGACTGAAACTATATCCATGCCCCAGAGTCTATGACAGTAAATCATCTCAAGGTCTGTGACTTTTGGACTGAAACAAGAAACGAACTGACCGACAATTTCTCAGCAACTGTTTATCAATGAAAAGCTGTAAAGATTAAATCAATTTTAAGCATAAATGGCAAAAATATCTCAATTTTTAGCTTCATTATTTCCAGTTTTTCTGTCTTTCATTGTTTTTTAACTTAAAGAATCCATGCTGTCCTCTGTGTTTCAGGAGAAAGGAAGTGGGTTCAGCGGACTATTCAAGAAGTCATCCAAACCTGCAGACAATCCTTCTTCAGAGGAAGTAAGAAGACTCTTCATCTCAGTTTCTGACCTAGTACCATCTCTATAGTCTCAACTTTGATACTCCTCATCCTATAAACATAAAGATACACATACAGAGCTACTTCCCAACATTTGTAAACAGACTTCTTTGAGCACAGGTGCCTGTCTGTTTTGCTGAGTGTTCACGACTCGAATTATTTTGATGTTTTTCAGGAAAAGCAGCTGAAAGACAAAGAGCTCTCAGGCAGCAATGAAGCTCTGTCTGAAAACAGCGTCAAGGTGATTATTCTGGTGAATAAAAAAAAAATCAAAGCCCTTTTTAATATCTCGACAAGGAAGAGAACTCATTATCGTTGTATGTCTGCTTTAGGAAAAAGGAAAGAAATTCGGGGGAATGTTCAAGAAAGCTCCCAAACCTGCAGAAACAGCTCAATCAGAGGAGGTAATATTTATGTTTTCAGCTCTAAAGAGATGCTCAGAGGTCTTAAAAGGCATCAACACAGATTCAAAATCTATTTTATTATAATGAAAACCTTCTTACAGGATGATGCTCCTGACAAAGAACTCTCAGCAAGCAATGAGAATTTATCTGAGACCAAACAGGTGAGAGAGTCAAACCCCAGCGTGAGTAATTTTCAACAAAAAGGTCGCTCAGACAATCTCAGACCGGTCCTAAATCTTCGTTTTTTGTCTGTTTCATCAGGAGAAAGGTGGAGGCTTGTTCAGTGGACTCCTTAAAAAGCCTCCCAAAGCGTCAGGAGAGAAGGCAGAGTCACCGGTGAATGAGTGTTTCCTTGATTCAAGACAAGCTTCCAAGCTTGTGCACACAATAAATGTCAATATTGAATTTATCATGAGTTCTGTTTTGTGTTTCAGGAGGGAGAGGCTCAGAAGCAGCTGTCAGCCAGCAATGACGACCTGTCTGAGGGGAACACCACTAAGGTGAGCGCTACCTCAGAATCTGATCAAACCTGTGAATATACCCCCTTCAGAGTGAGCGCTCAAAGACGGACTTCTTCTTCTTATTTCTTTTAGGAGAAAAATATTTTCTGCAACATGTTTAAGAAACCTCAGAAACCAGCAGAGGGCGCTGCAGCAGACAAGGTAGTGTGACGAGATTAAACTGAACACACTAGACGTTTTTTTCACGCTGTGTAAAATTTGATTGTTCCTGTTTTCTTTCTTGATGTCAGGATGTGGAGGGGAAAAGTGAAAAGCAGTTATCAGCCAGCACTGAGAATCTGTCTGACACCACCGCCCCCAAGGTACCCCAGTCTGGATTAAAACCCTCTTTAGTCTACATGAACTGAAATCTGATCAGATATAAGACTTTATGTGATGATTCAGTCTGTTTCCTGACTTGTTATTGTCACTTTTTTGCATTATTTTTTGTGTTTATATCTGAAATCAGATTTTTAAAAGTACATAAAAGAAAAAAGAAGTACAATAAAACAGCAAACAACAACCTCTTCTCCCCACTCTACCTGTCTGTTGTCAAAATTAGAAAGATGACATGAATGTAGATAAGAAAAAAAGATAGAAAATGAACATTTCTACACTCACTTTATGCAAAAACAATGACTGAAAAATAATCACAGTCCTCTCCACTCTGAACTTGGAAGCCGGTTAAACTTCTAAGTTTTTTTCACTGTATGACTTCACTTGACAGCAATGACAATAATGTGTGTTTCAGGAGAAAAAAGGAGGCCTGGGAGGCATCTTCAAAAGATCAGCCAGCATTGACGACCTGTTTGACGAGGTCAGTATTTAATTTGTGTTCACCTACAGTAATTTCCGACCTTTAAGATAAGATAAGAAGAACTTTATTTATCTCCAAAGGGAAATTGAATAATAGTAATGGTAGATCAGGGCATCACTTGGGAGAAAATCCTTTTTACACAGGACAACCAAACAATCTGTAGCATGTTCAATCTCAGCTTATAGAATTGATGTCTGCTATGGTGCACTGAGGTTGACCCAGCACTGTCTGTCAGAGACTGCTAACTAATCAACAGTCATGTAAAGTGTAATTCTAGAAACCTAGAGCTCATTCTGGACTTTTTTTTCAAGCGCGGCAAGAGGATTTTGTCAGCAAAGGCTTCCAGTTTGAAACACTGCACCCTAACTCTGCTGTCACCTTTCATTTATTGTTTTACACTCTATTGTTGGTTCACTCATCAGGAGAAAGGTGGACTTTTCAGTGGACTTCGAAAGAAAACACCTAAAGCGTCCGGAGACAATCTATCAGCTGAGGTGAGTGACTCTGTTGTCATCAGTCTCTGTGATCTTTGTTGTTGTGCACTCTGATACCAAAACTACATTTTCTCTTAAAGGACAAGGACGATCAGAAGGATCTGTTTGGAAGTACTGACAGTCTGTCTGAAAATGGCAACACCAAGGTAGAGTGTTGAGAAATATTACAAACCATTAATGAAGTCCTTTAACTTTTAACGCACCTTACACATTGTGTCTGTGTTTAATATCTGTTTCCAGGAGAAAAGTATTTTCAGTGGCATGTTTAAGAAAACGCCCAAAGTAACAGATGGGAATGTAACAGATGAGGTACAGAGAAAGTTACTATTCTTTGTTATATATCTTTTAAAGTTATTCTAATGCTCATGTCTTTTAATTGTCAGAAATTTTAAACTTTATTCTCTGTTTTTTTGTGTTTAGGAGTTAGACCAAGGAGAGGTCAAGAGGTTATATCCCAGCATTGAAAATCTGCTAGAGCCATCCACGACAAAGGTACAAATGTTGTCTGATCATTGTAGTTGAAGTCTTCGTTTCCTCTGCGATGTTCTGATCGTTGAAAAACTTCTGTGTGAATGTTTCAGGAGAAGTCAGGAGGACTGTCAGGAATCTTCAAAAAGTCTCCCAAACCGTCCCCACGCAAAATCGCTGCTAAGGTAACCAGATAAACCCATTTCAGTTTATTTGTTGAACATGTGCAACTAATTTTAAGTGTGCAGTAATATCTTGCATGAGCATGTTTAAGGAGCCCCTAAAACAAACTGAAGTGTGTACAACTCTCCTTTATTCTTTCCAGGATCCTCTCTCAAAGGAACTGTCCGCCAGCTGCGACAGCCTCCCAGGAGCTGCAGAGGTGAGAACCGATGGGTTTGTGGAGTTACTGTTGTCCTGTCTGCAGTGTGTTTTCATGTCTTCACTGAGCGTTTATCGAATCCTGCAGCAAACATTAAAAATTCACCCTTACTTAAGTTTTAATTTATCCTCAAACATCTTAATAAGTTTTGACCTTGTGTTGAACTTCTTGTGAGACATTTCCCTCCCAAAAAATAGATGTGTAATATAATAAATGTTTTGTACTTTGTAGGACGATCTGCGTGAAATGTCAGCCAGTACTGAAGATCTCTTAGAAGCTACCGGCAACACAAAGGTGAGTCTCTCAGAGGTAATAACTCTGTTTGATCGAATCAGCATATTTTCAACTTTTATTTCAAGATTTGAATAAATGTCTGTTTGTCTGTTTTAATCAGGAAAAGAAAAGCGGATTTGCAGGAATGTTCAGGAGGAACAAAACGCTTGAACATCAGGTACACCCGGAGTCACCTGGAGGAAAAATAGGGATGATTTCCACTCGATTCTGTCAATATAAAAATATAAAGAACTGATTTTTCATCTTTATTGCAAATGTTCAGATATTCAGTCCAAGAGCAAAGTGATCTGTCACCTCATTTATACTTATATTTTTGGAAAATTTTCGAGTTATTTAAAAAAAAAGCATTTCTGTATAAATGAAAAGATGCTTTTAAACTCAGGAATCCTTGTACCGACCTCTGACATCTGTTTCTGTCTCCATTTTCAGGACAGTGAAGACATGGAGGCACCCGAAGGAGGCGGGCTGAGACGCAGGAGAACCATCAAGAAAAAGAAACGAGTGAGTATCCCAGAATCTGACTGTGTGGTTATTTTCTCTTGCTTGTTCTGTCTGAAGCTTGATGTCTAAGTTTATTCCTCACTGATAAAGCTTACTTTCTCTTTTTCCTCAGGTTGTGTCATTCAGGGTGAAAAAAACTCTTCCCAAACTACCAAAACTCAACCAGGTTTGTACTCATCTGATGACATCTAAGATCTCATACGGATACAGATGTAGGGAGGCTTGTTGCTGTAAAATTTATGGGACCAGTTAAAATGTGTAGACATTATTTCCCCAGAATAATTTGATCATTTCAATGATATTTAAGATCTTTTTTTTCTTTAACAGGATTCAGAAAAGATGCCTATGATCGAGGAGACAGTGGAGATGCAGGAGTTGAACCCACCGGCACAGGTTTGAGAAAAAGAGGAGGGGATGTCATCGTAGGGATAACAGAGATTTTTGATAGCTTGAGTAGCAAGCACAGTTCCTCTTAACTTGTTTATAAAAAGGAGTAAAACTGAATCTTCTGGTCTGTCTCACATCTTCTGAGAATCAGTTTTAATTTACATAGAGAAGGATTGTGATAGTATTTCAAGAAATCATAAAATTTGTCACATAATCTTTTGATTTGTGTTTGTCTTCCAGGAGGGTTCATTTGAAGTCCAGCCTGTGGAGATCGCAGCTTATCCCACTGAAGGGAACTCTCTGGAGGCTCAGGAGGTCGGTCTGTCAGCGCCTCTTCACACCTGTTACTAAGTTAACATGATCAGGATTTCACACCAAACACAGATGAATCACACAGACCAACTCTGAGACTAGACAGAAGATTAAGAATCGAACATCTACTATACTGTAATCTAATTAGAGACACTGAACTGCACCAGCTTAAACTGCCTGAATCTTTGGTCCACGGCAGACTTTGATTGACAGTTTTCACTCCAGTTTGTTTTTAGTGTTTTCAAATCTGCGACTGATGCGTTAGGTTTTCCTTTCATTAACTAAAGTCTGTGTTTTCAGGAAAGCGATGAGCTGATACAGTGGTGGCACACCGTCAAAAGTGAGCTTCTTTTCTTCATTCTCACCTGATTATATTTGTTTGGACTCATTCGTCTGAGAATTATCAAATAAAAGCACAAGTATCTGGATTAAATTAGCCTTAAAATCATAAAATAGACAAAAGAAAAAAAGTGTGTTTTCATCTACTAATCGCTCTGCTGGTTTACAGGCTGGGCAGAGTGGAACGAGACGTCAAATCTCCAGGAGATGGACGAGGAAACGTGAGAAACTTCTATTCTAATAACTTTTCTAGAAGTTTACTCATCGAAGCAGTTCTTTGGTTTTGTTTTGCCACAAATAGGGTTGAGTTAGTGTATTTTCATTCACTTGTAGCACTTCTGATGGTAACATGTAATAAATTGTTATTTAGATCATAAAATTAGATACTTGAAAAGGCATATGTTTAAGAATTTAAAGGACTAGTTTGACTTTTTTTCCAACAAGGCCTATGAGCAGCAGCCTGCGCACGAGTTCATCAGTGAATGTCTTGGTTCATGGCTCTCCTGTGTCTCCTCAGGGCGATGGAGATGGCAGCTGATCGAGTCTACATGGCGGCTCGTCTCTTCGTGCGCCTCTTCAACCAGCGGGGGGCATCCTTACAGCACCGCATCCTTGAGCTCTTGGCTCTGGCTGACGCCGCGGATCAGTTCCACAAGAAAACGGTGTCGGTGGCTGTGGGAGGAGGAGTGGCCAGTGTGGCCGGCAGCGTGGCTACAATCACAGGGCTCATTCTGGCCCCCTTCACTTTTGGAGCCTCTATAATCGTCACGGCGGTGGGGATCGGCGTGGCGACGGCAGGCAGCATCACCTCTGCCACGGCTAATATCACGGACACAGTTCACTCCAACATGGACCGCAAGAAGCTGGAGAAGATGATCCAGGGTTACCAGGAGGAGATTAAAGACATCAGGGAGATTATGGAGTTTGTGCAGGTGAGGGAATGAACAGATTCAGTCTTTGTTTTTCAGGTTTTCCTCCCTTTCTAGGATATCATAAAGTAATAATACATATAATTTTATTTCCTGTACTGATTATAGAAAAAGAAAAAAACAAGAAATTTGACTTAGAGAGTGAAACAAATCCAGGGAGTAAAGTCTCCGAAAAACTTTGTCTCGTCTTCATCCAGTAATTGTTTCTCTTTGTCTCTCGTAGGCTGGTATGGACACCCTGCAGGAGTGGGACTTTGAGAAGTACTCACAGAGCGCCGCCAAAAAGGCCATGAACCACAACCTGAAGCACGTGATGAAAGAAGGCGGCCGTGCAGGAAAAGCCCTGATGATCAACACCGACAAACTCATCAGCACTGTGCAGGTTCTGGGCGCTGCAGGCGGCGCCGCCAAAGCCGCTTCGGCCATCAGCGTCACCACAGGGGTCATGTCGGCCCTCTTCCTGGCTCTGGACGTTTTCTTCCTCGCCAAAGACTCCCACGAGCTTCGCAAAGGAGCGAAAACGAAGTTCGCCAGAAAGATCAGGGACGTGTGTAAAGAACTTCAGGACGGGCTGCTGGAGCTGAACAAAGTGAAGACCCAGCTGCAGAAGACGATGGACGGCATCGAGGTGGAGGAGTACGAGGAGATTCAGGAGGTGGAGGAGGAGGTCGATGACGACGATTTAGAGTCAGATCCAAAGAAGCTGGCTGAGCTGGAGCAGGAGCTGGACCTCCTGGAGGAGAAACTGGACCAAAAGGTTGAAGACGAGAGAAAAAGGTTGAAAGAGATCGAGATGGAGAAGCAAAGGGAGAGAGAAAAAGAATACGAGCTTCTGAAAAGCAAGAAGGAAAAGGAGACGAGCATGAAGGAAAAAGAGGCTGAAGAGGAGGCGATAGAACTGGAGAAGATTTCCGACGGGGAAAAAGAGAAGAAAAACGAAGATGTCCAAGAGGAAAGTACAAAAGCAGAACCTCAGAAGGAAAAAAAGAAGGAAAAGGAAACTGAGACCTGGATCACAGCGGCGAAAGAAAAGTTTGACTTCCTGCGAGACAAGCCGAAAGAAAACAAGGAGAAAGAGAAAAATAAAACTGGACAAGACAAAGAGGAAACGAAGAGCAAATCAGGCGATTCAAAACAAGAGGATCAGGTCGAAAAAGTGCAGTCAGTGAAGGTTAAGGGCGAGAAAGAAAGCGAGAGGAAGAACAGCAGCAGCAGAGAGGAGGAAAAAGAGATGAAACCTGAGTGGAAAAAAGAAAGAGGAACCGAAGGTGGGGATACGGTGACAAGGAGGCACAGCAGCAGGAGTGACAACGACGGACCCGTGTGGAGAGAGAGAGGGAGCAAACATGAAGAGAGAGATGCCGACAGCAGCAGCATTAGTGGACACGAGAAACACAGCAGCAGAACCGAGAGCTGGAGGAAGACGGAGGAGGAGAGAGGAGTGAAGGACTGGAGAGCCGAGCTGGCGAAGAGTAGAGAGGAGAAGAAGGAGAGCAAGGAAGGAAGAGAATCCCGAAGAGAGGATCACGGGAAAAGTGACACGAGGAGAGACTCACATCGCAGCCACGAATCTACAGCATCCAGGAGGGAGCGCATGGAGAGGGGATGGGTGGGAGAGTCTGATTCAAAGAGGAGTCACCACAGGAGAGGATCTGACGAGCAGAGGGAGAGAGACGAGAAGAGAGGGAGCAGGATTGAGAGTGCGAGGAGGAAGTTTGAGAGAGCTGAAGGTGAGGAGGAGGACAAGGACAAGGAGAGGGAGAGGAGGAGAGAGAACCGGGAGAGGAAAGGGAGTGACAGAGATAGAGACAGAGACAGAGAGCACAGACACAGCCACAGAGGGTCTCGATCACAGCCCAACGCTCTGCTGGAAGACGGACTTTATATTTAGATACGTCTCATAGAAATCATCCCACTAAAGGTTCAAACTGCACAGCAGACCAAACTACCTTACTGATTTATGTTCATTCCCTCGTCCTAAACAGTGACTTTTTTCTGAGAAACCTGGATAACATGGCTGAGGAGAGTTTCATGTTTTGTTGAACATCATGAAACATCAGGTAGTTACTGATAAGAGATGTGCCAAAAATAGAGGTGGATGTTGAATGGAACCTGAGGAGACAGCAGGAGTAGTCTGACATGTCAAGTTGAAGCCTGATGATGTGGAAAAACTTTTTTTTTGCATTAGTATAAAATCAATCAAAAAACTTCCTGCCAACTTCAAAAGAGACAGAGATGTCTTTTTACTTCTACAACAGGAGTCTTTTTCACCTCTACCAGTTTAGATCAAATCATGTGTGTTGAACAGGGACCTTCTATTTACCTTTTTTGATGCTTTTATATTATGGAGGAAGCTGCTAGTGTGTCATCACTGCTTTAAAACTACGATTTATTAATGTATAAAGGTCACAGCTTTACATTTATATTTAAAACTGTTACATGTTTTAGTGAATCTACATGGTGTCTGTTACTTATTAAAGTCCTGCAGGTTGTTTCAGGGTAAAACTGGGATTACTGTAAAATTCTGTATTGTGCTTTTATTACTCATGAGTTGTTTATTTTGTGTAGTTGGACAGTGCTTTTACTTGTGTGTGTGTGTGCACATATGGATAAGAAAGGGAAAATCTCAGGCAGGACAAAAACTCATATCAGAGTTCCTTAAAATCACCTTTTATAAACTGTTTAACACTCAGAGCACTTTATCCCTCAGCTATCTTCATCCTGTCTGTTACGCCATTACTTTTTTTTTGTTTTTTGTCTAATATTTTTATATTTTCACTGTTTGTATTTTTATATATATATGTGGTCTTTTCTATGGTGCTGGTTTCTTACTGAACAAATAAATTATTAGAATAACTGGAAACATAATGTTGCTTTGGCGCTTAATTTGACATTTGACATTACAGACAATCTTTTTTTTTTTTTTTTTTTCACCGTCAAACATGTCATTTTAAATAACATGATGTGTAGTATTAGTTAAAACTGGAACAAATACTGAAAACTTTTTAAGATTAAAAAACTAACAAAACTCCTTTTTTTAAATACAGAACAATCAACACAAAACGCAAATTAAGTTTGTGGAGGACTCAAGAGCAGCCATCTTAATTTTAATTCAAAAACTTTTAACTGTTTAATTTCCTGCATCATTATGTTTCTTCAGATATAATCACAGGTGAAAAAATCTCTTCTTGCTCTGCTCTTTACTTGGCCAAACAAAAATGTTATTTTTTTTTAGGTGTATTTACAAAAAAAGCTTTTAATATCATTCAATAAATATTAGTAATTGGTGACATTTGGGGCTATCGCAGTGATTTCTTACGCCTGTGTAGTCGACATTTTAAATTTTTAACGGTCCGCTCATTTTGAATTTAAACAAAGCCGTTACCCACCTTCTCGACCTGATTGGTTGTGAGGCAAAAGCTGCTTCCTCGTTTCATGAGGCACGTTTAACGTCCTCGAATAACGTCCACGAGCCCAAACAAAGTCAGCGTGCTACAATATCGAACAGTAGAAACCAACCAGAAAGTACAGAAAAATGTCTGAATCCTCCTTTGGCCACGACTGCCAACACAAGAAAGAAAACCAAGAAAATACCGGAGACTCTGGCGGAATAACGGGTGCTTAAAAATGAGGTAGACAAGAGGTAAAAAGCCGGGTTAGCATCAATGAAGCATAAACGACGGACGCTGCGGGTTCTTCGTGACCTTGACCCTGTAACCTTTCTGCTGGACAGGTAAACCGCTTTAACAAAGTAAGCCAAGTGCCTGCAACAGAAGTATTTCTTGTCAAACGGGACCTGCTGCATGTTGTAGTGCTGCTAAACTGTTGACCTCGGGTCCTGAACTATGTCACTTTATCCTAGTTGTAGAAGTCCTGCAAAAATTGTGTTTGCTGGTAGTCTGTTGGCATCTACAGTAGCACCGATGCTGTTTACTTTCATGTTGACTGGGCCCCATTTGTAATTATCTGTAAGTACTTATCTGCATTATGTCTGAATTAGGATACCGTTCCTATCAGTTTTACATTTTAAAAGTATCTTTAAAATATTTAAGTGTATTGGGGAAACAAAATCCTGCTTTTCTAAAACAAGGTGACTGATGATCCTATATATTTCTTCATCATTCCCTTTAAGTAATAATCATCATATTGATAATTTTTCCCTGCAGACGTGGTAGTTCTTGTGCCTTAGCCTCTCGGTCTGATTGCATTTTCATGAAGAAATGATCATAAATGTTCTTCCTTGAGCTGCGAAACTCCACTGCAGTTGATGGACTGGCCCGAGGTCTGAGAGGGACCCAGCTGCAGCCGGGTACTTTTGTAAGCGTTTGACAAGTACAAGGAAATACATAACTTTGTACGTTTAAAGCACTTCCGGTATTTTGAAGGAACAAAATGTACGACTATTAACATACCTGGGTATTCACAGGTATATTTCATGCACAAAAAAGAACACCTTTTGACCCGAATTTGTTAGTTTTACTCGAAATTTTTTTTTGTAATTACTCATTTCGTTTAACACCTTTTATTTTGAAATCATCGACCCGGAAGTCTCGTCACATTAACTTCCCTTCTTCCTCCGTTCTGTTTTTCCGGTGCCAACAGTGCTCGGTATCATGGCGCAAGCAGTTCAGAAGCTCGTTGCGAAAGTCCCGACTTTAGTTGGTGGTAAGTTAACTTGCTATTGTTTGTAAAAAAAAAATAAAAATAACCCTCATAAAGGGAAGTATGTTGGCTAACCGCGCAGCAGGAAGTAGTTCGGCACAGCGTGGTAACAGCTGCACAAGTTGAGTGTGACCTCTGGTAAAGTGATCTCAGGTGTTTCAACCACTAACACAGGTGCACTTTCTAAACTGTGATTATAAGGTATTTTTATCTAACAGTTCAAGGTCAGAGACGCAAACTGATATTATTGTTCTTTAACTGTGCTGCTTTTAGCCTCAGATGTTCTGTTAAATAAAAGTTTATCTCACCTGCAGCGGCTGTTGCATACTCCAAACCCCGGCTCGCGACCTTTTGGTACTATGCCCGCGTGGAGCTGGTCCCACCTTCACCTGCTGAGATCCCCAAAGCAATAGAGGCCGCAAAGGGCCTGATCAAGAGCTATCAGGCGGGACGTGTGGGACAAACCACAATAAGGGTGAGTTTTAAAAGAGGGGGGGTTTGGTTTACGGGTGTTGAGGTGACTTTTATTTCTAATCGAAATTCGTCAAAAAGGTTCTTGAATCGGACTAATGATCTACTTAGTTTCCAGAAAACCACCCTGCAGCATTTGTAGTTCAGTCTGGATATCATAAAGGTGTTCCCCTTGTCAAGTAATCAAGAAAATCATATACTGAGCAAAGATGCATTAGGAATAATGGATCTACACTGGGCATTTGGCAACAAACAGAAACAATCAGTAAATAACATTTTAAGCCATTGCAGTAGGGCTGCACGGTATATCGTTTGAGCAGCGTCATTGCGATGTACATGTGAACTCATCCAATTTCAAGGGTAGATACACTGCATGTGACTCTGCGTGCGCTGTGCAGCGATCCACCAATCACATTCATTCTCTGCTCAGTGGCCAATCAGACTACCCTGCCAGCCGTCAATCATAATCAGAGAGGAGAATACCATGCCCCTCCACATGGAGTAAGTCGCTGGCGCTGCCGGTGTTGTGCTGAGAAACGCATACCCGCCGAGAATTACTTTGGTAACATTACTCATCACTGTTTAGCCCAACAAATAAGAATTGTATGGGTTTTAAATTGTACATTTCCATGGACCGCTCTACTATAAGTGGTGCGTGTTTCTGTAAGGTCGTTGCAATTCTCGGCGGGCATGTGTTTCTCGATACAACACCGGTTACAACAACAACGATTTCAAAATGAGAAACGAACAAGAGAAAACCACCGAATATGAAGACTCCTTGACAAAAAGAAAAGGAAAGTCAGTTATCTGGAATTATTTCGGTTGCAAGAAGGATGATGTCGACCAAAACACGTGTTCTGTGTTCATCTGTTTCCACAATAACAAACCAGCACAATAAAAGCAAGCTAAAAATATCTCTAAGACAGACAGAAGCCATTCTACTAACATTCACAAAAAGAGGTAAGATCAGAGCAGGTTAACTGTCCTCAAGACTTCAGCAGAAAGTGATATTCAGATCAAATGCTGAAAATTCCTCTTTTTTTCAGTATTGCAATAAATATCACAGGGTTGAAAAAAATTGCAGTGTTAATTTTTTCCAGTATCTTGCAGCCTTACATTGCAGTTCATTTTAAAATGAGTGAAGAATCTAAAATGTCAAGAACATGATGTTAAATATTAACCTGGACAGACTTTGTTCATGTTGAAGGTACTCTATCACATTAGACTTAACTGTTTACATTCAAATACAAGTGTGTGTGTGTGTGTGTGTGTGTGTGTGTGTGTTTTCAGTAGGCAGTGTGTGGTGGACACAGGCTCTAACCTTCAAAGTTGTTGGACCTATTTTTTGAGTGGAATCAGATCTTTTTCTTGTTTGTTTAACAGGACGCCTTGAGGAATGGACTTGTGACCACTGAGGTTCTGATGTGGTTCTACATCGGGGAATGCATCGGCAAAGGAGGCATAATTGGATACGATGTCTGAATGTTGAATTGTTCTTCTGCACTTCCTAATGTCACATTCACAGCAGCCTGCACTAAAATAAACTTGTCTTAAATCTGAGAAAAATATAAGGCATCTCTTGGGTTTTTATTTTCAGTGAGTTCATATTTTATTTAGATACAAAGACTGTACGCAAACAAAACAAGTCACTGTGGAGAAAGTCCAGCTTACTGTAGAAAAGTTTGCAAGAGGTTAGGGAATGTCAGACAGCTGAATGACAGCGAAGAAAAATAGTTGAGAAACAGAGAGTACCAGTGGTGAGTCCTTATTCATTAGGCTGCTTAGTGTTCAGCTACGTAATGATTGACATCTCTTCTCGCTCCCGGCTTTCTGACATTGCATTGACAACATTCCCCAAGTATCTCTGGAAAGCTACCTTCACATCCTCAGGTTCATCGTCCAGATTGGAGTGAATAAGCGGCAGTCTGCTCAAATGTGATGCTGCATCAAAAGAGGGGACATGTTAGTCTGTTAATTCATTACAAAAAGCTTATGTGACAGCTTTGAAAGGCCTGCAGAGGAAATACCTAGAGGCAGCCGTCCTTCTTCCACTTCGCTGCCAGGTTTGTGGTGAGCGATGAGTAGACACTGGCTGTCAAGCAAACTTTGAGGGGAGATAAACATTGAGTGCCACGTCTCAATTTCCTTGAGGTGACTTGGAACATCTGGATTAAAAACGATCACAACACCACTGGAGTCCTTCATCAGTGCTGGCCAGCAGGATTCAAATCTATGAAAAGAATAAACTGTATGTCTGTATCATAGCATAAGACTCTGAGAGGAAAACCAATTATGGATTGCATGGATGAGAAAATAACAGAATAGCAATTTATTGTCATGACTCATGTATTTTGATTATAATGCATGAATTATTTTTTTTTTTATCAAAGACTAATCCTGGACTCTAAACCAATTTCTCTCTTATGTGACCCCCCTCATTACTTCTTTATTACTCCTCAAACTGAAACCATCAATCCTACTCATTACCTTTCAGGGGCAGCGTGTCTTCTTCACTTCATATCTTAATGTGCATTATTGTCCTGCAGTTTTTCAGTTATCGCAGAATTGTATCATGATTCAATGAGTTAGTTTTGTTTCAGTATTTAAACTGTAATTACCCCTAATGGACAACAATGTCAGTTCTTATTTATGCCTCTAGTCATACAAAACACTCTAGTGATCATTTATCTTACTTGAAGTCTCCTGAACAGTCCCAGAGTTCGACCTCACATGCCCTGCCACCTCCACCGGCTCCAGATTGTGACTCAAATTCCAGTATCCTTGGAGAAAAAGTGGTTGACACTAATAATCATTCAGGTGAATTTACATAAAAATGAAAACAACTTCACAAAAGTTTTGCTTGATCAAAGTATTTCTATCTCAAGGATTTGCTTGTGTCATGTGGAAAACTGAATGAAATTGGACACATGGTTCTTACCTTACTCCTTGAGTTGGACTGTATTCACCTCCCATATATTCTGAGGTTTCTGAGAGGAAATTTGCAAGAACTGTTTTCCCGCTCTGAAAAAAGGATGAATGGTTTTAATAACTACTTAAAATGTGAGAAGGATTTTGTTTAAAATATATATATATGACTTAACATTGGGTCTGCAAGCAACTTAACAAAGACTGTACCTCTTTACAGCAATGTTTGATTTGGCATTATGGGAAAAACACATTTGCTTCCAGTAACACTAACTGGGTGAATCCTCTTTCAAGGGGAACACATTGGTTTAGCCTTAATGATGGCAATCATGATTCATGTCATCAGTAACACATACAGTTTCCTCTAACTAATGTTATAAGTTAAACTTGTGTTCTTCCTCCATTGCATACCATTGTGTGAAAATGATAATATGTAAAAGGGATAAAGCGTAAAATTAATTTCAGGTCAAACACATACTAACACCAAGTTAGACATCCCCTCGAGAGATGAATGTTGCCGCCGCTTGGTTCTCTAGTTATACCAACTTAAGTAACGACCGCAAATGTTCTTCCTTGAGCTGCGTCACCCCGCTGTAGTCAGTGGACTCGCCTGGAGGTCTCGCTACCAACAATCGGCTGCTAGAAGATCTTAGGTGAGTTGTGTTTATCCCTTTAAGTTTTTATGGAGGAAGTGTTTTTTAGACTGATGCAGCTTTAGCTCAGGACAAGTATGGAAATACCTCTAGCGCAATTCTGCAAACGTTTGTTGCATTAGGTACAAGTCCTCTCTGAAATCCCGTTTTGATCAGTTTGCAAGCATTAGCTTGGAGATTAGTTATGAAGCTAACATATTCTTCAGCCTGTTAAGCATGAAAGATGCTAGGATTTAACCATTACGTTGTCGCATTCACTTACCTCACTTGGACCAATAAAGAGTATTTTTGCTTTGAACATTTCCACTCAAAAGGAGCTGAACCTTCGCTACATTAGTTGTAAGAGCCGATAGCAAAAGCTATTTATTCCTCCAAAGCGCTTTACACTACGCAGTAAACTTCCGTTTTGTTTCTATGGTTTCAGTCACTCTCTTTGTTTTCTCGTCTTCATTGGTTGCTGATCAAATATCGCCCGCCCATCATTTCAACTGGAGAACAAATCAGCAGCCAGGAAAACATTTTAACGTCATCACGTTGCCGCAGAGCTGACCAATCCAGTTGAATCTGAAAGAGGGGGCTCTTCGGTTTGGAGCAGCAGCGTTCCTCGTAACCGACATAATCTGAAAGTGTAAGTAATATTTTCATTTTCAGCGGCATTACTGCGACGTTTTTACCCCAAGTATCTTAGCGTCGAGTCAGTGATTTTGGCTCGTAGAATTAAGTAAATGTTTGCCGAAATGTACAGCTTGGTTAGAAGAGGTCTTTTGTGTTGCTATGGAGCAAGCTCAGTTAGCGTGCATAGCAACCTTGTCCTTTCCTTACAAACCGAGCACACCGGGCTACAGGCAGTAATAATCGATCATTCAGGTCCAAAGTGGAACCGACCCCCTGTCTTCATATGTGTGTCGTTCTCTTAGTAGTAGTAGGATGGCTCCAGAGGATGACCTCCAGAGTCCTCATCTTGGTCTCAGCCCTGCCTGGGAGGATGTTCCTCTGAGCTGTGCTGACCTTGCTCCCTCTCAGAAGCTGGGGAGACAAACCAGAGCCCGCAGCAGTCCCCAAATAAGATCACCAGAGGATCACATCAACAGGTGAGGTCTTATGATGCATGAGCGTCTGACATAGGAGAGAGTGGGGTAAGTTGAGCCAAAGGGTAAGTTGAGCCACCCCCTGTTGTTTGGAAATGGTTAAAGAAATTGATCATGTGACCAAATATTTAGGAGATGGGCGTCAATTCATGGAGTCACGGCTCAACTTACCCCGCTCCCATGGTCAACTGACCCCATACAAGTTGACCATAGGAGACCACTTTTTTGTCATGCTATATGATCAAGACAGTTCTGTTTACACTCATTCTGTTGGTTTGCAGGGATGCACAACATCTTGAAATATATACAGATACACTTGTTAGAGACAAAACTATTATTGCCTTGATGTAGTGATCCGAAATATCAAAAATGGCTCATCTTACCCCACTCTCCCCTACAGCCCATGATGTATGTATGGATAAACCTCACCAAGCCAGTCCTAGCTGATATAAACACTTCTTTCTGTTTTCCTCATTAAGCCATGAAGATGGAAAAAGCCATTTCCTGAGAATCTTGACAGATGCAGAAGCAGCTGCTAACTCTGCTGCCATACAGCTGGTGTCTTTTAAAGATGCCATGGAAAATGAATTTGCTGTAAGTTTTATTTTCTTTCCTATTTTTCATACATCAAGTTAAGTTAAAACTAAGAAGGAGCTCTATGTTGAGCCTCAAAGTGATGTAGCAGCATTGAAAATAATTTTGACATTTGTTATTCATAATACTTTTTTTTTTAAATAAAGGACTCAAGACAGTCTGCCACTGACAAACGCAAAATTACCAGGCAGAGAGGACTGCTGCTGGAGAAGCTGGAGGACTTTAGAAGAATAAATAAGTCTGTTCGACAAAAACTAAAACAGCTTCAAGATGCAGAGGTCGGTAACAACGATTCTGTCTTTGGCTGAAAGATATCTAAAACTAGCATTAGATAACGCCTGTCTTTTCCAATTAGGCTCAACGTCTTAATGCTGACCATCAAATCGACATTTTATTGAAGAAGATCTCGCAAGCTGAGAGTGAAAACGAGGTGAGTAGTCTTTAATCTGATTTAACATGTGTTTTAATTGTAATAGCTTGTAAGATTAATGTCAAGGCTGTGTCATCCAATGCAATTTAATTCATATGATAACTAACGGATGTGACATGAAAGCATCTGCTGTGTGAGATTGAATTTATGCACTCTCATTGCACAAGAAACAAAGAGTAGAATTAATTCCATTCACAAACACATTTTTGTTTATTTCTTCCTACAGCTCTTAAAAAGGAATTTGAGCGAGACAGAAAGAAAAGTTAAAGAGCTGATGAATCAGCGGAAAGAAGAGCAGGTAAGGACAGCAGAACTTTTCACTTCCACGTCTGTTAGAAATGTCATTCAGCATCAGAAAGAGTCAGTCTGTTACACCCTTTACAGGAGACCATGAAGAGCGCGGTTCACATGACCAAGTCTGTGGAGGCGACTCGTGCTCACCTGCAGGGTCAGCTGCGCAGCAAAGAAGCCGAAAATAATCGCCTGACAGTGCAATTAAAGGTAAGAAAGTGGTAACCCTTATCTCTTTCTTAGTGTCTGCTAATGTTAAAACTGGTCTGTGCTGATTTTAAAAGAAGAAAAAAGATTGACAGGAATTTAAAAACATGCAAATCCAAAGTTATAGACATAAATTTGGTGCTAAAATGACGTCAAACATACAAAACGCAAAGCCATCATACTTAATATCTCTTACTTTTAGGTAAATGTGCAATATTTCAGCAAACCTTTATGATTTCCATTTTGCCAGACTTTGGAGAGAACCCTGATGAAGCAAAAGATGGAGTTCGATGACCTGAAAGGCTCTATCACATCGATGACTGGAAAGGCAGCACAAGACAAGGAATCTCTCAAAAAAGCCACCAGAGCGCAGAAACTGAGAGCAGAGAGATTTGAAGCCGCGATTGAGAAATGCTACGTACAGTTACAAGAAAAGGTACGGAGTTAGACTTCTTTTTGGTTATGAAAAAGTGCCCACTCAGGACTTTTCTTTGATGTTTTCACATTTGTTCTCATCCAGGATGCTCAGCTGGCAAACGCCTGTTCAGAAAGAGACTCCTGGAGAAAAGAAAAGGAGCAGATGGCGGATGAGAATGACAAAGTTTTAGCTCATGTCGAGTTGTTGAAAAGGTTGGCTCCCTTCTCTCTTTCACACACACCACCTCTTTCATAGTTTCAGTCAGTTTCACTTCTAAGTTTTAAATGTGTGTTATCAATGCAGTCATGTTGCAGACCTGACAGTGAGGCTGCAGAAAGAAAAGGAAGAGCTCAGAGCAGCCAGTGAAGTTGTGATGCAGCGTGTTGAAAAACTCAGCGCTGAAAACGGAGACCTCAGCGTCAATAATGCAGCACTCAAGGTATAAACTGTCAAACAGCCTCCATGAGGGAGCCATTACTGTAAAAGGCGTAAAACACTCGCTGTGTAAATATGTTCTCTATAAGCACTCATGCAGCTATCTATTGATCCAACACACAGATAAACTGTCTCTCTTCAGAATATCACTAACAGGGAAATCTCAGACATTCTCCGTCTCTCTGGTTTGCATTTCTGTCCCTAAAATTAGTCTCCCCTCGGTGTGATTACAGGCATCAGTCGCTCAGTTGGAGCAGCAGCTGGCTGAATCTGAATCTGCGCTGATTGAAGAGAAGATTTTGTCTGAGGAGAGGAAACATGAAACTGAAAAGTGCCAATCTGAGGTTTGAACCTGCTCCTTATTCCCTTTTCAGAGCTCACACCAGATGATTAGGGTTTTTATCATCATTAGCCCCTGAGAGCTCAGGGTTTATTTGGGATTTTCTTAATCTGTGAGCTCAATATTTATAGTAATAATGTTCTGTTTGTTTATTCATGGGTCATGTGGACTGGGGTGACTCCAAGCGCTCTTTTAGTGGTTTGTTTTGTGTGGATCAGGTCATTGTGGACAAACAAATTCATTCATTCATTCATCAGTAGAGACTAGATAGAGTCATAAACAGTTGTTATAGAAGGACACAACAGCTTCTATTATGCCGTATGTGTTTCCAGGCTGCAGAGCTTCAAGCTGAGGTCCAGGACCTGAAGATAAAATATGCAAATCTTTTACGAGAGACAGAAAGGATGAGAGAAGGAAAAGATACAGAGGTTGAGAAGGTAAGCACCTGTTCCCTTGGACAGTTCTTCAATATTTAATGGAAGTTTGAGGTCTTTCAATGTGCACAATTGACAAACTATATATATATATATATATATATATATATACATATATGTATATGCTATTTTGACTCAAGAATTAGTTCCTATTTTGTTGGTTCAGTAAAAAAAAAAAAAACTAGTGAAAATAGGGCCCGACCGATTTATTGGCGGGCCGATTAAATCGGCCAACTTTAGCCCGCTTGAGACTAATTGGTAATCGGCCAAAACTAGCCGATTGTCGCCGATGTTTTCAGAAATAAAATGCGGAGAATAAGATTCGGTTTCACTTCGAAAATGTTCTGCCATTTGAAAAGTTCCCAGACTTATCCAGTAGATGGCGCAGCACCTCATGACAATCTTCATCCACTAACTACCTCACAGCACAGCAGAATGACGGATCTGAAGCAGGCAGCTGGGTGTTAACGGTGAAGCACCATGTAATATGCAAGCCAAAGTTAGTTAGCCATCTGCTATTAGCCTTGCTACACTGTTAGCCGTGCCAGTAACAGTAGAATAAACAACAGTACACATTACGTGATGGAGCTACTTCTCTTACTGAGGCAGCTACATGTAAAAAAAATACATAAATATGTAGATATATTACTTAGATTAACAAAATTTTAAAACTTCATAAAAAAATAAAAAAATGGACGATTAATTGGTTATCTTCGGTAATCAGATTTTTTTCCTCCCTAATAATCGGTATCGGCATCGGCCCCAAAAAAATCCATATCGGTCGGGCCCTAGTGAAAATCCCTCTTGCTGCTAAATGGACAGTCAGACTGCTATTTGCAGTTTCTTTTGCTTTTTGGGCTGCATAACATGTTTCACCAGGTTCTGCTTTACACCAACTTCCTACAACAATGCTGGACAGAAAGGATGTGAAAACCACCAAAGCTCATTTAACATCTGCATATATCTGTCTGAGAGGTGTGACAAACTGTGTCTACTTTGTCTATTCCCCTCAAACGCCTCTGTCCTCTGGAGCCCAGGTGAGGCAGGAGCTGCAGAGGCGAGTGGAGGAGCTCCAACACTTTCCAGAGTTACTGAGCTCGACTGAGATGAGTCTCCTCGAGTGCCAGGAGAGCCTGAGGCGCTCTGAGAGAAAGCGCTCTGAAAAGTCAGAGTCCGTTAGGCAGCTGCAGGTCAAGGTGTGCAACGTGTGGAGACTGAGACTGTATCTCATTGTTGCTAGACCTGACCACTAGGCTGTAGTCTCACTCCATGTGTCTGTTGGTGCATCTTGATTCCAGTTTTGCAGTGAAGTGACTTTGTTGTCTGTGAAAGTAGTCTGATTGCAGAGGACTGAGTTAGGTTACGATCACACTAACTCATGGATCCATTCACAGTTGTGTTTTGATGCTGCGTGAGTCCTTTCCCATCATTAACATCAGTGCTGATGATGGATGATTTGCTGGAAAACTGCTCGTTTTGTGTTTGCAAGAAGCTTTGTTTGGACTTTTTCTGTGTGATTCTGAATCTTCTTGTTACCTCCGTTTATTTGTGACCACTGCGGATGATTCTGACCTTTTCATTTTCGCAAGTACAGATGGAGAGTCAGACAAAACTGCTGTCATCGTCTGCAGAAATGAAGGACTCTATTCATGAGGCCAATTTACAACTAAAAGAGAGAGCAGACTCTGTCCAGAAGTAAGGCTTACCTTCATATCTGCTCTCTAAGTATCAAATGTTAATCTATTTCTCTACAGTTATAAAAGTAGAGTGATTAAACATGCATTTATAGGCAGATAGAGAAGCTGCAGCAGGAGAACCTGGAGCTGGTCCGGAGGCTGGCAGCTCAGGAGGAAGCTCTCAGCTACAGCAACCGTCAGCTGGATCAGCGCTCATCAGAGTGTCAGGCCCTCAGCCGGCAGCTGGAGGCCGCTTTATTGGACGTCAGAAAACAGGTAAAACTGTGATTTTCAAAATTGAGCCTATTTCACAAGTACGACCTAAACCCCCAAATACGTATTCTTCATTTGACGCAGTGGGATTTTAGGTGGAGAAACTTAAATTAGTGGATTTAACTTGTCCTTTCATCCAGGTCAACAAGTTAAAAGACCAAGCTGCTTCCAGAGAGGGGGCCCTTCAGACTAAAATCCTGGAGCTGGAGGCGGAGAAGAGCAGAAGGGATAATGAGCTGCGGCTTCTACGCCAGAAAAAGATCTCTGTGAGTCCTATCTTGATGCCAAATATCGTTTTCAAGCTCAGATACTGATGTTTCCTCTGTGTCTTTATCTTTATGTTAAGGCAGAGAAACAGTTTGAGGTGCGCCTGAAGGACCTGCAGCTCAGCCTCGACCAATCAGAGAGCCACAAACAGAGCATTCAGAACTACGTGGACTTTCTGAAGAACTCTTACACCACGATGTTTGACGAGGGACTGCAGGCAACGACTTTCGGATCCTCATACTTCCTGAAGTGATCGCAGCTTTCTATTTGCATTTTTAATGATTTCTAATTTATTTATTTATTCATGAATGTATTATTTTGTTCTTACTACTATATACAAAATAAGTATGGTGATATCTACTGTAGCTCTGCAGCTAACTGAAAATGTAGGGCTTTGTTTTTTGGGGTATCGGGAGATCAGCTGTGATTAAAGGGGTTCTGGTGGCTTACTTAAAGGGATATTCCGGTGTAAAATTAAGTTAGGGTCAGCTGCTTGTACATTTTATCTTCCTTGAGCTGCGTCACCCCGCTTCAGCAATGAACAGGCCTGAGGTCTCCATACAAACAAGCGGCTGCTGGAAGAGAGTAGGTGAGTTGTATTTAGTCTCTTTGCTAAAGAAATCAGGCAAAGCTAAAAAGATGTTTGGTGGCTAGTGCTGCGGCTAGGACCCTATATGTACTGTTGATGAAGTTAGGTGCTGTTCTGAGCATTATTTGTGGCTATAGAGTGGCGTTTTGGGTTTAGGTTTGAGTGTGGCTCCACAGACTGCTGTGTGCTGCAATCCTGCCGTTGTTACTAAAGTTGGTATAACTAGAGAAGCTAGCGGTTGGCATCATTCATCTCTCGACAGGGTGTCAAATTCGGTGTTACAGTGTGTTAGACCCTAACTTAATTTTACAACGGAATATCCCTTTAAGCTCATGTCCCTGAGTTAAGGACATGAAAACAACTGCAAACCCTCTCACTTATAAAAGCTTTTTATTGGGTTGTTGAGTAAGACTGCAGTCTGATTGAGAAAGACTTTTAAAACTGTTAACGTACTGTACCAGAGGAAAGGAGCCATAACTTTAAAATTCACATTAGTAATCCATACAACTCCTAAAATATAGAGTCAGCTTTTCTACCTTGAAAAAGCTTCAAACGTAACATTTTTATACTAACTTCTGATATTTATAACCAAATGACTAAACCCTAAACTAAGATAAAGGGTCTTCCAGGTTGAGGAAAGAAGCTGCCAATAGGTGGAGCTGTTTGGTTAGTCATATTTCTCCTCTTTAGGAGCATTATTTTACTTCTGTATAGAGGGTTTGGTTTACGTTCAATCAGTGACTGCTGTTACTGAGTTTACTTGTTTACATCAGGCTGCAAATCATTCCAAATGTTTCTTCTCATGCTCTTTAGCTGCTCATATAGAAGGCAGTGTGAGAAAGTGATTTTAGAAAAATCAAGTTATGAGTTGTTTTACACGCTCAGTTAACCTGACAGGAGGAGTTTCTTCATGTAAAAGTGCTTCAACTTTGCCCTCATTCGAGCCATGATAATTGTCTGACAGCGACTGGCGCCGACGATGGGAAATGAAGAATTAAAACGATGATCTCGGGATCTAATATCACCGGTATCCTGTTGGTGCTAAACTCAAACGTGTCTGTTTCTGTGTTAATGATAGAAAATGTGTGATTATTATATTTAATGTGTTTATGTTCTGTCTCTCAGCTGGACTGAGATCAGTGATGCTGCAGATCAATTGTTCAGCCGTCAGATGAGAAGCTAAAGCCTGCAGGGTTGCAAAAATAATAAATGAATGACACGCTCCTCTGGGATGAATCCAAACCACTTAAAACTCTGACGCTGCTTTGCTCTTGTTCTTTTATAATTAAAGTTTTAAAAAAAGAGAGAGCGTGGGTATCTGCTGCAGCATGATTTGACAAAGATGAACTTTTACTGAGCCTTTTTGTTCTCTTGTTGTTTCTCTCTCTATATCGACGCTAATAAAGTCCCCTATGTGTCCAGACCTGTGTCCACACTCTGATGTGGTCTTGCTGTGGACAGACTCTCTCCGGGTGAGCACTGCTCCTCTCAAGTTCTCAGACACAAAGCTCTATTGTGCTCTCTGTCAGGGGATGGAAGCATTTCATCTCTGTGTGCGTCAGTGCTGCTGTTTTTTTTCCTTTTTTCTTCCTCTCATTCTCTCTTGCTCTTGCCCATTTATGTAACTCTGCTGATCACACTTTGGGAAGTTTCTCTGCTGTTTGCAGGAAAGTTAGTTTATTTGTTTATTAGTTCACACCAAGATGGAAAGAACTGGAGCTGTTCGGATGCCAGTATGTGTGAACTTTGTCACAAACAGTTTTAACGTGCCGGTTTTTAAAGAAACTTTCATTTTGTACAGAAATTCTTCTAGTGTTTTCAAAGTACTGTCTTCTATTTTGAAGCATTAGAGTTTAGATTATGATCTCGTACCCTGTGACTTGCGCTCAGCATCTGTCCAACATCAGGAGAACCCCGCTGAGGTTTACATTACACCCAGTCCTCAAACTGTCCCGCGACACGCAGCTCCTCTTAGAAGTGGGTCAGCCAGATGCAGGTGAAACCATATCGCTCATTTCCGACTGAAAACTGTTCCAACAGACTCCTCAAAGCTGAAATTTGTCCCACTACTGCAGACCTAAAACTCCAAACCTTTCCTTCACCATATTGATTTAAAGAAAAAAAGGATAAAGTTGAAATTTTGGAGGTTAAAACGTTTAATTCCAGCCAATGATATATTCGCAAACACTTGTGTGATACAAAACATTAGTGGACCATATTCAATGATTAACTCTTGTACTACATAACCTGAAATATCAAATACAAAACTTTATAAATAAAACAAACAAGCACAGTAAACTAACAGGGCGACATTTGTAATGACTGATTTAGTAGCTGCCATAGTCATTTACAGGATGTCTTGTCCAGAGAGGCTTAAATATGTTCAATATAATCATAAACTGGAGAACACAATTTTGTTGAATTACAGAATAAGGATTTCCAAAATGTGCTTCAAAGGAAGCAGAACAAGCTCCAGTTGTATGAAGCAAAGCTGGATACTTCAGGAATATAATCCTGCACCCTCAAAGTGTACACATCTCCAACAGTACACACTTCAAGGGTTTTTTTCTTCCACTTTACATGTTTCGTTTGTGTATTTCATTGAAAAGTCTTTTATGGAAGGGTTTCTTTTTCTCACAGTTTAGGTCACACTTGCAGGACTCGATCATCATCACCATCCTGCTGACAATCTCTCCGCTCTTGCACCGGAAGCGAACGGGTGATGTTTGTGTTCGGTGAGGCCTGCAGCATCTCCCGTCTGAGCAGGAACCGCAGTATCTGGGCTGGAACTTTTTCAAGCTACTGCAGCCTGAAGAAGACAGTCTGACCGGACGGCTGGACTTCTCTGTGTGGTTACATTTCTGTCCTTTCTGCAGAGACAGGACATAAGAAAACATCTTTAACCCTTTAATGCCTTTTGTATCATATTTGATACATACTTTTATATACTTCCATCAAATCAATATGATGAACAAATGACCAAAAAACAACTGAATACAGTTTGATAAATGATAAAAATGTCCTCTTTCAATTTGTCAGTTTCCAAAAACATCTTAATTATCAAAAAAGATCAATAAATACATTTGTTAAATTCTAAGGACATTTAGATTTTTTTGGTTTTCAGTAGTAAGTAAAATAAACATTTCAGCTCCAAATTTTTTTTAATTTTCTGGCCGTAATTTGTGGCATCAGGCATCAAAGGGCTACACTCCTGAAGAGTGAGTTAACAAGAAAAGGATTCTTGGATTACTCATCATTTCATCAGCAAAAGTTAGGTCTTTAAAACTGTGAATTGTACCTTTAATCTGGTGAAACTCGTGAGGCTGCATGGGCGAACTTCACAGATCCGGGTCTCTGTCAGAAGTTTGCATTGGCTGTTAGTGTTGGTCATCCTGGTGGACAGGCCTGGACCACAGGATTTGGAGCATGGGGACCAAGGTGTGCTCTGGAACACACAGTAGACCCCTCTGGCCATCGTGTAGCCCACTGGGGGGCTCCTGAAAGCTACACAGAAAGACACAAAAAGGTCAGTCATCTGATTTAAGAATTAGTGCATAAGGAACTTCTCTGTTAATCCCGAAGGATCAATACACTCACAAGGAGAGGATTTGGATTCCCACAGTGGAGCCAGCTCGTTCTCATTCGTCAGCTCGTCTTCAGACTTTGCGTCTTTCCCATGCTTTTTCCTGTGTTTCTTTCCCACAGAACTGTCTGTCTTTTTGTCCTCAGGGCAGATGAGCTGTTCGCAGCACCGTCTCGGGACTTTGATCCGCCTAGGTTTGGCACAGCCCTGTTTGGACAGCTTGAGCTCATGTGGGCAAAGAGAGACGCATCCGACTGCACCATCCATGCAAGTGCACTGGTGTTTGCAGTTTGGGCGAAAGATTTCCCCGTTCTGGTAAATCCTGTTGTTGTACTCGCATGTTCTCCCATCTGATTTGGCTGATTGTAAAAGACACAAAATGAGGTTTAAGATGAGAAGACTTAACTATCAAGTGTAAAAGAAATAAGAGTGGAGATAAAGAGCTTGTTGTACCTCGACAGATGCCCCTAGCAGAGCCGGGTCCCCCTCCAAAGTTGCACTCCAGTCCCTTTGCGTGATCACATGGCTGAGTCTTGCTGCAGTCCTCAAAGAGCTGCCGTGCACAAACTCTACAGCATCCACAGCCGTCCTGAATGAGACTGACTCCTGAAGCACATGTGGGGGTGTCAGAGGGACACCGGCAGTCCTTTGGGCATGAAGCTGACACCTAAGATACCACAAATCATCACACATTCCCTCCAAAAATCACTTCTTCTACTCAACAATAGTATTTTCAATGAAGAGATTTGCTCACCGGTGTAATCCAGAGGAGAAAAAACACACAGACTTTCCACATCTTTCAGAGAGAAGAATCACACACTAGACCTTGCAGTGGATTTACAGGTAGTCAGTCCCTCTCCGTCTTTTTGGAGTCCCCATCCCCTTTTATAGATCCATGAGGAGATCTGACGTAGACTCAGGCTGAAGAGGTGTCCCAAAACTATGAGAGGAATGCTTCAACACGCGTCCTCCCATAAGCCGTAAGAAGCCCCCCCCCTTCCCTCCCTGGGTCTCCTGCTCTGAGCCAAGAACCACCCAGTCTGTCTAACTTCCATTCTTTCAGAGTTTAATGATCATTTTGTCTGCTGTTTTACGACCATGAAGTGACTCTAGAAAAATATCTGAAAAATGACGTATACATCCGCCTAAAAAGGACTGAACAAAGCCTTAAAAGTAACGCATCACTTTAAATTGGGCTTAATTTTCTCATATTGTCTTTATTGGGCTTTAATGATATGTCTTTTTAAGATCTCTGTTCATCTGGCATGCTGGAATAACCCTCAGGGGCTCTTTGGACATTTTTGTCCATTTTTGGTGACTTTTTACCTTTCATTTGTTGATCATTTTGGCATGTGTGTGCAAATGGGATGATTTTTTTCAGGATGATTTTTTTCTTTCCAAATTTTAAAACCTGACCACCCAATATGTATGGTTGATATGTATGATCAAAGGGATTTGACCTTCTGACCTTCTCTAGTAAGGTGAAACTCACATTTGATCTCAATATTTCACAGACACTGAAAAGAGTGTCTACCTGCTCATGGCTCACACAATCACATAATTACTCTCCTTTGAGGACAGACAGACACACACACACACACACACACACACACACACACACACACACACACACACACATAGACCACACACATACACACACTCGTTAAAAGACCCACAAGCACACACACACATCAAAATTAAAAAATGCTGTTTTTGAATGGGATTCAATGGGACTTTTTTTAATCTAACTTTTTCAATCGGGCATTGCACAAAAAGTAATAATGCATCAAACCAATGATGTTGCTAATTATTGACATACCATAGGCTGCCATATAAAAAAGAAGGAAATTCCTGCCCAGCATTTAATATCTAGAAAATAACTCCAATTTCTTTTTTTCCCATTAAAAATAACAGAGACATCAAATCGTCAAACTGGCATTTATAGGGTTAAAATTCTGAAAACGAATTAATATTTGACAGATATAATCAGGAATGAAGTTGATTAAAATATTTAAGCAAAAAAAGTGGAAAAAAATATTAATGTATGATCATTTTATGGCACTTTTAGGAGATGGACGTTTTCGTCCATCTAAGGACCTTAGTGTAACTTTTTTTAAGGACCCCGGAGGGATAAAGGAGAGAAAAGAGAGGCTCCAGTGAAGATATGGTTATGTAATGTTATATAAAGGGGGCACATTTAGACATGATACCTAAAATATTTCATCACCAGCCTCATGCGTGTGAGAGCAGCCCTGCAGAGAGATTCAACATCAGGAAACCACAAGTCCTGACATAAATATTGAAGAGAAGCTACATACTTCTATGAGCAAGTGAATTTCTATCTGGGATGGAGCGGTGTTTAGACTGCTGCACATGTCTGTGATCGCTGTTTGTACTTTCTGACCTTGCTGATGTTAAAAGTCACAGATGAAATTCCTGTCTGTCACCTATGGGTGTGGTTGGATTAGAGTTTGTTTGACTTTAATATTTCAAAAAAAAAAGAGGGGGTTGAGAGCCTCTTGGAATGCTTGAGCCCTAGAAATCCTTTGTTTGGTCTGAATAAGAGTGTCCAGAATGAGAAACACACTGAAAAAAAAGAGAAGAAGAAAGAGAGACTAAAACTTAAGCAGTGCCTGAAGCAACATTCCTCTCAGGATGAACATTGAGGGTTTCTTTGAAATAGCTGCCAGGATAAAAAGCATCCTCTTCAATCCACATCAAAGGACAATGCTAGATATCAGGGAAGACATGCCTTTCCTTTCATTATAACCTGTGAGAACAAGAGGCTGAGACTGGCACAGCCGCCTTCTTATCTAACCAAGGTTACAAGGGCCGGCTTGAACCAGCGCCAGCTCAGGCAGATGAAGAGCAAACAAGAGGGTGCGAGCTCCGTGCATTAACCGATGGCTGGAAAAAGACTGCTGTGGTTGCAGAGAGGAACCTTTTCCCTCCAATGATATACCATAAAGAATTTGCAGAACCATGTTAAGTAAGAGGAGAATAAATATATCTATACCAGGCTGCAGATGGAGAACTTGGAGGGATTACAGACGCGTGTTTAACGGAGCAGATTAACAATGTTACATGGTTAACCTGCGTTTTTCTGTTCCTGGAAACACCCATTCACACAGAGCTGTATGTGACCGCAACTTAAAGTGTGCAAATAATATAGAACTATTAATACAAGTGTAAAATTGACTGATTTCTAAAGTCAGAACAAGCAAACAACAATCAGAAATTTTTTTCAACAGAATTTTGGCTGTTAGATGTTGATTGGAAAGCCTATAACTTTGATATTCACATAATAATAATACACCTTTTTCAAAGTAGCCTACGTGGAAGTGAGTAGCATCGCCCATAGATGGCCATTCATTTTTCATGATATTAACAAGCTCGCGACTCGTTTTTTTGGGATAAGTAATGTAAACTTTTATGCTTTCTTATGTCTTACTAACTCCTTCTTCTTCATAACACTATAACACGGATTCGGATTTTTATCAGCAAAAACAAGTAACCTATTCCAGAAATAAATGTACCATTGACTCCTGTCTCTTCAATATGCAGGCTGAAATTCTTTGATGTGGTATTTTATTCTTTAATAGAAAGAGGTAAAAAGAGAGAATAAAACAAACATGGCTTTATCCACCTATATTAGCCTAATTACCTTTTTCAATATCGACTTGAAACTGTGAAATTCCCCTTGAACTATCATCGGTTTACCTTGAGGATCACATTTGACTCAGCGTGGGGGGTAACAGATGAGAAAAAAAGATGGGCAGAGAGTAGGTGTGCAATGTAGAAAAGTATATTATGATTCTATATACATTAGTGCTTGAGTGCAAATGCATGAAAGAGATGTAGAAATAAATAGACAAATTATTGGTTTTAAACTGTGTGGAAGAAGTATTGGCTGCAGAGACTGGAAAGGCAGAAATACCTCCCCGGTGCTCCCTAGTGTAAAACCGCACTGGGTCTGGGATAAGCTTGTTTTGGCTGTTATGTGAGAGTAGGTCAAACACTGGACTATACATTTGAGTCTATAGGAGCTGCTCAGATGTGATCACACATCCAATACATTACATCTATATAAACATTTGTTTTTTAACCTTTTCTTTGTATCTCTTTCACATGGGCCCACTCATGAGCTGGTACACTGGGTTCATCTAAATCTCTTACAGCTGATTGGACATTATTTCCAGGCTACTGCCCCGTTGTTTATGTGGATCATAATTAGCTTTTCTGAAACAAAGAGGGCATGTGGAGGGCAGTTCTGTGGATTGGCATTTGTTTCTAGAGTGAACAGAGGAGGCTCATCCTCGTACAGGTTGACCTTTAAACACCTGACATTTAAAGGGCATCTTTGTGTTGCACTTCTCCTCCAGAAAAAGCCGGGACAACACAGGGGTCATATTGTTTTTTTTTTTCTTTTTTTTCTAAACCTGCTTTCAACTCTAGTTTGAATCGTTATAACTACATAGAGAAAAAAAGACATTGGAGATTATCATAGAGTAAGCCTGCTGCTTTATGTTTTATATTGCAGAACAAGACCTCCTGAACTGATACACAGCTGAACGGTTCAGGATTCAGTTCAATTCATAGCTTGTGGGACCGGGAGACATGTGTGTTTAGAAGAACCGCAAACCGCTGCAATGATAGGATGCTGTGGGTTTTATGCTCTACTTGTTACATGCTGTGTCAAGTTGTTGAGGTGGCAATTTAGCAGTTAAAAAAGGGGGGGTAGTTTTGTCTGACAAAAATGATTCCAAAGAGTGTGGTTCAATGCGTGACTCGTTCACCAAGTGGTTCAGGTGTCGGTGCATGTGGTCCCTTGTTCACTGGCTGTTCAACTGGCGATGCTGTTTCTCACTTCAACTCAACTGAAGTGAGAAATGAACGTATCATTCTAGGAAGTGATTCGGTTCAGTACACTCACTTAAAAGATTCAGTTCTTTTGAACGAATCGTTCACGAACAACACAACACTATAGTGAGACAACTTACCCGATGGTGGGGCGACATGTCACATGTTCACTCTCTTTATTTGATTGCTTATAACTCTACACTGACACAAGATATGAAAGTTACATGAATATGAAATATAAACCTGAGACTTTGGTTTTTAATCTGGTACACATTTTGTTTATATATGATGTTTTAGTTCCAAGAAATATATAAGAGTGTAGAAAGTGTGACAACAAGCCCCGGTCTCCTCTATATTTCCTACCCTGGGGATGATAAAAGAGGTCACTGCCTTGTAGAAAAGCTGATGAAAATGATCTGTACATGTTCTTGATTTGTTATTTAAAGTAGCATTTTAATAACAGTCATTACATAAGTGGAAGTGGTTAACTTACAGCCTCCACTGTATGTCTTAAATGAGTGATCTCCTGTTTCTGAATAACTGTGTGCTCAAAGGCGGAGAGGCTCAACAGCTCCACCCAGTGGACGTCAGAGGAACAGCACTTCACCTGTAGCGAAAATCTCGATCCTGTAAACATTTCCTGCTGCCTCAACAGGTGGAAAGTTTAACACCCGCGGCTTCCTTTCCTTTAACATGCGTTTTATGTTAAGTGTAGAGTTTGTTCCGTATTATTGACTCTAAAAACCAGGCCGGAGTGTGTCAGTGCGTTCACTTCTCTTCTTCGCTTGTTCTCGTGTCGCCGTAAACTCCGACCGTATCAGGAAGTCCGGGGGTTTTGGAGACAGAAACCTGAATGAACGTTCGGCGGAGCAACTTTTGACGATAAATAATGATAAGGCACGCATTTTGACGCCCTATAACCAAGTAGTTAAAGCGGTTTACTTCACTGCTGCTATCTTATCAACGTAAATCAGTGAACAGTCCTCGCTCGGAACACCTTGAGTGACTCTTCGAGGGTGAGGGGATGGATGTTCCTCATCTCACAGAAGATGAAATGGCAGAGATTAAAAAAGACGTGAGTATTATACTTCAGGGTAACTTTGCCCCGTAAAAAGGTCATCTCTGTGGTAATGTTGGCGTACGTTTAGAAATATGGGTTATGTGGGCCTATATCTTTGTTGACACGTTTGGTTATTTGTTCCTTGTTTGACGGTAGAGGCCTGTAGAAGAGGGAAATACCCCACCCCACTTCTCGGTGGCCATAGGGATTTTAAACTCAGCAATTTTAAGCAAACTGGAGGTTTACTTCTCTTTTTGTAAAGATAAAAGGAGGTGGGCTCAGTTTTAACTAATAAAAGCAACACCAGAGGCAAATAAAGCTGAAGGACTGAGATCTGAGGGCAGAGCCGGCACAAGCCTCAATGGGGCCCTAAGCAAAATTTGATTTGGGGGCCCCTTTATTTCTGCCAGTAATATTGATTGTTGATCACTCACACACCTTCACAAATCTCTTTTGATTAACATTCCCTGACATGCAAACAGACCTTTATCTTGGTGTTTTTTCTCTTCTTCCTCTTTCTTTTCTCTTTCTCTCCCAACATTATTTTGCCCCACAACTACCTGCGCTTTGGATGCTCAGCACACATTGCACAGCAGAAGGCACATAACTGTAGTGGAGCTTTGACATATCGGTAGTAAGAATCATAGGCCTACATCAGCAGCAGCACTAAAATATTTTACGCATCACTCATACATGTAAAAAAAAAAGGAAAAATATATTGAATTTTAATTTGCTCTTGGGGGCCCCCTATTGGCAGCAGGCCTTAAGCAGGCGCTTAGCTCGCTAATGCCTTGGGCCGGCTCTGTCTGAAGGGCAGGTCATTCCAGGTTATACATTGTAGTTCTGAACACCTGTTTGTTACTTTTTTCCCCCCATTTTATGAATTAATAATACAGCTCCCTTTTAGCAGAACTAGATTTGAACAAAGGCAAAAAGGAAGACTTGTCTATGAACAGACAACAACATAAAATATATAAACCTTTAGCTGCAGTTTTCAAAGTTTACCCCTCATGTTTCTCCCCTAATGCTGTTGATGTCCAGGTGCTGACAAGGCTGCGGCACTACCTCTGCGACAAAATCAGAGCTGAACGCCACCTCGACTACCTGCGCGCCCGCAGGATCTTGACTAGAGATGATGCGGAGGAAATCAGCTGCAGGACCACGCAGACCAAGAGGACGGCAATGTTGTTAGACATACTAGCTGAGAATCCCAGGGGTCTGGATGCCTTGACCGACTCCATAAGGGAGATGCGTTCGCAAAACTTCATCATCACCAAAATCACAGATGAGGTACAAAAGGCTAAGAATGAGAAGATCGAGTCTCTCAGAGGTTAGTATGCTTGGTCTCAGTAGAACCTTTGTTTTCAACTTGTGCTCTGGTTGCTTTAACTCAACTGTCCTTCAACTTTGCAGCTTCTAGTTCTTCCACCGACAGCGGTCTCAGCATCCCGAGCAAAACCAGCGACCTTCCCGTGTCGTTTTCAAACAACTCCACCATGCTGTTCCACCCTGACGGAGAACAAAGCTGCTCCACGTCAGATGTGTCAGCCTCAATCCACCTGCCATTTCTAAAGGAAAGCTGTGACTTGCCTGCGGGAGCTTGTGCTAGCATTGCAGTAGTTTCCTCCACCACCTCCTCCTCCAGCCTCCCAAAACCCGGAGACCCCGGAGCTCCTCCTCTACCAGACGACGTGATGGTTGAATCCCCCTCTAACATTGATACTGGAGCACAAGGATGCACCAGCACTGGAGGGGACCCAAACTTTCAGCCTCTCCGGTCACGCTCTCTCACTCCAACATCACACCGGAGCAACTTTTAATTCAATGTCTTAAAGAGACAGTTTACATGCAGTTACACTGTCAAAACAAGCATTATCTACTCTACAACGCGGGTCTCACTGTTTCTCATTGTGGTTTTTTCTTTGACAGACAGTTATCAAGGGTTTCTTGTACATGAAATATGCAACTCTTGTTAAAAAAACTGGAACTATTAAATTTAGCGACTAATTGATGGAGGAAAATAAGGGCTAACTGTCTTGATAATCAAAAAAGTTTTACGTGAGCTCCAGTTTTTTAAATATGAGTATTTACTGCTTGACTTTGTTACACAGGATAGTAAATAAGAAGTTTGGGGGTTTTGAAGTGCTTGAACAGAAGAGAAAATATGAAAAAGTCGCCTTGAAATCGGCAAAAAAATTCACATTCGTTGACACGTTATAGACTAAATTATTACACTAAAAAACAATGAAAAGTGTACTCACTAATGAAGATTATTATTGGATGAAATGCAAAAAAAGCAGCTTATTTCTGTATGTTGGGTACAACTGTGATGTCAGTAACTGAGTTTGAATATAAACGAAAACTATTCCTCAGCAAATACACAGAATAATTTCCTCCACTTCATCCGAAAAAAGGAGACACATTTCACACATTCAAAAATCTTAAATATAAAGAGATTTACAAAAGTTTAAAGGGGAAACTTCATGATTAAGAAAGCCTACAATGCTATACTTCAAAGTTTCTAACACATATCAATACATACTGGGCTGTTTTTCTTAAAGTATTGAAGTTTATTATCCATCTCATCTTTTTTACTCCTTTTCTTTTATTGGTTGTGTGATTTCTTTATAAACTGTGTTGTTCACTTCAGGTGCTGCGACTAAGTCTTACCCACTGGAACGTTTGTTAGAACTTCTAAAATCTGTCAGATGCTGCCTTTTTTGTTTGTCTGAAGGATGTACCTTCAAGTGATGATTGCTGCTTCGTGTCTCTGCAGCTGCAGGCCAGTACGATGTTGCCTCGACAGGTTGGTCACTACAGAAGTCTTGAATGAGATAAAATCGTGTGAAACATGAACTTTATCCTGCTTATGGTACTCTTGTTGTGTTCAATAATCACTCACAAACTAAAGGTTTCCATATGAACTCAACTTGTGTTTCTTGGATTTATTGGTCGCTGAGTTTTCCTTTTGTTTGTGTGTTTGTTTGGCACATTTACAACTTTAAACCCTGCTGCTTTCTATTGATATTGTGTCCATACCTCACTAAAAATTCAAAGCACCTTAAAATACGACATTGACTCATAAGCTCCGAGTCCTCTTGTCAGTTTTGACACTTTGAGACGCCTACAGTTAGGTATCAGTTTCTGTAAGTGCAGACTCTGTCACTGTGGCGCTTTGATGGTTGTTTTGGAAAAACTGGAAAAGCTTAAAGTGACGCAGAGGAGTGACAGTCATTGTGGTGAGGGCTGTGGTGTGATGACTGCACCGCCTGATCTTCACACTGAGGAAAAGCTGTGGGTGTGAGGCCAGGCACTCTCTGACCAGCTGGTGCACAAAAGGTAAGTGATTTGATATTATTGTAATTATTGTTTTTTTTTTTTTATGATGTATAACAGGTTTTTTTAACAAGTTTGATCTGGCACACAAATTAGAAAAGATGATTTCATATTGAAGTACTTTGATTTGACGTTTGTTTCATTAGTTGTTTCACTGCAAAGATTTCAAACTTTGAAGTAAATACTGTGAAGTCCTTTGCAACAAAAATAAAGTCTAACTTACCTGTTACGCTCTTAATGTTTATTTTTTAATATTTCAAGCAGGTCTGCAGTATTAAGTCGTGTGAATTAAGAATAGGTCGATGGTGATGCAGAATACTCTGTTTTGTGGCTCTGTAACTTATTTTAAACGAACTAATTTGACTCAAAACGTATATTTTTTTAAAGTGGAGGGGAAAGCAGCAGCGAGCACATGCAGGAGAACCAGTTTGATAAACATCAGAATGACTGGAATGGCTGAACCTTACCTTCAACTCCATCACTGACATACATTCATTCACTTTCACAAGAAACAAAAATGTATCTCTTCAAAAACAGGACAGTCTGTACGATGGAGGACACTGAGCCGCTGTTGGCAGGGAGGTCAGGGAGGTCAGGGGGGAGGAGGCTCAACGGCCACTGCAGGTGGAGCACCCGCACCATGGAGTCGAAGATGGTGGAGGACTTCAGACGGAGGCTAAAGTACTTCTTCATGAACCCCTGTGAGAAATACAGAGCCAGGGGTCGAAAGCCGTGGAAACTGATGTTACAGATATTAAAGATTGCAATTATCACTGTTCAGGTAGGCCTCTCTATTCCCAGTTTACATCAGTCATTATAATACACAGTTAGTATTAACATTTGACTGTAATGTCCCCTTCTTTAGCTGGTCTCTTTTGGACTGAGCAACGAAATGATGGTCACCTTTAAAGAGCAAAACCTTATGACATTCAGACACCTCTTTTTAAAAGGATACAAGGACCACCACCTGGGAAGCTACGCACTGTACACCAAAGCAGAAGTGTACGACCACATACACTATATTATCAACAGGGTACAACACCTCGTCTTTTGGATTTTATAGCAAATGTGTATAAATTACTGCATGTAAAATCTGTTTTAATCTTATGTTATGATTGTCTTTTTCAGTACGTAAACCTCCAGAACCTGACCGTGGGTAATCTTGCATATGAGAGGACTGACGGACAGTACACTCCTCTGTCTGTGTGTCAAGAGTTTTACAGGAACAGCAGCATCGACCCTGGAAATGAGACTTTTCACATTGACCCACGTACTGATAAAGGTAAAAAAGAGAAGACGTTTCTTCATAAGGGCCTTTGAATTTTAGATTAACTCACAAACACGCTCATGGGTAGCTGTAAAATGGTTTTTTGTTTAAGTTTTTTCATACAGCAGGTATTTCTGAACACTGATTCATAGCGTAAATGGAAAAAATCACTATGGATTTACTTGTGAGTGAATAAAAAGAGGAAACTTGCATTAGCACAGCCTGAGGTATGAGTTATATCCACTGACACACTGATCTAGCTGAACTCACTGTCTGTGTTTCCTCCTTGCAGATTGTATTTCCATTTTCCCCGGGCAGACGGTTGACAACGGCAGTGTGGCAACACGTGTGAACTTCTCCTTAGATTTCAAAAGGTGACTGAAGTGAAAATACTGGTTTCATGCCAGGCGATAAAGGTCCTATCTCTGAATATGTGTTTTTGTCGCCAGGCTATTATCAGTGAGCATCTACCTGACTCTGAAAACCATCAATCTGCAGACTGTGCGCCACCATGAGCTCCCAGACTGCTATGACTTCCATATTATGGTCAGTGAAAAGTGAATTCTTGGGATTTCAAAACAGATGCTTGTCCTCTTACATGTTTTTAATTGTTCTTTCTGACACAGATCATGTTTGACAACCGTGCCCACAGCGGGAAAATAAAGGTCAATGTTGTAAATGATGTCAGGATTTATGAATGCAGAGACTGGAATGTGGAAGGCATTTGTACGTTTTAAATCAAACTCAATATCATGCTGTAGCCTATATTTTAGTATGACCTATGAGTTAAAGGCCACCAGAGGGCACACTTACATAAGCCCACCACTTTTATAAACTACAAAACTACTCTTGCATCTTCTAACCGGTCGTGTTTGTGTCTGGTTTGCAGCTGACAAAAACGATTACCTCCTCCTATCATTTGATTCTGTGGTCATCCTCGCCTGCTTCACCTCACTCATCCTCTGCTTGAGGTCTGTCATAAACGGCATCCAGCTCCAGTTTGTAAGTAAAGAGGAATATATAACTAGATTATGAGCACTGCCACTGATAAAAGTAGAGGATTGGGGCAAATTTGGCATGTGTAAGAGTTGCACTGTTCTGTGGGGTTATTCACCCAGAGGCAAATATTCAAAGTTCTATGCAAACCACAGTCAGATGGGCAACAGTAGGACGCTGTAGAAGTGGCCTATGATTATTTATGCATAAGATATAGTGAGTATAATAAAGACTTATACTATATCAAGGTACCAAAATAAGTTACAGATGAATAGACAGAAAAATAAATCAAATCAGCATTTGCATCAAAGTCCAAACTTATCACGAGTAGTCTCTGATGAGTTCAAATTTGAGGTCATTTTATGTGAGACCCTCTCTTCATAACTGTGAGTGACTTGTGGTTTGTTTTGTTGTTATTTAGCAGATGTGTTTAACATCATCTGAGTGTCTCTGCTGCAGGAGTTCAACATATTCTTCCACGCTTACTACAACAAAATAGTGAGCTGGTCAGACCGCATGGAGTTTGTGAACGGCTGGTACATTCTCATCATCGTCAGCGATTCACTGACCATCGCTGGGTCTGCGCTCAAAATTGGAATACAAACAAAGGTTTTCTTTAAATATCTGACACATTTTAAAACTGATCTGATAAACAGTTAGAGTAAACTTTCCTACTTTTTTTTGCTCTTGCAGTACTTGACAAATTATGACGTCTGCAGCATCTTGTTGGGAACAGCCACAATGCTTGTCTGGGTTGGTGTGATCCGATACCTTGGATTCTTCAAGAAATATAACGTGAGAACTGGCGCCTCAGGATCTTTTTTTTTTTTTCCACAAAGGAACAGCCAGACTGTTTAAAGCAGTGGATGCATACCTAAAGGAACTAAAAATCTCCCTCTCTTCCAGATCTTAATCTTGACCCTCAGGGCAGCATTCCCAAATGTGATCCGATTCTGCTGTTGCGCAGCCATGATCTACCTCGGGTACTGTTTCTGTGGTTGGATTGTCCTCGGGCCTTACCATGACAAGGTATAGAAATGAAATCCATCAAGTTTCAGCCTTTGAGCAGCCCAACTGTTTATAGTACATAGGAGTAGATGTCTCTTAAATAATGACTTAAAGCTCCTGTGAGGAACTTTAAGTTACCAATTTTAGCCCACCATTAAAAAACAAGCTTTTCCACTGTTTCCAGTTCCGAACACTTGACAAAGTGACAGAGTGCCTCTTCTCCCTCATTAATGGAGATGACATATATGCCACTTTCCTAAACGTGAGCGATAAAAGCTACATGGTGTGGCTCTTCAGCAGACTGTACCTCTACTCCTTCATCTCCCTCTTCATCTACATGGTGCTCAGCCTCTTCATTGCTCTGATAACGGACACATATGAGACCATCAAGGTAGGTCCAAGTAACCTTGAATTACAAACTGAGAGACTGTCCAGAGAGATGTTTGCAACCTTTGTGACATAATACTACACAATTTCTACTTTGCAGCATCATCAGCAGGATAAGGTGCCAGTGTCTCAGCTTCAGTCCTTCATAGCAGAGTGCAGGGACCAGCCGGAGTCTGGAAGATACCAGACTGATGAGGAGCCAGGTTCCTGCTGCGTCTCTCCATGCTGCTGCTTTGGATGAAGTCAGGAAATGTGATTTTTTTTTTCTCCTTAAAATGCTGGCATAACAAGTTTGACTGAGTGAGACCACAAAGAGCCCCCGCTGTTTTTGCACAGAGTGTGTAGAGGTGGTGATTTTCTTTAACTTTGTCTTATTACATAACTGTATGAACACTACAGATATTAAATGTATTAAATTAAACTGTCTTATCTGAAAAACTGTCAGTTTAGTGAAAGTTTGCCACCATGTATGACCGCATGGATATAATTTCAATATAAATGCGCACAAATAACCAATCCCTCCACAGTTCAGTGATGCTTTCAAAAAAGATAGAGAACTTTTTATGAGATAACTGGGTGATAAATTATCTCTTTTTTGCAACACTGCAAACTACATGATATGTTTACTTTTTCAAGTACTTGGGTTAACAACTGTATGAAAAATAAAAGGTGAAAGTATTGCTTGCTCTTCGTGCGCTGGAGTTTGTTGTTGTTGTACTGTTAATATAGGGGAGAGTGGGGTAAGATGAGCCGTTTTTCATATTTTGGATCACTACATCAAGGCAATCATAGTTTTGTCTTTAACTAGTGTATCTGCATATATTTCAAGATGTTGTGCATCCCTGCAAACCAACAGAATGAGTGTAAACATAACTGTCTTGATAATATAGTATGCCAAAAAAAAAGTGGTCTCTACAAAATCACTTGCCAGATGGCTCAGAAAGAAACAACAACTCAATGCAATATATAATAATAATGCATCAGATTTCATATAGCGCTTTATCAGAGACCCTCAAAGCGCTTTACATTGGATACATCATTCATTCGCTCACACAGTCACACTTTGGTGGTGGTGGAAACGTGGCTGCCATTCTGCCATATAAAATCAGAGAACCCACAACTAATACCCTAGTGTATTCCAGAAGAGAAAGAAAAAGTATTTGAGAAAAAGTATCACCGGAGGTTTCAGACACTACATGGCAAGACGCAATGAATGACAGGGTGCCAACGACCGGTGAGTGACCATCGGATGGTCACTACATTTTGCAGTGCTTTATGGGAAATTTTGAGTCACCTATATAGGGCACTGAAATTGATCACTCAGGTTTCGGACACCCCATATAGTCACCTAATTAGGGGTTAGGGATCCATTTTGGACACAGCCTTTATGAGTCCTCTAAGCTAAAATGGTGGACTTTTATGCCAGGTTTTTGACCTCATGTTGTAGCTCATAGATACCACAATTGTTGTATAAAACAAATTTAAAATGATCTTTTTTTGGTCTGAACACAATTCTAATAAAACTTATGGCAGACTAAATTCAATTTCAAGAGTGAAAAATGTTTTTGTTTTTTTGTAAATACATGTCTAACCCCTTCACCCATTTGCTTCTTACCTTCACGGACTCCATGAATTGATGCCCATCTCCTTAATATTTGGTCACATGATCAATTTCTTTTATCATTTCCAAGAAACAGGGGGGTGGCTTAACTTACCCTTTGGCTCAACTTACCCCACTCTCCCCTATGTTTCCGTAACATTTACCAAGACCTTTGACTAAAAAATGTCCTTTTTAAACTATACAGTTAAATTTGATAATATTATTGCTGAAATAGTTCATGAAAACTCAATATTTTGAGCATGTTAGGACACGGTCTATACCTCTTGCTGCCACAGGAGTGAGTCCATTGCAGTGCTATCTGTCACCTGTGAGGATTTGCATAATCGCTCGCTGAACGTTCTCATCCAATGTACGCCTCTCATACTGGTTACCTAACAACGCTCCCTCCAATAACAAAGACGCTTGGTTTGAGGCCAGCCGAGCAAATGACTTAAGAAAAAAAACAGAGTCAGCTGCAGCACCAGCAGCAGCCCGAGAGTCTCGAACAAGCTCACCTGCCAACCGTCTGTGGAGACATCTACGCTCCGCTTCGTAACACACCTGAGAGAGGATTTCAAGCTCGTTTTGAACGAGACAAGGACCGGACAAGCAGGTGGTTAAATGAAGAAGCTTTGTGTTGAATCTACAAACATCGCAGAACTTGACAACTATTGGATTGTGTTGACCCATTTCAGATCCAACGTTCCCGTGAGTACGTTTTATATAGCATACGGCGAGCACGCCAGCTAGCAAACTCGACGTCAGGAGCCGAGTGAACTGTGTTTTTTAAATTATCGTTGAGCTTCGCGACGTCTGAGCTCTCATAGTTTGTGAGGTGACGGATAAAGTTGCCTCTGAATTTATTAAACTTTTTAACTGAAAAAAATAAACGATATGTAGTATATTTCGGGCGACAACGGTTTGGCCAACTTTACACCTTTGGCAAATGTAGCGATTGTTCAATTGTAACGTAATGACGTCATTTCAAATTAGCACGTTTTGTGAAGATTACTGAAATAGAACTTAATAAAATACATTAAAAAGTAGCAGAAATGTGCTTATTTTTCTTTCTTTCTTCTTTATTTATCTCAAACTTTAAGAAGAACAAATAAACAAACAAAAACACCTAACAAAAATATGTACACCAAACAACTGTACATGTCAAAGATAAATTTACACAACATATGTTTGTCAAAATAAACAGTTTGAGAAGGAACAGAGTGAAGCAAATAGTTTATCTAGTCCTACCCCTTCCTTGCAAATTACAGAGATCTGTATAAATACCTATATATTATACACAAAGATATCTACTTAACACTACATAGGTTACTTATTATAATTATTTGCATATCATAATAATAATCAGTGTTATATTATTCAGAGTCAATATTACTTCTATGCAATCATGTGTATCTAGTATAAAACCATATTTTTTGTTAGTTTACTTAAATGAATCTTTTAATAATTCTCTATAGTTTGATTTAAATATTTTTATGTTGGGAATTTTTAAAGTGACATCCAGGCTGTATCTAGGGTTTGGAAGTAACTGATTACATTTACTCAAATACATTTGAGGGCTTGTACCTTTTTTGAGTAGTTTTTAAAGTCAATACTACTACTCAGGAAGATCTATATTCTTTGAGATCTACTGTACTCGGATTTAGTAAAGCATGTTACAAAAGAACAAGCTTCAAATTCCCATGTTTATTATTCACATGTTAAATGTCACCTTTTCAAGTCTAATATCACTTCTTATTTCATCTAAATAAGTCGTCCTGTGTGCTTGACAGCTTACTCTGGCCTTTATGGACGGCTTGCAATCACTCATCAGCCAAAAATGACCTTTAAACTGTAGAACGGGATTTCAAGAAATAAAGAAATAAAACATAATACAGAGATAGTCAATAACTTCAACCTGTATGGATCAAATAGGTGTTCAACAAAATCACCTCACACATAAATGGTCTCCTGTTGGTTATAAAACAACAGTTAGTTGCCCCAGGCTTGAGATGTTCTGACTGCTCAGTACTTACAGTATATTTCAAATTAAATACTTTTTTATTGTTAAGGAGGTTCACAGACCTGGAGTTTTACTTTAAATTTCAAAGTAGCTTTACTTTTGCTGAAGTAGAATATTTTCACACTCTTTCCACCCTTGGCTCTATCTCAGTCGCAGCTGGTGTAACTTCAGATAAAAAGTTGTGTGCGTTTTCTTAGATAAGAACATTTGGAGAGTTTTCGTGGAAACAGGTTTTTATTGCTTGTGCGCTCTCAAGTTTGTACTTTTTCCATGTACTGAATATGTCAACGTTCTTCAACACACTGTGTGTTATGAGCCCCTGATCACAAGTTGGGACATTACTACATTGTGAGGTGTGGGAGTGGCAATATGAGATATCTGGTTGAGCCTGTTTCACCACGGTGAAACACATGTTTGATCATAACATTGTCCTGGGGGCACAAAGTCAAAAATACATTAAGCCTCTCAGTCATAGTTTTCTATAAATTTATCCAGATAAAGCTTTTGGCGCAGGGCTGAGATCATCTTACTGTCTTATGATTGAGTCACCAGTGGCCAATAGGAGAGCCCTCTTAAACCACAATCCAGGCCCCACTGGCACACATTTTACAGTTAATCCTGTGTGGGTAAAGCAGTGGCGGCAGCAGACCCAGATTATCTGTCGTTGGTTGAGCTCATAGCTTGATGTTCCATTGCAGGGCTCTGTACCAGTGGGAGACTTGGATCCACGGCCTGACTGCTAATCCCAACCCCCTGTGTTGACAGCTCATGACCTCTCATCTCCCTCCCCTGATGTGTTGGTGATATGGGAGAGTGGTGGACAACTGTGCCATTAGAGACATCTATGGGTAAATATCTAATTTTAAAGACTCGTCGGCTGTGCTTTTCTGGGATCTTGGAGATGACCCATATTTGTGTTCTCATTTTAGAGCAGCAACCTATTTCCAGCTGCCCCACATGCAGTTGTTATAAATGTATCTCTCTGTTTTGCGTTTTAGGAAACTATGAAATCTCCAGCATATCACATGTGACGATGTCCCCCTCAAGGCAGAACAACCTTGTGTCAATGTACTCCTCTGTACCCCCTCTGTCGAGAGGCTCCTACAATGTGATAAGTGCCTTTTGCACTGAGGATAACGTTCCTCAATGCATTTCCTACATCAATCAGGTATGGAAACATCCTTGTTTAGAGTTGTATTCATGAAGCTAAAATGTCAACTGTAGTATTGCAATGTTTTCTTTTATACATTTCTGCCACAATTGTTCACTTATCCACCACAATCCATCCACTCTCTTCCACAGGAGCTGGCCTCTCTGGGCCTCTCCTCCACGTGTATCGAGGCCAGCTCATCAGAGGGAGCCAGCCTGAATGCAGTGCCAACCTTGAATGCCATGTATGAGCTGCTCCAGATTCATCGACGCAACATGTGCACTTTAGAAGAGCTGGAGAGGGAGCAGCTGAAGAAACTGAACTCTATAGAACACATGCAGATGAATAATTCCAGACTAAAGGCATGTATGAGACAAAGCATATACACTCACCGGCCACTTTATTAGGTACACCTGTCCAACTGCTCGTTAACACTTAATTTCTAATCAGCCAATCGCATGGCGGCAACTTAGTGCATTTAGGCATGTAGACATGGTCAAGACAATCTCCTGCAGTTCAAACCGAGCATCAGTATGGGGAAGAAAGGTGATTTGAGTGACTTTGAACGTGGCATGGTTGTTGGTGCCAGAAGGGCTGGTCTGAGTATTTCAGAAACTGCTGATCTACTGGGATTTTCACGCACAACCATCTCTAGGGTTTACAGAGAATGGTCCGAAAAAGAAAAAATATCCAGTGAGCGGCAGTTCTGTGGGCGGAAATGCCTTGTTGATGCCAGAGGTCAGAGGAGAATGGCCAGACTGGTTCGAGCTGATAGAAAGGCAACAGTGACTCAAATAACCACCCGTTACAACCAAGGTAGGCAGAAGAGCATCTCTGAACGCACAGTACGTCGAACTTTGAGGCAGATGGGCTACAGCAGCAGAAGACCACGCCGGGTGCCACTCCTTTCAGCTAAGAACAGGAAACTGAGGCGACAATTTGCACAAGCTCATCGAAATTGGACAATGGAAGATTGGAAAAACGTTGCCTGGTCTGATGAGTCTTGATTTCTGCTGCGACATTCGGATGGTAGGGTCAGAATTTGGCGTCAACAACATGAAAGCATGGATCCATCCTGCCTTGTATCAACGGTTCAGGCTGGTGGTGGTGGTGTCATGGTGTGGGGAATATTTTCTTGGCACTCTTTGGGCCCCTTGGTACCAATTGAGCATCGTTGCAACGCCACAGCCTACCTGAGTATTGTTGCTGACCATGTCCATCCCTTTATGACCACAATGTACCCAACTTCTGATGGCTACTTTCAGCAGGATAATGCGCCATGTCATAAAGCTGGAATCATCTCAGACTGGTTTCTTGAACATGACAATGAGTTCACTGTACTCAAATGGCCTCCACAGTCACCAGATCTCAATCCAATAGAGCATCTTTGGGATGTGGTGGAACGGGAGATTCGCATCATGGATGTGCAGCCGTCAAATCTGCGGCAACTGTGTGATGCCATCATGTCAATATGGACCAAGCTCTCTGAGGAATGCTTCCAGCACCTTGTTGAATCTATGCCATGAAGAATTGAGGCAGTTCTGAAGGCAAAAGGGGGTCCAACCCGTTACTAGCATGGTGTACCTAATAAAGTGGCCGGTGAGTGTACACAGGCTATAATGTGTTTGTGTCTGGAAGGTGCAGTAACAGTCTGCTGACCACTAGAGGGCAGAAAAGAAACAGAAAAGAAGAATTTCCTTGAAAAATAATTTAATTTGACTGATACTACAAAACCAAACAAAGGCAAACCTTACAAAACTACAGCCCAGAGTGCTCTCATGATTTTTAGATCACAATGGCAGATGTGTCTTTTAATCTCAATAGTTTTCTGCTTGCAAGGCTAAACATTCCTCCTCCATCTAAACCTAAGTCTGGAGTGATGGGGAAAATACTTAAGTTCACAAAATCTCCAACATCTTGATAAAACTGTTATATCTTAGGATACCAACCTCACCAACCTCTATGTTTGTGTATTTACTTTGTTATCTTAGAGCTTCAGAATTTTCTCAGGAATCTTCTCCTTTTTGTTTCAACCCTGGACTTAAGCCTTGATCAAAATATCCCTCATTTCTCTGCTCTCGTCATAAGTTCCACATTTTTCTCTCTAGGATCAACTGGAGCTGTCCATAAGAGAGAAATCTGGCCTGCACGAGGTTGAGAGGCAGCTACAACTCAAAATTAAGACGCTACAGAGCTGCTTGAAAACAGAAAAGGATGAGGTAGGATTTCATTTTATTGTTCTATTAGCAAAACACAGATTTTTGCCACATATGCGTTTACATATGTTCTGTTTTAGCTCTCCAAATTTGTAATTTTTAACTTCTGTTGTTCAGGTTCAGAAGCTCCAGAGTATCATAGCCAGTCGTGCCTCTCAGTACAGTCATGATGCCAAAAGGAAAGAAAGAGAAGCCGCAAAGCTCAAGGAACGCCTCAGCCAGCTATTGGTCGACAGGAAGGAGAAAAAGCTAGGTACGTGCGCCAGTCTTCTCTGAAAGAGTGGTTGTAATTCTCTCCTTACACAAGTAATTTTGAACCGAGGTGGTCTAACTTTGGGCGTTTCATTTTTCTTCAACAGCTATTGATGTACTGAACAGCTTGGGGCGGTCAGATGGAAAGAGGAGCCACTGGAAAAATGCCAAAGGAACAGCCAGGTATTATTGAAGTCATTTCATGCCTCGTGAATGTGATTGTGCTTCATGCTATGTGATCATAACTGTACCTGTAAATATCTTGTTTTAGCCACGAGGGTGACATGTACAGGTCCTTGCTCAGTGACTATGAGGCCACTCAGAAGTCCTTGATGCTGGAGAACGCTGAGCTCAAGAAAGTCCTCCAGCAGATGAAGAAGGAGATGATACACATCCTGAGTCCACGTCAGCCCTCTAACAGAGAAGCCGAGGACAGCCATGAGCAGGTATTTGGTTTATTATTTTTTATGTTAATGCTGCACACAGTTGAAGCATGTGGGATTATTGGCTTCAGTGAGGCTAGTTTTATGATAGGGAAACAACTCACCACAACTATAAAGTCCCATACATCAAGTTGTTGTAATTACTTAAAACCAAGAAAATCATGAAAACTAGAATGTCAAACTAAAGGTCTTTACACACGGGACTGTTTTTGTTGCACGATTATTTCGGACGTCAATATTTTTTTATCGAACTCATATCCTGTCAATACAAGCGCTCACATCAGCGAAGTTTTCCCTTTCTGCGATATTGCGGCATTTATTTTTTCAGATCATGGTCGATTTTCGTTTCTGATTGGCTATAAGTGCTGACCATTTGGCTTGAGCGTGTGATGACGTTTCCAGCTTTTCTAGCCAATCAGAGGCAAAGGAGGCGGGACTTTCCCCCGGAAAAGTCTTCCACGGGATGCGTCAAGTCGCAAAATCGCATCGAGCTTGATGTGTATAGTAAGGCGCGTCAAAATTCACCTTTTTTCGCTGAATATTTCGTGATTTCGCGTTCTACATTCGTGTCAGCCCCGGTGTGTAAGGACCTTAACACTAAACTATTAAAAATGTAATCAAAGCCAAGCATTTTCAAAGAGTAAAAATTACACTTGACCCACAAACATTAAAAGCTAGTTAAACTAATTGGAAACGTAGAGGGCCAAATGAAGTAGAAATAAAAACTTCTTGACTCCATATGTGCAATTGCTTTAACTATCACATCCTTCCTCTTGATTTTGGCTGAGACAGAAACGGTATGTTCAAAAGACTTTTCTCTGTGAGCATCTGCTTCTGATGTCATGTTTGCACATCAAAAAGTTCTATTTTTTTCTGCTCTTGATTCAGTTGGATTCAGATGTGGAGGAGAAGATGGGCGATTCAAGTCGGGAAACTCTGGACCAATCCTGCGAGCATGCAAGAGAGCAGCTCACCAACAGCATACGGCAGCAGTGGAGGAAACTGAGGGACCACATGGAGAAATTAGACAGCAAAGGTACATACAGCTCATCAAATACCCTGAAATACAAACATGTTCCTGCCCTAATTGTGTACTTTATACATTTCCTAATCTATTAAGAATGAATTTAAAACTTTGATTCAGTCTAAATGTGGAGCTGTTCTCTTGAGCTCTTACAGCCTCGCCGTACACTGGGAAAAAGAACTTCAGATGATAAGCTGGTGTTTCTGCGCCACTCTTTAAAGCTTCACAGGTGCAGAGTCAGCTGGAGTCCAATAAGGAGGTGATACCAAGAGAGACCCATGAGGATGAGATGGAGAGGATGAGGCGTGAAGTGCAGCAGTGCAAAGAGTTCATTCACGCGCAGCAGCAGCTCCTCCAGGTAATTTTGTGAAATCTTCAAGAGTAACTTGGACTGAAGTGTATTTGTGTTTATAAGAGTGTTTCTGTGTCTGCAGCAACAGCTCAACACATCATTTGATGATGAGACGGCAGCCTTTCTTAATGACTGCTACACTCTGGAGGACAAAGAGCGCCTCAAGGAGGAGTGGAGGCTGTTTGAAGAACAGAAGAGGAATTTTGAGAGGGAAAGGAAGAACTTCACAGAGGCTGCTATCCGCCTGGGGAGAGAGGTACTGAAGCAGCAGCAGCAGCACTGTTTTATTTCAAATATTTTAGGTGCGGCTAAATTTAATAAATCACTTTTTTAAAAACATTTTCTTTTGATTTTGAAGAAAAAAGCCTTTCAGGAGGACCGAGCTGCTTGGCTCAGGAATCAGTTTTTGAACATGACTCCTTTCACAGACCGGAGATGCTCCCTGTCTGACGGTCAAAGTGCCTTATCAATCAGTAAGTCTTCTATTTGAATAAAGATAAACTTAACATCTTTACACCTCTGACTCACAAAATTGACTTTGGGTATAAAATGTGTCTTTTGGAGGAAATTTGCATAAAACTGCATGCAATATATAGTTACTTTAACTTCAAGTATTTTCTTTGGATTTTAATACGACTACATTTTGTATTCAGGAAGTGAACCCGAGGTGAGGATGTCTTCCACAAAAAGTCAAGTGGTGAAATCCTCCACATACACAACCTTCTCCACTCCAAAAGCAACACAAAGTGCTACTGTGCCATCCACAACGGAGCTGTACCGAGCGCTGCGCCTGATACCAGACAGCAGGTATTAATAGCACATATAATCACTTCTGTATCTAATTAGCAAGATGGATTTATTTTCACCCCACTTTACTGTCGGTGAAAATTAATTTATGTCATTTTTCAGGGACATCTGAACTCCTAATACAAATTCAAAGTGCCACAAATCAGTTCCTTGTAGTGATGGGAAGAACAGTTCTTTTGACTGTACTGAATCTTTAGAATCCGGTCATTAAAACGATTCAATCAAAAGATTTGTTCACTGAATCAGTCAGTGCTACGGGATGCCAGGCTCACAGCTGAGCTCAACAGAACTGAAAAAGGAACAAATCAGGTCTCGGAGTGATTCAGTTCACGTCGTTCACTCAGCAGTTCCATACTTTTGAATGAATCGTTCATGAATGACACAACACTAGTTCCCTGTGAATAAGTGAGGATCAGACCCCATTGGTGATGTTTGTTTTACACCACTTCATACTTGTTTAACACTGTATTTTGCCTACATTTCAGCTCTTCCAGACATTCAAATCGAGGTTGTTGGCAAGACTCCACTACCATTGAGGACGGAGATACTCACTTCAAACCTAAATCCAGAGTTCGGTGTGGGGACTTGAGTATCTTCTCCCTGGGTGAAGATGAGAATAGCCTCACTTGATCCTCCAGTGCCTTTTTTGTGATTTTTTTTTTTTTTTTTGCTATGGACTTCTGCATCTTTTCATGGGAAAATTCCACCTCTGCTCATAAACACTCAGCATATTGTCGCAGCATTACTTTGATGTTGCTTCTTTGTCATTCATGGACATGCACTGATCAGTCACCAAAGCTGAACAAACAGGAAAGCACTTTAATGACCCTGCCATTCTTTCTTTTTTAACACATCAGCACTGACAAATCAGATTGTAAGCTGTTAAGTGGCAGGTATGTACCAAGTAATGATAGTTTGTTTACATATTTTCTGTGGATAAATTATGTGCATAATTTTAACTGAGGTATGTAATGACATTAGATTGATATTAACTCCACAATAAAGAGGTTTTTAATTAAAGGTATTGTGGTCTTTGTCTGGCGCCCCCTGGTGTTCACAAAAGGAGTTGCAGCCACAAAATGTGAAATAACCGGAATCCGGATGTGATCATCTTTACTTTTGTTTCAGCATCCAGCCCTCAATCCCACCCACCACCCAGCGTCTATTTTCCACAGAAAACATCGAGAATGTCGAGCTCTTCTAATCTTACAGCCATGAAAAAGGCCGTACAGCAGCTTCGCTTTGAGGCCAGCATAAACAGAGTGAAGGTAATGATTTTCCTATTGTTTTTTTTCGGTTAGTAACGAAAGAGAGAAAAGACTGAACCGCTAACAATGCTAGCTGCTGCTGCCAGAAGCTAGCGATAGCAACATTAGCAGCTGGTCAACAAGCCGACAGATCAGGGCGTAACTGAGACTGAAGGGGAAGTGTTTCAAAAAGTCTGAAACCCTGAACTTTCGAGATTAAGCAGCTGAGAAAAAAGTTTATAATGTTAGAAAAGTAGTAGTTAGTATTGAATGAGGAGTCTAAAATACTCAGAGCAGGTCTGTGACCGGCGTTTGGACCATTTTTCTAAATACTCGTCAACTTTGCTCGGTGGAAAAATAAACTAGTTAACATTTCTTAACATTTCTTGACTTACATCCTTTGAAATTTAAGAGGGTACTTTATTAGATCTGCACTGAACTCAAAAGGAAATAAGGGACACTTGTTGAACTAGTAGTGAAGTTAAAAAGTACCAAATGAATTAATCTCAACAGCCTGTATAATATTCCTCACTAGAGTTCAGACTTAACAATAAGCTCTAGTATAACCCTGCAAAGCCTTTTAGTGCAATTTTTATGTACAGAGCCAAGCCTCAATGGGGCCCTAAGCAAAGTTTGATTTCAAAGCCCTCTATTTCTGCCAATAATACTGATTGTTGATCATTCACACACCTACTACAGTATAAATTTAATGTGCCTGACATTTCTAAACATTTTTAACATCATATTTTTAGGTAAAAACATAAATAATAGCAATGCAAACATACAAATAAAACCAATGAATGACTGATGAATGATGTTCAGGCTGCCACATGTGGTTTTTAACTTCAAAATGTAACACATTCAGCGACAAGAGCTGATTTTCACAACATTTAAGTGATAAAGCGTTGTGTTCACTGTTTTACTTTATTTTTGTAATATATATTTGATCATACAGAAAGCATCACTCATACATGCAAAAAGAAAAAATATATATATATATTTTTTTTCTTTTTGATTGCTCTGGGGGGGGGGGGGGCTCCCTATTGACTACGGGGCCCTAAGCAGGCACTCAGTTCGCTTATGCCTTGGTGTATTCACTGTATGAATAGACCAGTTTCTCAGAGTAATCCAGGAATGTTTTACCACATCTTGGTCAACTGACTGAGCTGACTTGAAAGATCAAGACTAGGACCAGAAAATAAATAAATAAGAAGCAGATTTTCAAAAATATCTGTTGACTGGAGTTAACATGAAAAAAAAAGCTTCACAAAAACTGAAACTAAAGAAGAAATGTGGTTAGTCTTGGTTTTTCATCTGACAGACATATCCTTGATGGATTGTCTTTTGTGAATAGTTGACAGACATATTTATATGCATGTTCAACAGGTGTGTGATGTACTGAGTTGTTAACAAATACTTTTGTGTCCATTTTTGGGTTCTTGCCTGTAGGAAGGAACCCCATATTACAAAGAGAGTAATGCAAATACTAAAAAAAGTAAAGCATTTTTCAAGAGAAGAAAACAATCATTTTAACTAAATTGTCTTAAACTTTGATTCAAAAATTGCCATTTTAAACTCATATGGAATTTGCAGCTGTGCAAAAAGATCGACTTTGTCGATCAATAAGAGACTTGATCCAACATTTATCAAAGTGCACTTTATGATCTTTTCATATCACTAGGTTTTAATATTTTAAGATTTTTGTATTTGTATTGAAGTAGCTGAAGTCTTCATAAATAGCTGCCAACTCTGTAAATGTGCTTGAGTAACCCCTTGTTTAAGATACCTCCATATATTCCCGTGTCATGCCTCACATTTGGGTCCCTCTCTTGTCACCAGGTCTCCCAGGCAGCGGCAGACCTCCAACAGTTTTGCATGCAGAATGCCTTGCAGGATCCTCTGCTCACCGGTGTGTCCTCCAGCACCAACCCTTTTAGGCCGCAGAGAGTCTGCTCCTTCTTGTGAAACCACTGTGTCCATCGGTCAGTGAAGGTTGACACATAACGGCATACACTGACACATACTGGACATGTATGTTACAGATATAATCCACCTTAGTGTTGCTTTTTTAAAGTTTCTAAGTACGTATGTAACATGCATAGAAACTAGTAAGACCTCCTCTGCTAAATAGACTTGTTCGAGGCCAACTTCATGCATTTTAAGTATGATCAAGGTATCTGTACAGCAGCTTTAGTTTGGCAGCAACATCAATGTTTAGATGGACTGCAGGCACAGAATAGGTGTAATTCAATGTTTCTGACCTACCTCGGTTTAATGAGATAAAACCCCTTTGCCTTATTTTCCATTTGTTTGTTTCTTTTATTTTCCAATTCTGCAGGCCTTCATTTTGATGCTACAGGGAAAAATTGACCTCAACACTGCTCCTCATGCCAAGCCATTATACTGCCACGGGATCCCTTGAGTGTAGAACACATTGTAAAACATGTCGGGAAGATGATCATCTATTTTCAGCCACAGTAGAAAAAAAAGGAGACAGTTTTATTTTTCATGGCACAGTTAGATTTTTTCAGTGAATTATTGTGCCTTTTCTATTGTTCTATTTTAGTCATCACTGTTCTGGACATTTTTTGTATTTAATGAATAAAAAGCATTCTTTACTACATCTGTGTTGAGTTGAGGATTTTTTGTGGGTATTTTTCTTCTGGACCAAAGTGCTGACAGGAATTTTTTAAAGGGATATCCCGGCGTTAAATTAATTTAGGGTCAAACACACCGTAACACAGAGTTAAACCCCCCCCCAGAGAGATGAATATTGCCAACCACTTGCTTCTCTAGTTATACCAACTTTAGCAATGACCACACGATAGCAATACACAGAGGTCTCAGGAGCCACACACAGACCTCAACCAAAACGCCACTCTATAGCCACAAATAATGCTCAGAACAGCACCTAACTTCATCATCAGTACATGTAGAGTCCCAGTCATAGCACTAGCCACCAAACATCTTTTTAACTTTGCCTAATTTCTTTAGCAAAAAGACTAAACACAACTCACCTACTCTCTTCCAGCAGCCGCTTGTTTGTAGCGAGACCTCAGGCCAGTCCATTACAGGCTACAGCGGGGTGTCGCAGCTCAAGGAAGAACATTTATGATCATTACTTCATGGAAATGCAATCAGACTGAGACGCTAAGGCAGAAGAACTACCGCGTCTGCAGTGCAAAATGATTAATATGGTGATTATTACTTCAATGAAATGATAAAGTTATAATTAATATTAAAAGCACTTAAAGCAAGCACAAATCACAAAACACTATATAATTTCCGATATGGAACCACTTGGAGATAAGTAATATTAGAAAAAGATGGTTGTCTCCGCACCTATCATTTTAGTCAGTTTTGTTAGTGCACTTCTTAACACCTCGCAACACATCATTCTCACACAACCACATACACACTACTGATATTACAGACTTACACACCTCAAACATGTGGGTTTTGTTGTAAATAGTTGTAAATAAATTAATTCACTTTTGTCAATTCGCACTCCACCCGACCTTCTGTCATGGCCATAGAGCCAGGTTATGACTATATGTGTGTGTGTGTGTGTGTAATTTTTTGTTCATGAATGCCTAATTTCAGTTATTTTGTTGCATTTTTATATGGTCCCCTCATGGCACTCTTTCCCTTTCTTTGGACATTACAGATAAAAGATAAAATAAAACTACTTTAATTTGTCAGATATTGTCCTATTATGATATATTATGATGACAAGTTCTTTTTCTTGGGTATATTATTTCGGGTAAAAACCACCCGGTGATAGTGATGGGGTCACTAATTTTAGCGATAGTGTTCTAGGGTTAGTCATAATAAAATAATTCAGCTTCTCAATCATTAATTATCTGCTCTTAATCATCAAATCCGATGATAAAAAGTCATCCACGAGTTTGCCCCGCCTGACCCCTCCATCATGACGATCACTAAAGCGGTTGGATCAATTCTCGCGAGAAACGAGCTAACGGGTGTCAGAGCCATGTGAACAGCTGCGCTTGCATGAACACCGGGGACTGAACCCAGGTCGGTGTTGTTGTCCCGCTTCCTCGGCGGTTAACGCGGGACTCCTAAATCACAACTGCAGCTCGACCAGCCGAATGTAACCGCCTCTCGCTCGCTAGCCTTGAAGAATGAATCATGGGACATCGTTACTGTGGAAACGACGGTAACCTATTTTGTTAACCTAGCATGTTACAAACTGTGAAGTTATTAAGGCTCGTTAGTGAAGTCTGGGCGTTAAAGGGAGGGTTTTCTGCATGTTTTTCCCCCCGCCGTGTCGTTGTCTGAACCCGGTTTAACAACCCGCAGTGTAACGGTTTGACGCGGCGTGATGCTAACGGCTCACCAAGGTAACGATCCACGCATTCATGATGCAACACTAGAAGTAGATGTACCCATAGATATGTCTATGGATGTACCAACCACCGTGTGTTAGTATGTTTCTCGTCTAATGGTACTGAAGTGAGTGAAGACCGTGAGTGTTAAACCCCCTGTAGATGAAAAAAAGAGTGAATTTTAAAGAGTAAAGTCGAGCTAACATTAGCCTAGCCCCGTGATGATGCTCCAGGATGGCTCCACACAGCTCCTCTGCCTCACAGCCAGCAGCGGGGTTCCTCTATTCACCAGAGGAGCCCCCAAACAGCTGCCCTTCTCTATTATCGGCTCCCTGAATGGCGTTCACATGTTCGGGAGTGGTCAAGGAGCGGTGTTGTCCAGTTGTGAGACTGAGGGTGGAGGTAAGGTGGTGTGGAGAGTCTTCCAGGACAGCGTGATGCTCATCGCTGTGCGTGGAGGGGGACGCAGGGGTGCAGGCAGCAGTAAAGAGGAGGAGTACCATTTCCATCGCCTTCTGGAGAATGTGTGGAGCAGCATGGTGCTGGTGCTGGGGCAGGATGAGCTGGCCAATGTCAGGAATGTTGAGAGGCTGAAGAGGGATTTGCGTTCCTGTTTCTGCCTCATTGATCAGTTATTGGAAGAAAAACAAGAGGGCATCCTGGGTAACCTCACACACTGCGCTGATTCCCTGCTGCCCCCGAACCCTGTTCTTCTTCAAGAGGCTGTGCAGGGCTTTGCTCAGGCTGCAGACAGCGAATTCGGCTGCCTTATAGTCCACGGACGAATAGCTGCTGCGACTGAGAAATGGTGGCGTCTTGCACCGCAGGAAGTTGTGCTCCTCTCTGCGTTGATGCGCTCCCTCTCGGCCTCTGGTTCAGCTTCTTGTGATTACCCGGTTTTCCTTCCTCAGGGCAGCCCCACTATAGCTCACCGCTTGCTCCGCTTCCAGCTTCTACCTGGGGCAGATGTTTGTGTGCTGTGTGGCCCGACCCCTTCTCTACACAGAGCTGAGAGTGGGCTAGTGGGCCGTTTCTGGACACCTCTTGTGGAGACTTTGAGAGACTGCCTAAGTGTTGGGGAACGCTGCTTACCAGGATCGGTATCCCTGCGGCCTGATGTGCTGGCACTTCTTCTCATCAACCGTGAAACCCGTCGCTCAGTTTCATGCGTTCGTACCCCAACCGGTCGTCCCCCAAATGACCCTCCAGTACCCTCAAAGCCTCGCTGCTGGGAACTCTTGAAGCTGTTCTACATCTTCAGCACCACACGCTACTTCACCCAGGAGGAGACTGTGTGTGTCTCCTCAGAGGAGAGATCTCAGAGGAGCAGCACTGAAGACTTTGTCCTTGGATTCACTCACCAGCCTCAACAGTGCTATCTAGTTACAGAAGAGTGCAAAAGTTTTGGGCTTCAGACTCCACAACACCAGCTCTTCCTGCTTGTCCCGCTGTCGGTGCCCACCTTTGCAATACGCACTGTGGCCACACAAACGCTCTCTGATGTAGTTGCTGCCACTGGGTTTTGATTAAAAATCTAGAGAGCTTAATTTTCAACTGAATTAGGTTTTTTAGATCTTAACCGTAAATATTGATCGACAGGTCGACTGTTTAATGCTAAGAAATGTAAAGGTGTACATGTATGTTAATTCTCAGGAATGGAACATAAATATGCAACATCAGGCAATTTCTTACCTAGACAACCAGCTTTGAGTTAAGTTTGCATTCATTAGAAAAGTCACTTTAGAGTCTGACTTCACTGGATTCAGAGCTGTCCACATGGCAGCGTTAGTTTAAGTTGGACTGAAATATCAGCTGTCATGCTGGGATTGTACTGCGCTGACTCAACATCTGAGGATCGTGTGGAATTTTGTTACACTGTGATGAATAAGTGCCTACTGTTGATTTTGATACACTGATTAATATGGTTACAGATGTTTTGTGGAAATGTTGGTGCTAGCTCTCAATATAGTTGATCACTTTCTCTGGGTCTTTGTGTCATTTATTGTTTTATTCTGTATTTTTTCTTTTGTTGCAGTGATCAAGACACTGTTTGTGGTGTGTTTCCTGAATCCTCATCACCAACACCCCGAAACTTAACGGGATATTCTGGCGTAAGATTAATTTAAGGTCAAACACACCGTAAAACTGAGTTAGACACCCCCTAGAGAAATGAATATTGCCGACTGCTTGTTTCTCTAGGTATACCAATTTTAGCAACTACCGCACAATAGCAATACACAGCAGTCTCAGGAGTCATAAACAAATAATGCTCAGAACAGCACCTAACTTCATCAACAGTACATATAGGGTCCCAGCCACAGCACTAACCACCAAACATCTTTTTAATTTTGCCTAATATCTTTAGCAAAGAGACTAAACACAACTCACCTAGTCACTTCCAGCAGCCGCTTGTTTGTAGCAAGACCGCAGACAAATTCATTATGGACTACAGCGGGGTGTCGCAGCTCAAGGAAGAACATTTATGAACGTTTCTTCATGGAGATGCAGACGCTAGCGCAGAAGAACTTATTACTTCAAGGAAATGATAAAGAAATGATCATAAATGTTCTTCCTTGAGCTGCATCCCCCCGCGCTGCTGGAAGAGAGTAGGTGAGTTGTGTTTAGTCTCTTTGCTAAAGAAATTAGGCAAAGCTAAAAAGATGTTTGGTGGCTAGTGCTGTAGCTAGGACCCTATATGTACTGCTGATTAAGTTAGGTGCTGTTCTGAGTATTATTTGTGGCTATAGAGTGGCATTTTGGTTGAGGTTTGTTTGTTGCTCTTCAGACTGCTGTGTATTGCTATCGTGCGGTCAAATTTGGTATAACTAGAGAAGCAAGTGGTCGGCAACATTCATCTCTCGAGGGGATGTCTAACTTGGTGTTACGGTGTGTTTGAACCACAATGAATTTTACGGCGGAATATCCCTTTAAATAACCATCTTCCACAAATATAGACTCAAAAGGAAACATAACAGTTTCCTTCTGTTATATTGATACTATTGGAAATTCAATGAAATGAAACTAATTCTAAAAGAAAGCTAAAAACATCAATTAATTTTGGCCTTCTCACAATTAAAGATACATTAATGTTGATTATTGAGCATGTTTTTATGAATCTACATTTTTCAAATCATGTTAAAGCTCACACACATGAATCTGCTTATCTTGTTTCATACAAGGAAATCTGTAGCAAAGATGGCAGAGAGCAGGAAGAGAACACAGCTATAATATTAACATGAGTTAATGAGTAGTTACAAGATGGCGATTACATGGTTAAAAGATGAGCCACCTGTATTCTAAAAATATACAAGATTTTAAGCCCAAGATTTCCTGTTTTGATACGGGGCTATAAGACTTAGTGAGAAGTTACACCTGATAGTGGGCTGTGATAACTTCAGCACGTCCATTTGATTAACTGTAAGTAAAAAATCAAGTGTCTCTGAAATTAATGTACAATTGTGATTAAGAATATTGATCCTAATATTGAACAAAACTATTTGCTTAACATTTTGTCTTTAATTCTGCAACCCTATGAGCAAGTATTATTCCATCTAATAGCTATTGACATGTGCCAAGAACAACAGCTGCTCCTTGAGTTAGCCACTTATCTTGCATACAACACTTCATAATGCCAGAGTTACTGACAGGGACGGTTGACAAACCTTAAACTATGATTTAGTGAATATTTAAGCTCGGATAAATGCAGTATTTTCTGTATTTTTTTTACTGCAATAATATTCAAAATTTCACCATGGTGGTGACTTGAACTGTAAGATGCTGTTTATTCCATCTCTGTGTTTAAAAGGGAAGAGAAAAAATTTTGCTTTTCCCTTCAGGAGTGTCCTAGTTTGACCTATGAAATATGAACCAGTGTCCTGACCCAGCTTTGAACTGTAAATGATAAACACATATCAACTGTCCCAAAAAGTGCATATGTAGATATTAACTTTATTCTTATTTTGACATAAAAAATAATCTTTAAAAGTGTGTTTTTATAAATGTAGGTTTTGAACGGAACTTTAGCCACCTCAGCGAAAAAGAGGGAACCAGTTGACTCCAGCTGAAAGTGGAGAAGCTCCCATGATTGTCCTGTTGTGTTGTTTTTTTGTCCGCCATGAAGAATCCAAACTGTCCTGCCAAACCGCATGGGCCCTCAGAACAAAACGTGGGGCTCTCTGTGTGTCTGTGTGTGTGCAGTGAGCCCTGCACAGAGGAGAAAAGCTCCACTCTGCTGGGTCGCTGTATAGTGCAGCTGTGTTTAGTTACATTACCACCCCCCCTCTCCGAGCCACGTCACCCGTCCGAAGCCGGTCGGGCTCAGTAACCGGAGAACCGAACTAGACTGACAGCCCCACGGTGCGTTGGATAACAGGGGAGAGGGGGGTTGGATGTGGAGCCACACAAAAGGGGGTGGGATACGCTCGTGGGTTGTAGCGTTGCCATGCGTACAGGGAACAAACCCCCCAAAATCTCATTGCTGATGCGGTCAGGACCAGAAGGAACATCAGGATATATCTCAACTTTTTTGTACTTTAGAGTCTGAAGGGGACAAAGGTCTACCCGCCGAGTCATTTTTGAGGTTGCTCAACTTGCACAACTTTAATTTCACCCTGCTCGAGTGAGGTGCAGGTCGCAGTGCACCGCCGAGGCTCGAAAAGTTAACTTGTCCACATAGAAAGAGAAAGAAGGTCGTGTGAAATGTCAGCCTCTCGGATGCAGATGCTGTCTCCCAGACTTTTAAGTCGGGGGCGAAGCGAGTTGTTAGCCGGCTGCAGTGGAGCGCAACGGTCCGGTGGCGCCGGTGCTTCTCCCAGGGTCCGCTCACTGACCTCTCCCCCTCTGTCCTCCTCCTCTCCCGGCAGAGCCCTATCGAGTCTGAGTGCGACGCGGCGCGGGCTCCCTCAAGAGAAAATGACCGAGAACGGAATGACGTCCCGGGCCAAGGTGTTGACCATCGACACCATGAACCCCACGGTGAAGAAGGTGGAGTACGCCGTGAGGGGGCCCATTGTGGCGCGAGCTGTGGAGCTGGAGAGGGAGCTCTCTGAGGTTTGTGCAACAGGTTGTGTGAGCATAGTGGACTGTGTGTGTACCATCACCTGCATCCTCCAAGGACCATGATTTGTCTCTGTTTGATGCCACACGAAAGTCCTGTTTCTAAGCTGTGTGTGAAATGCATGTTGTGTTCCTTGTATTTGGTTACATTAGGCTGTTTTATTATTATTGTTGATGTTGTTTTTTGGCCACACTGTGGACTATTAGCTGTGCATCTTCAGTAAAACAACAAAACTTCTGAGTGTGTAAGGAAGCACTTTTAAAAAGGTCGAGACAAAATGGTCACCATGCTAAAAATAAAGGACACAAAATTTTAAGATCTTCTATGCAGTTAACTCTTAATGTTTTCATGCTTTTCAGCTCTAGTAGATATCTAATCTGTCTTCGATTCAGTTCAGCAAGTTTTAATTAATGGTTATAGTCTCACCAACACCTTGTAAACATTATCCCAAAAGGTAAATGTGCCACGAGTCCCCGCACACACACCCGTTTGTCAAAGTCCGGTCATTAAAAAGTTTTTTTCCGGAGGTTGTTTATCATACTAAAAGTCTGTTGCCTCCTATGATCCAGATATCGTTGTTGCCTCTTGTTAATGGCTAACCTGTTTTTAAGGCATTCATGAACAGAGTGAAAGATCCTCAATGAGGGGCCAAAGTCTAAACCAGAGTGTTTCCTGTCCAGTTCATATCACTATCTTACTGTTTGACCTGTTATGGATGCTCATATCTTAATCTTTAACACTCCCCAAAGCACTGCCTAGAAATTAGTAATAATATCTTAAGCAGTCTCCAAAAGCCTTGCTGTGCAAAATGATTTTTTTTTAACAGACTCTTTCTGGTTCCTTTGGCACTCCAAAAACAAACAGGTTGTCTATTTCCATCCCTCCTTTTTTTTTTTAATTCTCCTCGATCCCTTCCTCTTACACAGTTTATGGTGATGTGGCAACCAGCTGTCAGTGTACAGAGTGCAGTCTGGTGTGAAAACTGTCCTCTCTTGAGTGCTTTGCTCAGGAAGGAAGATGAGTATGCCAACAGGTCCTTGCACAGGTGAAAGACAAAGTAACACAGGCCAGCAGGGACTGTAATGACAGTGGTGACCTTTTCAACCAGATGGCCCACCAGGCGCCATAGATTTTATATACTGTTTGTGTAAACTAATGCAGATGATCCTCCTTGTCTTTATGAGATTTTCTTCCTGAGTGTAAAAGAGTTTGATTCGGTGTTATTGAACTGATATTTAGTTGTTCAATAAGCAGAAGAAATTGCACTTTAATTCAGCTGATTAAACCGAGGGATAGAGAAGATTTCAGGAGAAGAAAGGGATAATAACTCGGCTTTTTCAGCACATTTCTATCTTAGCTTTGGGAAAACCGCAGATTCATTGTGTTCTGCCTGTAGACAGCCCCCTCTATCTTTTCAAAAGTACAGCAGCCAGTCAATAAGGAAAAAATGTACCCAGAGTGCAGATCGTGTGCAATCCTCCTATCTTTGTAACACATTCCCCTAAACACCTTTAATTCAAGCTGCATTTCTGGATGGAGTTGGGTTACTATGGGAAACAGGTCTCAGTGGTATTCTTGTTTTACTCCATGATTAAGTCACAACAACATGAATGCACACCCTGATCTAGTTTCCTACACACAGTGTCATTTTGTAACTGAGATCTTTAAAGCACAAGGAAGGCCTTGTTCCTGTTATTTTCCCCGTAGACTAAAGCCGTGTAAGGTCTTCATAGCTGTATTAAGTAGAGGATGGAAGTGAGGCAGACTTTGAGCCAACTGACTGTACCAGTTATCACAGATAAAGGCTTTACACACGGTTAATATGGTCTTTGTTTGTCTTAATGAGCACAGAGCTGATAGTGAATAGGGACATTTTTGAGAGTCGCTATGGGAACAGACTAGAATGAAGCCAGGTTTTGACCAGTTCTCTTGACATATTCTGCCAGAGTAAACGAAAGGGTACATAGATCAATAGGTGTAAAGGGTTTTTTAAAAATCTTTTCATATGATGTGAACTTTGCACTTTGTTTTTGTTGCATCAGACACAACATGTACTTTTTGTTGAGCTTTGAGAGTTCTAAACAAAAAGAAACGACTTCCACTGCCCTAGATTTATCATCTGTTGAAACTCCAGTCGTCTTTGTTGGTATGGTTTTATCAGGACTGAAGGACAAACATCGCAGGCTCTCAGACGCAAAGGTTGATTTGTCTCTCATCACTAACAGGCGATATCTTTGACCTGGGGGGTGTTATTCCTCTATTGTCATGTTATTGGTCCAAGCCGAGATCCGCCTCTAATATGTGACCAATGAGAGCACCAGTGAGAGGCTCTTAAAAAGTGAACTGGATTGGAAAATTCAAACAAACAGGCTGTTTTGATTACAGCAGGATGTCAGTGTGAGGTTCAACCTGCGGCCTCTCTGCGGCGTCACGCTGTTCCAGCATCTGGTGTTAACAGCGTGTGTACGTGTGTGTGTGTTTGTGCCTGCATCACTGTGTGTCCTCTGTCAGCTGTCTCATCCAAACAGGGTTACCTTTAATAAATGATGATTGTTGTTTTAAGCGACAGTTAATGTGCACTTCTCAATTTGGTCGTTGAGTCCTCTTTTATGAAGTTTCCTGCCGCTTTGCTGACGTTTCAAGTTCTCTCTCGCTCTCCACAAAGGATGTGGACTTAACCTTATTGTAATGTGTGTGTTAAGGTGTCAGAAGGTCAACGGTATCAGCAGGATAAGGTGGTTTGCATGGGTGGAAACTTAGCATGTTTGCCCAAGCTATCTGCGCCAAGGCTGTTGTTAACGCACGCAATATTTTTCGCTTAATGGCTTCTCGGCTGACTAAGTGACACGAAAGAATGAATGCAGCCGAAATAGTTTGATTGTTGAATCAGAAATGGGGGCCAAGTATGCCAAGTAGGAGTGTCAAAAAACAATGAATAAAGACCCAGAGTTCAAATATCTGATTGTTTCAAATTAAAAAGCTTTTGAACTGCAGCTCTACTGCTGTTAATGAAAAGATGAAGATAAAAAATACAAACAGTAAAGCAGACAGAGTGCAATATAACAGACATTACATTAGTCCGGGGCAATGCATTAATTTAATGCAATAAATCTTGTAAATCATTTCAACATTGTTGTAATGGTAAGCTACTGCAGGCCTGGGTGACACTCTGTATCCATGAGTCTCTGAGGGGTACAGACTGTGCTGTAATGTACCTGTGCAGTCTTGTTCCCCAGCATATGTTTACTAGCTAATGTAGCTGTAATGTCTACCAAACCCATTGCAACCCTCCCTGTTTACAGCCAATTTACTGAAGGGTGTCATCAGGACTCAGACAGTCTTAAGTCCAGTCATGCAAAAATTGAGGACAAACACAGACAGGATGGTAGAAATGCAGGAGAGTCACAAACGCAGTCAAACTGACAGCAAATCTAAACCACCCCCCCTGGATGTGGTTGCATGTGAACTACCGAAGCTGCTGTGATCTGAGCAGCTGCTGCTCTCTCAGCCTTTCATGGCATGTATACATGTGGTTAAGTTATGTATGTTTATGAATGTGTGCTGGCGCTGTGTCAAGGGTGTTATGGAGCTGTTGGGGTTCCGGGGCCCCTTATTCTCTTACAGCAATGCAGTCAGCTTTATTTATCTGTCTGTCATCGTACATTTAAAAGGACACTGACATCATTACCTGTGACTAAACTTAATACCCTCCAACCTTTTCCTAAATCATGAATGTATTTTCCTCTCGTGTCTTGCAGGGAATGAAGAAGCCCTTTGCAGAGGTCATAAAAGCCAACATTGGTGATGCACATGCTATGGGCCAGCAGCCAATCACCTTCTTCAGACAGGTCAGCTCCTGTGCCCCCCCCCCATCTTTCATCTAAATTTAGCACCTCCCCCCTGACCAGTCAGCGTTGATGAAACAGATTTCTTCCTCTGCAGCTAAATTGCTGTCACTCATGTCTTTCCTGCATCATGCAGTAATCTGTGAAAGAGATTGCACTACATCCCTTACACACTTTATACTCACACCTCTTTTTCTCTCAAGGTCTTGGCACTCTGCTCCTACCCTGAACTGCTGAATGACAGCACATTCCCGGAGGATGCTAAAAGTAGAGCTCGCCGCATTCTGCAGTCCTGCGGGGGGAACAGTATGGGTGTGTATTTCTGGCTAAACACAAAACGCTTTGTGTCACCCTGGCCAGTAATGATCACCTTTAGTCTCACCATTATGCCCTCTGTGTGTGTGTTGAAGTTTGCTTTTGGCGGTACCGTACCTGTGTTGAAGTCTGAGTTGTTATAGCAGCTGGTCTTACCTCCGCTTGATTCTCCTGCAGGTTCCTACAGTGCCAGTCAGGGCATCGACGCTGTGCGTCACGATGTGGCCCGCTACATTGAGCGAAGGGATGGTGGCGTGCCTTGCGACCCAGACAACATTTACCTCACTACAGGAGCCAGCGATGGCATTGTGGTACAAATTACCTCTCCTTTTTCACCCTGACTGTGTCCCAGCTGTACTTTTAATCGTGTTTATTTATTGTAATCAAAAATAAGGTATAAAATCTAACCCTCCCATAGTAATAAGATAAGAAAATCACTTGTTTTTATCACTTTCTGGTAAAGTATTTGGACAGTTGAATGAACAAATAAGGTTTGAGCCTTTATCTGTGGGCTCTCCTTTCAGAAGATGGATAAGGAAATCAAAGCTGCACCCTGCAGGAAAATAAACTCCCACAAGAACAAAAACACAAAGAGATTAAAGTTCAGAGTGATAAAAAATGCTAAAGTCAGATCATTCTTGGTTGTGACCTTTTGAAACCTTTACTACCTTCTTCAAACTCTCTCATCATGGCTCTGTATTGACCCCCTGTTTAATGTTTTAATGTGGATGTTTTTGTGTCACAAAGTTTCATTTCTATACTTAAAGCAGTTGGATCTATCACTGGTGTATTAAACTAATCTGCCACACTGCATTGTTCAAAAAGAAAACTTCTTTGTTCCGTTACCATGGATACGTGCACAGATTCAGCAAACCAAGTCAGACTGAGAGCAGAAGTTTACCAGTTTCCTCTTTCAGTCTTTAACTTACATCTGTATGCCTTTGTAGTAAAATACAGACTCTCATACTGTGTGAATATAACTCTGAAATGATTTCTCCGTCCCGCTCCTTTAGACCATGCTGAAGTTGCTTGTGTGCGGCGAGGGTGTGAGCCGCACAGGCGTCATGATCTCCATACCTCAGTACCCTCTGTATTCTGCTGCTCTGGCTGAACTGGGCGCCGTGCAGATCAACTATTACCTAAACGAGGAAAAATGCTGGAGCATGGACATTGCTGAGCTGCAGCGTGCTCTGGACGAGGCTCGGCAATACTGCAACCCCCGTGCTCTGTGCATTATCAACCCTGGAAACCCCACCGGTAGAGTCCTCCTTGTGGTCTTTAGAGAGAAGTGAATCCAAATTGTCGGCTGATTCTTTGTATTTTGACATATGAAAGCTTCTTGTTCAGCACTTGGGCTAATACTGGTCTGACAGCTTTGCAGTATAGGGAACAGAGCTATAAAAACAATGTGGAAGTGTCAGATTTGCATTATTTGGAGTATGTAACCCTTATTTTTCTTCCTATAAATTTTGGTAATTCTTTGATATACCTTTGATGCTAAATAATAAAGTATTTAAGTGAGCTGTTCACCTTATGTCTAAGTTGCATCAGAAAAACTGCCTCTACCTGCTAAGGAAGGCTTCAAAATGTGATTGAAAGCCCTTTAAAGGAATGAATTTGGTCCCTGAGTTGTTTTATTTCTCACTGATGCATCTGTAATTTAGCTCAAGTTGGATGTTTTGGTAATTAGGAGACATAATCCCAGGGCTGAGGAGAAATGTATAGTTGTAGAATTTCATCAGCTGGAATCTATCCGAGGTTTCTGAGGCTATATGGTCCAGGTCCAAAACCACCTCAAGCTCACCAAAGAATCAGGACAGCTGAAGCCCAGCTCACATTTCATGCACTTCTTAAAGATTAGCCAGTAGATGGCAGCAAATAGATATAACTGCCTGCCTTTTACTTGCGCCATGATAAGTCTCCTTTTCATTTACAGGTCAGGTCCAGAACAGAGAGTGCATTGAGGATGTGATTCGATTTGCAGCGAAAGAGCGTCTCTTCCTCATGGCTGATGAGGTACTCTCTCTCTCTCTCTCTCTCTGACTTCATCAGTTTTAACATCCACTTGCTCTTTTATGTGTTGTATCCTGTAACACGTGTCATTATGTGTTTACCTCCAAGGTGTACCAAGATAATGTGTATGCTGACGGTTGCCAGTTCCACTCCTTTAAGAAAGTACTCTTTGACATGGGGCCAGAGTACTCAAACACAGTGGAGCTGGCTTCTTTCCACTCTACCTCCAAGTGTTACATGGGAGAGTAAGTTTTTCATAAATCAGCATCTTGTTGCCTTTTTTTTTTAGATTTGCTCTTGCATAATGTCTGCACACAGCTCAGTCAGTCACATTTAAATGACTCCCCACTCTTTTAGGTGTGGCTTCCGTGGAGGCTACATGGAGATCATCAACATGGACGATGAGGTGAAGGCTCAGCTGATCAAGCTGGTGTCTGTCCGTTTGTGTCCTCCTGTCCCCGGACAGGCTCTGATGGACCTGGTGGTCAACCCCCCACAGCCCGGAGAACCCTCATATGCCAACTTCATTAAGGTACAGAATCATGTATTTACATTTCACATGGGACCAATCGATCAATACGCCAATATACTGGAGCTTGACCTCTTGTTTTACTCATCAATACCTTAAGTGCTATAGATAATTGATTTTCAGTGAAACATGATCACATCTGCAATAATATTGAATTACCTTTTGGTAAATCATAGATGATTGGCTTTCAAGAATAGATTTTGGCACAGAGACTACATGTAACTAACAAAAATGATCTGTATTTTATCGCACAGTTTTTAATCTCAAATCTTCATGAAACTGATATCATCTTGTAAGACATTCACTATGCTTTACACTTTGTTATTTCCCACAATATATTACACTTTTAAGAAAAGTAAGAGTCAGTCCGGATGTAGTGTACGACCTTAATTCCAAAAGAGTGAGAACGTCTTGTAATGCACCACCTCTTAATTTAACAGCACTCTGTCAACATTTGGGAACCAGTTTCCGAAGTTTTGAAGGTGAAATGATGTCCCATTCTTACCTGATATAGGATTCCAGCTGCTCAACAATTTGGAGTCGTTTTCTAATCGAAATTTTCTTTTCATGATACACCAAATGGATTTCAAAATAAAAATTCCCCGATGGGTGCAAAATGACACAAGGTCCCGCTGCACTAAAGACTGCACTGAATGCATCCCCTCTGCCAAATATGCTTCTTTCATCTACCTCCTCTTGTTGTAATTTTGGGGGAGGGTGGGTGGATGAATGCATGTGAGAATGTGACGAATGAAACTTTTCTGTGACTTTCTTTTGAATGTTACTTTTTTTTCTGTTTGAGAGAGGCACAAAAAAAATATTTGTTCTGCTGCGTGCATCGACAGATGACCTTCTATTCTGTTCCATTCAATTCAATTGTATTCTTTCTTTTCTCTTCCAGTCCAGTCCTATCTATTCTATTCTGTTCTATTCTATTTTATTCTATTCTATTCCAGTCCAGTCTAACGCTGTGTTCTAGTTACCTCGGAATTCAGAAGTCCAAGCTAAAAAATGACGTCACACCTGAGTTCCAAGCGATTCGGTTAGCAAGTCGGAAAAAAGCAAAATCGGAGGCAGAAACAAGATGGCTACATCTACGAAAGTTATTTTAGCGCTTGCCTTGTTCTTGCTGATATTCAGACAAGACAAGTGCTAAAATAACTTTCGTAGATGTAGCCCTCTTGTTTCCACCTCTGATTTTGCTTTTTTTGTAAATTGGTAACTGAAACACTGGTAACTCGGGTGTGACATCATTTTCAGCTCGGACTTCTGACTTCAGAGGTAACTTGAACGCAGCTTAATTTTTTCTATTCCAGTCCAGTCTATTCTATTCTATTCTATTCTTTTCTATTCTATGTTTCAAACTGCCAGTGTTTCTGGACCATGTTGCTCCCTATAACCTGCATCATGGATGCAGCGTCAAACTGTTCATAGTAAGCGGTTTTTGAATCCAATTAAAATGGGCATATATTTTCCTCAATACAATAATATTTTTCTGTCAGCATTTTTTTTTTACACTATTTCCAATTACATATAGGTTTTTTCATGTTTTTATAGTTTGTTTTCCTTTTTAATGATTTGCAAACCTTGAACTCTGCTGTTATCAACATTCACACAGTGTCCAAACTCTCTTGACTCTGGGGTTGTAAATAATTGTGTTAAGGCATCACAGCGCTGTTGAGTCATCGCGTATATCATTCACAGAGCTGTTCTGGAACATTTTCACATAAGGTCACATGAAACTTACTCATGAAAACTCCTTAAAATTGGGAAATTACAGGATTATGATCATCATGTGTTTACTTCTGGCCATCAAATGATAACTGAGGTCACTTCTTGTAGGGTCTTCAATCTGTCTAGAAACCCATTGATTCTTTTCAAAAGATTATAAGGCAATGGATGTTTTTTTTCTTTTTTTTGGTATTAACACTTTTCAAAGTAAAACACAAAAAAACATTTTTTTAAAGCTTAGACCTCCCTGAGCTTGACAAAACCGGGTATTTCCACATGAGATAACTGACTCTGGAACAGTCAGTCCAAGCATCACAAATGTTGCTGCATTGTGCCTCCTGATTGTATCATCTCTGGCTGATTTACTGTCTCTCTCTCTCTCTCTCTCTCTCTCTCCGTCATGTTTCTCATCTTCTTCCTCTCATCCAGGAGCGCACAGCCACTTTAAGTGCCTTGGCAGAGAAGGCCAAGCTTACAGAGCAGGTTCTGAATACAGTGCAAGGCATCAGCTGCAATCCCGTGCAGGGCGCCATGTACTCCTTCCCGTGCATAACCCTCCCTGAGAAGGCCGTGAGAGAGGCCAAGGTCAGTCCTCATTCCCTTTCTCTTTCAGTGGTTTAAGTGGCTCTATTGTCACTTCAAGTAAATGGCATTGATCAGGGGCAGCAGGGGAGGGATGAATAAAAATAAGAGATAAGGATTCATAGGACATTCACTCAATACTCTTGTTAAACTGCTACTTGTTATTATTTCACTCATTTTCCTCCTCAGTAGACCTTCATCCACAAATAGACATGTTCCAAAAGCTGGTATGAAATATTTTTACAGGAAAAAAAAAAGACGTAACGAGACTGAAAACCATCAGTGCGTACTCATGCACTCTTCTGCATTCAACGACTCTGTAACCAGCTTCACTTCACTGTGAATCCACCTCCCCGTCTGCTTCAGGGAACAAATGATTTCCAATAGCTTGTTGTTTCAATTGTGTCCCCAGGTTGACTGCTCAGTAGGAATTTCAGAGAGGGTTGATGAGTCAAGCTGAGAATCTGATAACCCCAACTGATGATAAAGTCAGAGGAAAACTGACCTACTGACACCTGATCAATTCTAGCGGCTCAACATGCAACAGTAGCGGCGCTTTGTTTTAACCACAATTACTGCACAGACAGAGAGCCCCTAACATCACCATGCACAGCTCAGAAGAGCTGCTTAACCACTTACTGAGTTCATTCAGCTTCACCACCTCTTAGGCAAAAAGGATTCTAACAAACGCTTCTCTGATCTGGAGGAGATAAGACATACTTCAGGTTTGTTTTGCTTCAAAACAGTGCTCTTTTTTCAGTTTCCACTAACCTTCAGCTACCTTTTATATTGATGAAGGAACGTTCTTGTGCTCTTTCAAAGTTCAGCTCTAAACTAAAATAACTAATGAATATAATACGATAATGAAATTAGAAAAAAAAAAAGTTGGCCTTTTAAGTGTAGACAATATTTATTAACAAAGTATGACCCGGGGAGTCTATGAGGACATTTTGAGAAGTATGGAACAGGAAAAACATTTTTGTAAATTGCTTGTAACAAGAAGACGCTCAATCCAACTGTCCCTGTTTTACTCAATTGTAGTTTTACTCAGCACAGATTAGATTTTCTACAAATTAAAATTCCTGGTAGTATAGCACAAGAAAAAATACCAGAAAGCAGGTAGTGGGAGTGTTACAAAAAAAGGACAAACAGCACTTACTGTAAACCAAGAAAGCTGCAATGAGTCATAGGTCTCTCTATAAATACAGTTCATGTTTACAGCAAACTGCACTTATTGAATCCTGAAAGTTGCAGAATACCTTTAACAGCCATTGCTTTCCTCGTCAACTTTTTGAGCCTCTGAAAGTTCTTACTCTCTCCTCTTTCAGGAAATCGGTCAGCAGCCCGATATGTTTTACTGCATGAAGATGTTGGAGGAGACGGGGATCTGCCTCGTTCCTGGAAGCGGCTTCGGCCAGAAGGATGGAACCTACCACTTCAGGTACAGAACACATTATAATACACTTAAAAGTGTCTTTTGAAGGGCTGAAAAAACTGTTATTTAATTTGGATTTATCTGCCTTCTGTGTTTGTTTGAGTTGACATGATTCAATCTTCAAAAAGTTATAAAATAGGTTTAAAGCTCCTGTAAGGAACTTTCCCTTTGTATTAATCAAAGTGCCCCTATGGACAAAGAAATCTGCGTATTTTGTCATCTACATACATGCTTCAATGGTGAACAAAAACCTCATCCTGATAATTTTTGATAGTAAAGTGTGATACCAAAGCCCCTCTCAAACTAGACTGACAGCAATTAAAATATTCATATTGTGTCTGAAAAAGTTCCTGAGTGACTTAACTGTACATTTTAGAGGTTATTTCTGTATCACCACCATGCAGATTTGTAACCCGTAAAAGCCGTTTTTGCATTCTATGTACTCTTAAGGTCCTTACACACCAGGAACAACGCAAATATACATCGTGAAATTACGAAATATTCGGAGGCGAATTTTGACACGCCCGACTATACACATCAAGCGAGATGCGATTTTGCGACTTTCCGAAAAAAAGACGCACCCTGGGTGGAAGCGAGAAGACTGACACAACAGCAGACTGACTGTTTTTCAGTTCACACAGTGTCGAAACTTTAGAAATGTGCTGAGTCAGGGTCAGTACCAGATAAGCACATTAAACTATAATCCATAAACGTAAAGTAACAACTGAGACCTAATGGTGCTGTGACAGCAACGCGATTGAGTTTGAGACAGTGAAAATACATATGGTATGTTGTATCTGAACAGGTTAGCTTATGAGCTAAAGTTACTTAGCACAGATGAAAGTTAAAACAAAGACGTTTAGCAAACTGTTAAAGCACACAAACCATCATCAGCCGGTGTGTAAGGACCTTTAGAATCATGTACTGAAAAAGAAAATTGCTAAGCTTGTTTGCAAATAGTTTTCAGTGGCTGTGATTACATCAAGTGAAGAAGACGAAGAAGCCAATACTCTTAGAGCTCCCCCTGGTGACTGGCCACGATATAGCTCTAAAGTTGCCTCCTCTTTTATAACAGAACATCAGTTAAACTTGGAAATTAAAATACACATTGAATGCTTTTTTCTTTTAACATGCTTTCTGTTGCAGTTTATTCCTTTATCGCTCTGGTTTACTGAATGTGCAAAAGTTCATGTTTTTTAAGGGGATTTAATGTTATGACTGACAGCTCTGTTCATCAACGTGGCTCCTGCATCATTCTTTACTCGGTTGGCAGAGGCATTTGTCGAGACATTCACTCATCTCCTTCTGCTTCCTTCCCTCTCAGAATGACCATCTTGCCACCGACAGACAAGCTGAAGATCCTGCTGAACAAAGTCAAAGAGTTCCACCAGAGATTCACTCAGCAGTACTCATAAGTTTCCACATTTCCTCCTCCACCCACAAAGGGAGGAGCTTAAAATCCACAACCAAAAGACTCAGCCAATCAGAATTTATCTGTCACTACTAAGTGCCTTCTCTACAGCGGCTCTGGTGGTCTCTGTGACGACACACTTCAGCCTCTACAGCTGTCTACTTTGGACATTCACAGACAGTAGACAAGGCACTGTTCAATGTCAGGAGACAAAGCTAAACTGGTGAAGGAAGTAACTCATAGGCTTATCGCTTTGGATAGGAAACTCGGTTTCATCTGATGATAGTATGAAGGATGTACAGTGTGTACTGTAGGTTAGTGTATTTGTGAATAATAGATTGTTGATATGAATATCAAGATTTAAAAAAAAAAAAGAGGTGAAATTGAAGAGAAATTGATGCTGCTTGAAATCTAGAGTACATGTACATCCGTTTAAAATATTCCTTTCCTGCAGGCAGTACTGGGCAGGGAGATTACGCAGGACAGACGTTTGCATGATGATTCAGAGATGAATTTGTAGAAATGAAATAAATGTAACTGTGTATGTTAAGTCTTGTTTTTTTGGAAAGGAGCTGTCAGATCAGTTCAGAGTTGTGATTAAGACAAAAAGGTCAGTCTCCTTTGACCGCCAGCATTCATGAAAACTGTCTGTAATTCTTCTTTGTCTTAATACCACGTTCCTCTTTTGCAGGTAAAATGACAGTATCATTGTATTATTTTTTAAATCTTCATACTCTTGTTGAAAAAGCCTGCTAGGTATGAATCTTTTTTTCTGATTTTTGTACAGAAGCAGATTTTTAGTTTTCATTTAATTCTCATTTTTCATTTTAACAGCAACATAAACTAACACTTGTCATTTTTTTGCTACTGTCATTATTAAACTGTTAAATGCCAAGGAATACCGTATTTCACCGATTAAATGTAACTCATTAAAGATATCTGAGAGGTACAGAGTTGGACTTTGTCATGTTTGATGGACAGTCAAGTGATGCATTTTGTGTTTTAACCTTCCAGAGGATTTATCAAGATGTGTTTCAGAGCACCTGGTGCATGTACTTTAAAGGGATATTCCTGCGTAAAATTAAGTTAGGGTCAAACACACCGTAACACCAGGTTAGACACCCTGTCAAGAGACGAATGTTGCCGACCGCTTGCTTCTCTAGTTATACCAACTTTAGTAACGACCGCACGATAGCAAAACACAGCGGTCTCAGGAGCCACACACAAACCTCAACCAAAGCTCCGCTCTATAGCCACAAATAATGCTCAGAACAGCATCTAACTTCATCAACAGTACATATAGGGTCCCAGCCATAGTACTAGCCACCAAACATCTTTTTTAACTCGGCCTAATTTCTTTAGCAAAGAGACTAAACACAACTCACCTACTCTCCTCCAGCAGCCGCTTGTTTGTAGCATGACCAGTCATTACTAAAGTTGGTATAACTAGGGAAGCAAGCAGTTGGCAACATTTATCTCTCGAGGGGGTGTCTAACTCAGTGTAACGGTGTGTTTGACCCTAAATTAATTTTACGCCAGAATATCCCTTTAGAAGGTTCCAATATAAACTTTAGTCAATTTCATGAATGCTAGAAAACTCCTCACTGGAGCTTTAATCGACTATCTCAATAAAAGTCTGCGTAGATTCATTGAATTTGGCGACCTCTTCCTGAACACTAAAGTCCAAAGTTGCCCGTCCTTGAACACTCATATATTTGTGTGATGGCTAGCTGTCTGCGCATTGCTAAATCTGTCACCTCTAGTAATGATTTGCTTTGGCTTGATTTTAGGCTCAAAGTGCCGTCCATGTGGACACCACAGCTGCCTTTTTTGTCTCTTAATCTGTCATCTATTTTATTGCATCATGTGCAGTTTGGGAGCACGCTGATGGATTGCACTGCAGTCTGAGTAAATGTGTGTGAGCCAAAGAGATTGAGGGAGTGTGTAAGGATGTGTGCTTAAGTGAAGCATGTAGTCTGAAGGTGTTTTCCGCTCTCTTCCTCTCTACTCCACAGTAGCTGTCAGCTTTAATTATCTTTGACAATAGGCCTCTTGAATCCTAATTATACTGAGCTCTGTCTTTTCTGGAGCTCCACACCGTTCACTTCAGCGGCATGACGGGCTCACACGTTTCAGTCCTCTTCACCCTAAATTAATTGGGTGCGTTTGGTTTTTTTTCTCTCGTCTCCTGACATCTTTTGGGAATCAAAGGTCATCATTAGTTCGGGTGAGGGTGTAGGTCGACGGAGAGACAGTCATGCATCAGACAGCCGCGCTGTCATGTGGCTGTTCTGGATGTGACAGTGACCGGCTTATTCTCTGTGTGCAGACGTATATGAGGGGCTTCATGTGACTGAGCAGAACAGCTCAATTAGGTTCTATAGAGTGTGGGAATTGACCGTGTTGTGTCCGTCGCCCTTTATCTTTTAAGGGAGGTGTTCATCTGAGCCATTATTTTGGACGGCAGTTAACTTAAAAATAAAAAGTTCCTCACACGGGTGACAGAAAAGATTCACACAATATTTAACATCTTACTCAGGATCAGCTGACAAATTTAACTTGGAACACAAACAGAGCCATTTTCACAAGCTGGTATTCAGACAACAGCAGGTTATTTAAGGTGTGTTAGCGGTTTACTTAAGGTTTTCTTGTTCTTCAAACAATCAGCAGCAATAACTGCTGATTTCTTGTTTGAGGGGCAAACACATGGATAAGGCAGCATACTCCATGCAGCATATGTGAGTAAATGGAGGTAAAACATTGTAGGAAGAGTAAATTAGTCAAAGGAAATCCCCAGTAACACCAATCAGCAGCTTCATTGTTGTCTTGAAGGCGGCGTGTGATTACTGCTTAAAGTTGGGCCACACTCTTGAGAGGTAACCATTGAGTTTAACACAATGATTTAGAGTCAGGTGTAAAATTGTAGATCAGAGGAAAGAAAAAATATGTCCCCCTCTAATTTTAATTTTCATTTCTGAATGTGAGACTGATTCGTGATTTTTGATTTTACCATTCTTATTTAAGTGTTTCTAGTTTGAAACAAAAAGATCAACTTAGAGAGATATTAAAACACCCATCATACCCATATTCACCCGTCATTATGATGACACCTGTGATTTACAGCAAGAAACTCGTATATGTATGTTTTAATGGCATCTGTGTTTACCCTCATTTCAGCACTATTTAGCCCCTGCCTGAAACACTGTTTTGGCCTCTTTTGAAGTGAAAAAGAGTAAGATTCAGCCCGTGGGTGTTAATTTCTACACTGCTTTACCTTAATAAAATATCCCAGGCTAGCTCTTAGCTCCTCTTTATAGCCATGAGCAGTTAGCTACTACCCACTGAGCAACGGACGGCTATTAGATGTCTAGTTTTTTTTTAGACCTAATTTCAACCGTCTAGACTCTGTATATTTTTGGACGGAATTTATATGTTGCACATTAACCCATTATTTGATAACTTTATTTTAAAAAGCAACTGTGAGTTGCATAACTGATCTCTTAATACTTAACCAAAATAATTATGATAGCCATTGAGCGATCGACAGTTAGATCAATAGACTTTGTATACTACAAACAACTTGGTTCCGCCTTCCATCGGTATCCAGATGTGAAGCCAAAAAGCTCTTGGTAATTCCGCGTTTTCTCTCCATTTCCTGAAACCAACATTGCCCCATAAGCTTTGCTAGCAGAGGCAGGATTTATGACCTATACTGCAGCCTGTCACCAGAGGGTGCTGTTCTTGGAGTGGCTTCACCCAGCGAGGAGGCAGACCATTCTATATACAGTCCATGGTTAGACCTCTGTAAGCCGGCTAGTCTAAACTTGGTCTAAATTCGCCAGGATGTCTGCATACAAACAAGCGGCTGCTGGAAGAAAGTAGGTAAGTTGTGTTTAGTCCCTTTGCTAAAGAAATTAGTCAAAGTTAAAAAGATGTTTGGTGTCTAGTGCTGAGGCCGAGACCCTATATGTACTGTTGATGAAGTTAGGTGCTGTTCTGAGCATTGTTTGTGGCTATAGAGTGGCGTTTTGGTTGAGTGGGTGTCTAACTCGGCGTGTTTGACCCCAAATTAATTTTACGCCGGAAAATACCTTTAAAGTCTTGTCATTGGAAATCTTAATTACAGTATTGTCACCAAATTGATCGAGGACCTTAAAAAAAAAGATTTTTTGGTCAGCTACTAAAACACGATCTTACATCATTAACTGAAGTCCACATTAGCAGATTTCATTTTTCAAGATTAGCGGTCTTGATAACCATTTGTTGACTTCTTCACATGACATGTCCAGAGGTCATTCACACTCTCACTTGACACACTTGTGTCTGTTTACCAGCGAAGGGCAGATTTGTAGAACAAAAAAAGAAAGAGGAGAGAAAACAGAGAAGGGGAGGGGTTTGATGATACAGAGATTGGGTGATAAATCTTGCTCTGATCAGGTTTCTCTGGTGCCCTCACACCTCAGTCTCTTTCTTGAGGTAATTAATCAATCCCAGACTGGAGGCATTGATCGGCCTCTCGCGGCCCTCGGTATGTTTACACTCCTCGATTGTATTTGCCACTAAGCCTCTCGGTGCCGCTCAATCTCATCGGCAGAAAATGTGACACTCCACCCTCTGATGCCATCAACGAAACATTGCATCGATTGACATCTCGATGAAAATCAATCTACTTATTTTTTTTGTTGCATGGGGATAATCCTTTGTTGTAATCCTGTATTGCAGGTTGCAATATATAAAGTTTTATCAGTGTTACGAACAGTCCTGTGATACATTTCCTCACGCTAAGTCATGCAAATAGTTTTACACGAGTTGATCACAGAAATCGAGCAATAAAAGAAGCTTTTAGAGGTACAATATGATCGCTGAAGCTCATTTGAATACAGTTTTACAGAGACAAGGTGCACATTTCCATCTGTAATGGAATTTTAAACAATGAAAGTTGGATTAGCCCCAGTCTCCCCTTCTTTTGAATGAGGTTGTAGAAAGTTTACTCAATAAAATTCTATTTCAATTTGATGCAAAAGTACTTCTGATTCATAAGTTTAAAAATGTTAATAAACCTCCTTAGGATCTATGTTTAAGGACGAGATCTCTAGACCATTGGTTCTCAAGTCCAGTCCTCGAGGCCTATTGTCCTGCATGTTTTGGATGTTTCCCTGCTCCAACACACCTGATTCAAATGATCAGCTCGTTATCAAGCTCTGTAATGGCTTAATAACGAGCTAATCATTTGAATCAGGTGTGTTGGAGCAGGGAAACATCCAAAACATGCAGGACAGTGGGCCTCGAGGACTGGACTTGAGAACCACTGCTCTTGACCACCGCACATATCATATTATTCACATATTCTTCCACTTCCACTTGTATAACTCTCTATACTGTTACTGTTGAACCTCTCACAGGGCAAAACTCATGATTCAGTGCCTTATTCCCGGGCTGTATGTGAGTGATGACGTGTTTGGCTCTCAGCTCCTAATCAAGGACAGGAGGAGGCCGCAGAGAGGAAAACATGGTATTTTCATTGAATTGGTAACATGCTGGGGTTATACATGCTGTTATATAAACTACACCCATCGCCAGGAATAGTTCCTACATGAGGCTATCAGAGTAAAAAATCAGAAACATCCAACACTGTATTTAAACATGGCGTGTTAACTTTTTGACGCAGAAACATGCATCAAACTCTAGATCTATATATCCAGATCACACATTGTTTATATCTTTATGATAGAAAATCAAATAGAAGCAGGCACATTTGAGGACTTTTTAATATTCAACCACTCAATAGATGATAAAATTTAAACATTTTAACTCCCTGCCTTTTTATTACAGAAACAAAACCACGGTGTAAGCAAAGGTTAATCCGTAAATACTAAGTCGGTCGGACGTTTAGCAAACTGTTAAAGCACACAAACCATCGTCATATGAGAAATCCGATGCTATGACTCTCCACAAG